AATTCAGTAAACATTATAAAATTCACTTTATCCTATTCGTTCATAGATATTTTCTTCATTTCTAATGCAGATGAGTTTAACCTGCATTTTTGAAAAGCTATTAAAGAAAATGAGTCCTCCAAAATTTTCTCCATACTCTTTAGTATCTAACAATACCCAGGTTTTCTGGCATTGAAAACGGACGATAATTTATTTTACTTACATTTTATTCCTGTTGTTTAATTATAAAAGCAAGGCATCTTCATAGTGGAAAATTCATAAAGTGCAAGAAGCACTGAAGAACATGAAAAGCATCACCAACCTTGACTCAAAGACAGATCTCTATCAACATAGGAGCATACTTCCTCCTCTGATCTGCTCAGTGCTTTTACATACTTGAAAAAAACTGTTTGCATAATCAATATTTTGGGGGCTGGGGATTTTAGCTCAGCAGCTAAAGTGCCTGCCTTGCAAGTGCACAGTCGTGAGTTCAATCCCTGGTACTGATGAAAAAAATTCAGTATTTTGGATCCAGAGAACATGGCGGACAGATAGCAGCAGCTACACAGGCTCTCTGCAAGACCCAGCTTAGAATCCAGGAATGGTGCGGAGGGAGGAATCCTAAGCAAGAGGAGATATACCCTGCTGACCCAAGAATGAACTGGGCTGAGAGATACCAACTGGGAATGCAATCCTGGTGCTATAACAGGAACAGATAAAGCCTGAGCATGGAAGCTGGAGCCCGCACCATTGGAAGCCACGATTTGGGTTTCCTGCCGCCACTGCTGCATCTGAATCAGCTCAGCAGGGAAAGAGACGCACAAAAGCACTGAGAACAGGAATCGGTGAACAGAGTTAAGAGCTGGGCGGGCGGGGAGCCGTGCATCAACCTCCGATGAGTGAGGGAAACTGGGACTCTCCCACGGTCTAGGAGGTGCCAACAGAGGACATTCTGGGACCGGGCAGACTTGCTGGAACAGGGAGCTGTAGTGGCTTCAGTCACATATCCCTCTCTCAAGCGGGATTGGTGAGCAGTGCCTAGCTGCTGGCTGAGACCCAGTAGGCTAGCACAACCCAGGTCCCAGCGCCTGAAGGTGCACGCTAGCGGTGAGGCCTTTCGGTAGGTTGACCTGGAGGGGTGGGCCCCACATGGGCTGCCGGGTCCGTAACTCCCTGGTGCGCTGCGGTGTGCAGGAACACCTAGCCGGTGCAATTCAGTCAGACTCTGGCCGACAGGGAAGGAAGTTGGGCCTCCTATATACGCTTGCATATATAAGGAACAAAGAATATGGGAAGAGGGAGCAACAAGAAAGGCTCCTCGGCCCCCAATCCTGAGAAACAGGCAATAGCAGATACGCCACCAATAGACATAAAAAGCTATCTCCAGAGCCTCATAGACGAGTTCAGGAATGAAGTTATTAATGACCTGAAGCAAGACATAAGCAGAATAGTCAGAGAAATGCTAAGCACCACCCAAGAAAAAGCAGATGGTGGAATGGAAGAACAGAAAAAGAAGGGAGAATTGTTCAATGGAGAAAATAGAGAACACGTAGAATACATGAAACAGGTTCAAAGAGATTACCAGGAAACTAAAAACTCTATCAAAAACTGGCATAACAGCTTGAAAGAAACTAAGGACAGATTATCTGAACTAGAGGGCAGATTTGTAATATGAGAGCATGAAATGAAAAACTTCTTAAAAATAACAAAAAAACAAACAGCAACAATACAAAAGCTAGAAGATGATAAGAGGATCTATAACTTAAGAATTAAGAACATAAGAGAAGAAGTGGGGACACAAACAAATGGACTACAAAAGCTATTCACAGAAATAATCCAAGAGAATTTATCTAATTTAGCAAATGGTAAAGATACTCAGATATATGAGGCATACAGGATCCCAGCCACCTACAACCCAAATAGAGCTATACCCAGACATATAATAATCAAAATTTCAGAAATCCAATATAAGAGCAGAATATTAAAAGCTGTCAGAGACAAGAAACAGATCACTTACAAGGGAACACCCATCAGAATTACAGCACACAAACCATCAAATCATGAAGAGCATGGGGGGAAATAATTCAAGCTTTGAAAGATAATAACCTCCAGCCAAGATTGAGATATCCTGCACAACTATCCCTGGAAATTGATGGAAAAAGAAGGTACTTTCAGGATAAAGAGGAACTAGGGGAATATGCAACCACCAATTCAACTCTACAGAGAATACTGCAGGATATTCTAAAAAAAAAAAAAAAAAATACGAAGAATCCAGAAATAGTGGCAGAGAGGCCACAATGAATGGAGCAGAAAACATAATGAAGAAGACAAACTGACAACTAATGACAGAAAAAGAGTTCAAGAGAAATGAGGCAGAGAAGATTGGATGATAGGAACAGCTATCTTGGAGAAAACGACGTCATAATAGGTAGTGCTGATTTGGTATCATCTTATTTTGAAGTCCCATCAAGCTTTTGTTCTTCTGTCTCCATTGGTCTAAACATGTTGTATCTCATTGGATTTTATTATATGTGATAGTATAAACAAAAACTTTTATAGACAAGGAGATTATACAGAAACCATAGTTTATTATCTGTTAGTTGATTCTAAATACCCTGTAATACTATCATTCTCTTGAATGGTTTTACATTGTGTTTATATATTTGATGCTACAGTATACAAAGTTATACTCAAAGATCTCAAGGAAAGAGACAATATAGTAACTACTTTTACGTCAGGATTATCTTGTGGTGAAACACTAATTTGCTTAAATGGTTATGTTTTGATCTGCACTGTTTAGTTGTTATGCCCTCTTTTATTCAATCTCCATTTTATTATTTACTTTTTTATTTTTATCCTTTTAATTAAAGGAAAAATAAATTTTAAAAAAGCAGGATATATTATAGTAACCCACTTTGATTTTCTATTAACTTGATTTGAAGCCCTGTATTACTCTCACCGTCTTGTTTTTGACTGATGTCCCCCTATTCTGTTTTGCTTGATAGTACCAGGTTCGAAAGTTTAGGCAACAGCTGTGAAGATAGTGGGATTCATTATGACGCCCATAGTGGTTGACTATTATCTACTTTTGAAGACCTGTAATGTCTCCAATGTTTTGGTTTTGTTGGTTTCGTTCTTTACTGTTTTGTTCAATTTTATTATAACTGATGATATAGGCAATTCTATTTGAGATAGCGGGAGGCATTATGGTAACCATTGTTGATCACCTTGTATTATGTTTTTACATTATCTATTATGTCCACCCTTTTGATTTAACTGACTCTGTTCTGTTAAGTCACATTTGGTTTTACTCTCTTCCAAAAAAAGTAATAATAACTGTGGGAGCAATAAAACCCAAAATGTGTAATAGTCATTGTACAAAAGAGAGGAAAAGAAAGTGCTCTAAATGGTATAACTGCACGTAAATTTAAGTGTATAAGATACACAATGATATTACTGGATCATTGAACAGAACTGTTTACAGTCACACTGTTTGAATGTCCACTTTATATGCTTTAATCTTGTAACTTGAACAAATATTTCTAAGATGACAATATGTAATCCATTAACTAGTGATTTCCTACTGTTTTTTCTGAAATTCTGTGTAACTTGTACCCTTTTTCTGCTTTTTTTTTCTTTGTCTCCTTAAATAAAAAAATAAATAAATAATTAAAAAATTTAAAAATTCAGTATTTTGATACAAAGATACATTTTAAAAGAAAATTACATCTTATTCCTAACCTTTGCCTGGATACCTAGTGGACACTCCCTGTGCTTCCAGCATATCAGACACAGATTGTCAAGCTGCCTGCTGCCATGAGCTTTACTGAGAGGAGATCTCTGAGTGTGCCCAGGAAATACCTGAAAGCCGAGCCACAGGTTCCCACTAATTAGAACCCACCACCTCTACCTTCATCTCTCTTACATCCTTTAAAAGACTCATTCCTTTCTCCTCTCTGAAGTACTCTCTTCTGGCTTAATAAGATGGAAGACAACCAAGGGCAGCTCTTGTAGAGAAATTCTGCCTCAGCCTAGGAACGCTCACACATCTCCCCCGATTTCCCTTATAGGAGATGTATGAGAAAGTTAAAGAGAGAGGGACAGAGGAGAGAGAGACAGAGACAGAGATGGAGACAGAGACAGACAGAATTTTTTAAAATACCATCCTGCCACAGAAAAGACCATGAGAGTTCAGTCAGGTTCAGACCCAAAGCCAGGAGGCAAATTTGCAATAAACCGATAAGCCTGGATGCCAGCTGGGGACCAGGTCCTGTGAATCCTAGCTGTGAAACCAGAACCTCCCAGCTCAATATTCTTCTACAGTGGTGCTTGTTACAGAGTAAGATCAGCTTCCCCTTGTTCATAGCCAGCTGCCTTCCCAAGTCACTGCCCAGCCAGTCCCAAAGCAGGTGTTCTAATTTCTCATAATCTAAGAGCTCTGGAGAGAACCTCCTAAAGTGTGTCCCTAGTGTCTACACTTAAATCTATTTGTAAGTGCAGAGGTTCACAATAGTTCAACTTATAGCATTTTGCCATTACAGTGGTACAAAAGTGATACACATTCAGTAGAAATCATACTTTGATGACAAAGGTTTAGAGCACTCACAGTGCCACACAGTGAACCACCACACGATCAAAGAAGTAAAGGACTGATACTCCACAGAGTACTGCATTGCTGTGCTACAGTGTATCGTAGGCTAGATATGTTCAGGCATTTGCTACTCAGAATAGTTTCAGCTTATATTGGGCTTATCAGGACATAACTTGGTAGATTTTCAGATGAAGTTAGTACTCACGATGCTGGATATTCAGGTAGTAGTTACTTTCCTGCTACAGAAAGTCACAAGTGATCCAGTTCAAAACTTTGGCCATTCCAGGAGACCTTTGGTTCTAACTGGCATAAACCCTTCCTCTTCAAAACCCATTTGGATCTACTGGGAAAAAACTGCTTCTCTGGGAATGAACCAGATAATAGAACATGTTCTTAAATGTATCTCTCTTCATTTTTTCTGTTTTCCTAGTCAGATACAGAGTTTTGGGATAAGATGCAAGCAGAATGGGAAGAAATGGCCCGGAGAAACTGGATTTCTGAGAACCAAGAAGCCCAGAACCAAGTTACAATCTCAGCCAGTGAGAAGGTAACCAGTTCTGTTCTTACATATGCTAACCTCAGGCTCTGCAGCTCATACTTTAGACATTAGTCTAACCTGTGTTAAGAGCCTAAGAATTAAAGGTGATTTAATGTCAGTCTGACCTAGAAAAAATTATGATAGATGGAAACAAGATAATCATCCAATATGTAAGGCAGCCAAGCTGGTTGGCAACCAACCAGAAGTTGGATGCTGACTGCTGGCCAGATTCAGAGCTAACATTTAGATGGGCTGGCCAAGAGCTAGACTAATCCCACAATGCTTTGTCAGCCAGTCACTGTAGTCCTGCTGATATGTCAGTGACAGAAATGATATGAATGACAAGGGAGTGAGCCAGGACTTGGGTCTGTGTCCCTCAGGTGGTCATTACAGAGGAGCAAAAAAATGCCCTTCACACAACCAGGTCAAGTCCTGGGGATTCCTCAGAGATGCTCCCCTGAGCACAGCTCCAGCAACAAGTCCAGTGACCAAACAGCTGAATTACCTGTGAAGGTCCAAGTGCTCTAGGATTTATGTCTTCAACAATACTTTGTTAGGGATGGGGAAGCCATTTGAAAGATAGAAGAGAGATATGGAGTTTTCTTACACAGAAAAAAAATGTGTGTGTTTATATTGAAGTTTCTTCTGGTGAAGTTAATCTCTATAATGTTCAGTTCTGAGTAATGTCATGATATTTTGCTCAGTGCAACAAATACTTGCTGAATATCTACTGCTCTAGGAACAGGCATATGAGCCTGATTTTAATGAATTACTAACCTACAGTCATTAAAATGTCTCTTCTTCCAACATCTCTATTCTTCATCAGAAAATAGAACTATCATTAAAAATAACCATCTTTTGCACAAAGAAAACAAAATGTGGTAAGAAGAAAGAACTTTGCCAATCACTGGACACTGACCATAAATTATCATCCAGGCACTGGAGATCTCGCTGGTCCCTTAGCTCCTTGCTCCTGGGACCCCATTTCCACAGCACCATGGCATAATCTGATCATGCCCTACAATTTTTCTTTCTTTCTTTTCTGTTTTTAATGTCTTGAACCTGACGGTGGCAATCAAGGACGGAATTCTTTCATTAGTCATCGTGTTTAGGAATCTAGCATTTTTATTGGAGCATATTAGTAATGCAGGCTCATGAGATTCACTTTGGAATATTTATACAATGCATTTTCATTATTTTCACCCCCATTAACCCCTTCTCTTTCCTTTCCTTTCACCTTCCTTCATCCCCCTCCTCCATCTCTAAAAGTCTACCATCTAGTTTCCTATCATCTCCCATTTATTTATTCATTCCATTTATTTATGTTGCTTGCTCATATAAGAGATAACATAAGATGCTTAACTTTCTGAGTCTGAATTACTTGATGTAGCATGATAATTCCAGTTCTATTCATTTTCCTGAAAAAGACATCACTTTGTTCTTTTTTATGGCTAATACTCCATTGTGTATATATGCAAGATTTTCTTTTACTCATCAATTAATGGACATCTAGGCTGTTTATATAGCTTAGCTATTGTGAGTTGCATGGATATAAAAATGGGTATGCATGTATCACTTTAGTATGCTAATATTTTTTCTGGACCATACCCAGGAGTGGTACAGCCAAATCAAATTGTATGTATATTTTTAGATTTTTTTGAAAAATCTCCATGCTTACTTCCATATTTTCCATTCCCAACAGCAGTGTTGGAGAATTCTTTTTACCCCTCATCTTCACAGCATTTGTTGTTTTTCGTATATTTGATGGATTCTAACTAGGATGAAATAGGATCTCAATGTTAGATTTGCATTTCCCTAATGGCCAAATATGTTAAACACTTCTTCTTTATTTACTGGCCATTTGTACTTCTTTTGAGACTTCTTTGATCAATTCATTTGCCCATTTATTGGTTGAGCTCTTTGGCTCTTTTAGTATTAAGTTTTTGAGTTCTTTATGTAATCTAGATACTAGTCATCTGTGAGAATTGTAACTTGCAAAAGTTTTTCTCCCATTCTATAGTTTGTCTCTTCATTCTCTTGCCTCCTTTGTTACACAGAAGCTTTTTAACTTGATTTGGTCCCATCTGTTGACTCTTGACATTTATTATATACAGCGCTATTAGTCTGCCTGAGCCCGTGGCTTCAAGTGTTTCCCCAATATTTTCTCCCAGCAGTGTCAAAGTTTCTTATATCTAGGTCTTTGAACCATTTTGGTTTGATTTTAGCACAAAGTGAAATGTAGGAATTCAGTTCCAGTTTTCAGCATATGGTTATCTGCCTGTACTATTTACCAAGGAGGTTGTGCTTTTTCCAGCATTTTTGGCCCCCTGTCAAAAATCAGATAGCACTGGGCATATGGATTCATTTGTTTCTGTTCTATTCCATTGGTCTAATATGTTTGTTTTTGTGTCAATACCATGTTGTTTTTGTTACTATACCTTTGTGATACAATTTAAGACCAGGTATTGTGGTGCCTTCAAAATTGTTCTTTTTCAAAAAATTGCTCTTTTTACACAGGACTGAATTTACTATTCTGGGTCTTTTGTGTTTCCATATGAATTTTAGGATTGTTTCTTTTTCTAGTTCTGTGAAGAATTTTTTTAGTTCTTTATTGGGGATCACACTGACTCTTACAACACTCAGTAAAATGGCCATTTGAGCAGTATTAGTTTTGTTAATCCTTGGGCAAAGGAAGTCTTTCTATTTGCTAACGTCTTCTTCAATTTCTTTCTTCTATGTTTTGTGATTCTTATTATAGCAGTTCCTCACCTTTTTAGTTAAATTGATTCCTGGGTAGCTTTAAGCTATTTTGAATGGAATTGTTTCCTGATTTTTTTTCTTGATAGATTCATACTAGTGCATAGGAAAGCTATTGATTTTTGTGTATTAAGTTTTTTTATTCTGACCCTGTAACCTTTAATGAGGAGTTTTGTCAAGCTAAGCACCTAAGGGAAACAAGCGTCTCTACTTGACCCATTTTTAAATGTTGGTAACGTAACCAGTGGACTAGTTTATTTGTATCTATACAATCAGAGAGATTTTATGATAGTCTATGCCAGTAAAATTACAACCAATAACTCAAATATGTGCAGATGACAGTCTAAATTGAGACAAAGATTTTCAAAAATTCAGCTACACACATCAAGGTCCTAAATAGCCTTTAATCAAATAAATCCTGTTATGAATCCATACCAAAATAATAATCAAAAGAAGACAAAAATTCCAACATGAGCCTTTCATTTTAGGCTTAGCAATGATAGTAAAAATTTCAAAATAATCTGAACATCCATCAGTAATGGGGTGAGTAAATAAATTTAACATATTCATAGAAATAATTGTAATAACATGGAAAAATAATCATAATATAAAATCACAATATGTGGCATAACCCACAAGATTGCATCCATAGGATGCATACTACTTATGTAATTTATATTCGCAGAAAAATACCTGATGATTTTATTTGTATATTCTGTTTTATTTAAATTTCTACAACTAAAAAAACTATTTAAAAACTGTATCTTTAAAACATATATTTTACAGTAGGAGGAATATGGCCCCAGGGGGGCAAAAAATGTATTCTTATGGGAACAAAAAAAATCTTAGATATAGCAATGGTTTGTAGCCCTCTAGAGGGTCCAAGCAACTGAACAGATACACAGTATGTATTACTATTTCAGGGATTTGGGTGGAGCACTTAGTAAAAATATGCCTGAAGAGTCAGTATTTCATTAATATTTAGAGGAACTAGTTAAAACAAAAAGCGAAAAAAGAAATAGAAAGGAAACAAAGTCCAAAATACTAGCAATTGTAGTAATATTTAGGTTGTGACATTAGAGAAACTTTTTATTTCTTTTTATATTATCTAAAATTTATACAACAAAAAGTATGCATTCATAATGAGGAAAAATAGTAGTTTAAATTTTATTTATTTGTTTTACAATGGAGAAGAATAAATATGAAGATACAGAATTTCAAAACAAAATAATAGGACATTAGCAATGGTTAATATGCTGCATATTGTTATCTTCAAAGTAGTCACTCGGATTATAAGATATAGGCATGAAAAATGATCAAACAATGGAAGCACAAACCATTCTTTTTGATCAACTAATAGACATTAGTAGTATAGTCATCTAGCATATATTCCCTTCTTTTTCTCCTTTCTCTCATTCCAGATCTTTCTTCTTAAGCAGTTTCTTCTCCTTTCACTGTAACAATATCTACTCTACATTTTGCATCTTATTTACTCTTTTAGATTTATACACTAGGGAAACAACACAATGTTTACATGTGCAACTCTGATTTATTTCACCTGTAGTCTCAGGTTGCATCCATCCACATATAGAAGTCTCAGATGTATCCTTTTTTATAGCTGAGTAGTACTCCATTGTATAAAAATACCACATCTTATTTATCCATTTCACTACTGATGAGCATTTGGTTTGCTTCCAAGATTTAGCATTATAAATTGTGCTGATACAAACATGGTGTACATATATCATTGTGGTATGATGTTTTCAATTATTCTGGGAAAAAACCCAGAAGGGGGGTAGCAGGATCAAATGAGACCTCCAATCCTAGTTTTTTGAGGAAACCCACATTGATTTCCATAATGGTTGTACCAGTGAACACTCCCACCAACAGTGGAAAAGTGTTCCTTTTTCCCCACAGCCCCACCAGCATTTGTTATTGGTGGATTTCTTGATGATAGTCATTGTTTCTGGAAGGAGATGGAATCTCAGTGTTTTTTAATTTGCATTTCTTGGATAATCAATGATGTTGAACATTTTCTTTCATATATTTATTTGCCATTTATGTTTCTTCATCTGAGAAGTGTGCATTCATCTCAGATGCCCATTTTTGAATTGGGTCTAAATTTATTTGAATTGAATAAATTAAATAATTCAAATAAGTAAGCTACTTGAAATTTATAGAAATCTTACTGAAAGTAATGAAGAGAGAAATTGACGGACTGTCTCATGGCACTTCTCCATGCTGTAGGGGTATTACTTCCACACTGAAAACCCCTTCAAGGACTGGCCTGGAGCATTTGAAGAAGGTTTAAAAAGGCTGAAGGAGGGAGACCTTCCAGTCACCATCCTGTTCATGGAGGCAGCGATCCTTCAAGACCCTGGGGATGCAGAGGTACCGTTTCCTCTTCACTTCATCGGATTCACGATGTCTGCGTGTGCCAGTGAGGGACAGGACAGCTCCAGGCTTTTCTACAGGCATTTTCACCATGTAAATGTTCACCAAGGCATGAACATAGCTTAGGATGACATTTGACTGAAAGCAACAAATATTTTCTAACCAGGTTTCTTACCTGGTTACAGTACCCAAAGAAAAATGATGGGAACAGGAAATGAAAATATTAATTTGCCAAACTAAACCTCACAGCAGTTTCCAGGGAACAGAGAGCACTTTCATCTGGGTCTTGGACCACACCACACAGTGACCTTGATTTACATATTTGACATTTATTGAGCACATACTGTGTCCCGAAAAATTGCTCCAGGCCTGGCTTAAGACATAGAATAGCTGGAAAAATGTAACAGGTGAGAAGACACCTTCAGGGTCTATCTGGAGAAACAAGGAAATAAAGCAATGCAATGCAGTATACGCCCCATCAGAGGATGTGTGGACGGGGTACTAGGAGGTCAAAGGCAGGGATGCCAACCTGGCTTCCCTGTACGTGTATATCCATGGCTGAGTTCTGAAGGGGAGAGAATTAAAAATGGGGAAATGGAGTTGCATTTGAGAGGCAATGATGTGTGCTACACAGAAGGGCTTGAAACATTGTATGGGGGCCGAAAAGGGGGACAGAATGGTAGAGGGGAGGTGATAGGAGGCAGGCAAGAGTTGAACTACATCAGAAAACTGTAGAAAACCACTAAAGAACCCTACACTCTCTCTGTCTGTCTATCTCAGTCCCTTTGACCCCTACCTGGTATGTGTGTGTGTGTGTGTGTGTGTGTGTGTGTGTGTGTGTGTGCGCGCGTGTGTGTGCGTGCATGTGTGTGTGTGTGTGTGGAAAAGACAATATAGAATAGCAGTTAGCCTTCCAAACCCTGCTAAATAAAATGAGACAAGTGGTGTGATTTAAGGGCTCCAGGAGGGTCAAAACCCTTTAGCTGAGCTCCAGACTCTGAGGGCTAAGATAAAGACTTTTCTGGACTGCCCACTTTATTTATTAGGTCCAACAACAAGGGGCGGGGAAACTGAGGAAAGCATAGGCAATGAGCAGGACCGTGGGAGTCACTTCAAAGACATCTCCAAGTAATGAATCAAGTCAATTCAGTAGAATTGTCTTATCGTGAAGACAGGGTAGGAGTGAGACTGTAGGAATAATTCTTGAAACTGTCGTCTCTATCTACTTAATTGATGTTTGAGCCAAGTGTCTGCAGCTGTGGTCTTATCATGCCCTCTGAGGTATCTCTGGCCTCACAGGCTACTACAGGCCTCAGCCAGGACCAGTGATTCATAGAGGTTCACTTACTATGAATCAGCTCCCATCACCAGTCAAGCGGGCCGAGGCCCAGGACAGACTCACAGACAAGCCAAAATTTATATCCTGCTCAGAGCCGCTTTGTGGTGGTCTCCAACAACTGAAGCCTTCTAAATTTCAGTTCCATTCTACATAATGGAGGTCATAACAGTCACTTATCAGTGGCTCCTAGAGGGATTAACTTATTTCATACAAGTGAGGTGCTCAGATCAGTACCTGGCACATCAGTGGTGAGCCTTCATTTCTTATCATTGAATTACTTAGTTTGTATACAAAGAATAAATAAACTGATCACCAGTTTTTGAAAGTTTCTACTGTCTTTTGGAGGGCAAAAGATTTACAGTAAAGTAGATTGAACTGGAAGCTATAATTCTAAATTAAAATGTCATTTTTTTAAGATACAGGAAATAGTGTCATCTTGCATTTATAAATTATACATATTTAACAAGAGATTTTGTATCTCTCATATCATTCACCACAACAACACTGGGAAGTTAAAAAGAAAATATATCATTTTCCCAGATTTGTAAATGGAAAAGTTAAGGTCTTTAGTAACTGAACTGATCCCAGATAAGGCTTTGTGTAGACTCCAACATGAAGATAATGATATTGTAGATAATGGAAATGGCAGTGTGGCCAAAGGCTAAAAAGAAGCCCTTTGGAAAAGTGATTGATCTCTTCTCCAGAAGTAATCTAATATTCGTGAAAGGGGAAATCTAAGTGGGAGCTGTAAGGGATCACCAATAATCTGGCAGAGAAATAATCAGGATTTTGCATGGTACAGCTCATCTTAAAACTTCTTAATACAAACTGGACTATTTAGCTACATTTCCGGGTTATTTTTCTATCCATTTTCCTCACAATTGTATAATTTTTCAAATTCATCTTTTGATTTTAAGTTACCGAATATCTTAAAATCTCAGAAATTTAGAGGTTTCCATACCCCTAGGATACAGGAGGGGATTAAAAATACTGGAGACAGAATCATGACCCAGATGTCACAGAACAATTAGAAGAAATGCACTTTATGTTCTCCCTTGTACATACCTGTTCCTTCTGACTCAGGTTGCACTGCATAAGAGATCTGTCATAGGTAAACCAAGAAACGGGCACGAGTAATTAGTCGGTTTTCTTACAGGCATGGCAGTTTCTTGGGATAACCCAGGCAGAGAACGAAAACGAACAAGCAGCCATTGTCGCCCTCCAGAGGTAGATGGAGCTAAGTGCAAAATAATGGGGCCTGGTGGACTTTGGGCAGTGGATTTCCTGTTTTAAATTTGTGTTTTGACCCTTGTTGAAGTACGGGGTAAAGAATTTGGCCAGAATAAGTATCAGGATATCACATATCACTCACATTTAGCTCTGTAAAACAAGAATTCATGATAAAGTCACACTCCTGAGTTACCAGGTTTTGCTATGTAGGGAGGTTGTACAGGCACTGAGCTGGCTATTTCAAGGCTTTTCCAGGAGTTACCAGCATTGTCACTGCCTAGTGGCTTACGAGACCTGCATACTTCTGACCTCACCCCAGACTTCTATACAATGTTCATTCTACAAGATCACTGCATGATTCATATGCACTTGGAAGTGAGAAGAGCCCTTGAGAGAGGCCCATGGATTAGAACAAGGGGGAGCAGTGATGACCTGTGTTTCCAGTAAGCCCACATCAGTAGTGTGGAAGCACAGGAATTTACTTCTTCCTTTACAAAACACTGTACAGGCTTTCATCTCTGTATGCACAAATTTAGTTCAAATCCAACTGGGGGTGGAGGGTAAGGTAATGAAGCAGCATTAAATTATGATATCCCTTACTTACCATTAGATTAATTATTAATACTTTATGTGCTTATCTAAAGGTGCCAATCATCAGGATGAGTTTTAACTTCCTTAAAAATACTCTGGTCTCAGTTTTCATATAAAGAAATATGGTGTTTTTCAGAACTGACATAAACCAATTTAACAATGCCTTTGTAACATTTGATTAACAAAGACTTCAAATTTTCTAAAATACTGTTAGATGCTATATTGGAAATATCTGAACGTATTTGTTTTACCTTCTTTCAGGTGCTTAGAATTGCAGCCCAACAACTTGAAAGCTTTGATGGCCTTGGCTGTGAGTTACACAAACACTGGCCATCAGCAAGATGCCTGTGAAGCTCTGAAGAACTGGATTAGACAAAACCCAAAGTATAAATACCTTGTGAAGAGCAAGAAAGGATCTCCAGGCCTCACTCGGCGGATGTCTAAGACTCCAGTTGACAGGTATCCTTCTTACTAAATCATAGCTGGCAGTAAACACTCATACACACAATCAGTTACCTTGAGGATAATTAATCAGATCTCTACCACCTCTCACCCCTCACTTTTAGGGTATCATTATGCACTGATTAGAATGATTGATGTTGAGATCAAGGCTGTTGTGTTTTCTATCAGTTCTCCATCACTGTGACAAAATATTGTAATTAACTTGCGAGAAGGTTTTGGAGGTTTCATTCTATGGCCAGCTGACCCTTTTGCTTTGGGCCTGTGGTAAAGCAGCACATCATGGTGGGAGCACGCGGCAAAGGAAGCACCTGTCCTCATGGAGGCCAAGAGGCAAAAAGAGAGAAGCGATTAGAGTCCCAATACCCTCTTCAGTGACATATCCCCCTTTAATCCAGCTTCTCCCCACCAGGCTCCACATTCCAAAGGTGCTACCACGTCCTGATACTCCCAGAGACTAATAACCAAGTCTTTAACATGTGAACTTGGCGGGGAGTGGGGATATTCATCAGATTTAAGCGATGATCCTCGTGCTTTCTTCAGCAGTGCATATACTAAAACAGCTGTCCTTTGGACACAGGATCTGCATTATGTGCATTCAGAGACACGTATCAAGTATCATACTTTAAAACTAAACATTTAAAACATCCAACTCACCTAAAGTACAATAAGTGCCATGTTTTATAAAATCTGAGGGTTAGAAATGGGCACATAAAAGAAGTCCTTTCATCTAGGAATTTTGGCTTTGTGCTTTGATTTGGTTTGCTTACTTGCCTGTTCTGGTGGTACTAGTGATTGAATGCAAGACCTTGTGCATACTAGGCAAGCACTCTAACACTAACCTACATCTCAGCCCTTTTATGGAGGGTCAGGGGACCAAGGTCTGCTTAAATTGTCCAGGCTGGCTGCAAACTTGCTATCCTCTGCCTCAGTTTCCTGAGAAGCTAAATTACAAGCATACACCACCATACCTGGCAGGAATTTTGTTTTCTGTCAATGATAAATCCTGATTTAAATTCTTAATCACTAAGATCGTTGGATAATTGGCTATATTTTTAACATTTAGTATTAATAATCTCCTCATTAGACTAAGATATTTTTAGCAAAGTTTTCCAGTTGGTAGTGAAGAGAGACCTGAAATAGAGTCAACTAAAGTTGTTAACCATTTATGCACACATTACTTGGTTTATGAATCTTTTTTCTCTTGTAGTTCTGTCCTGGAAGGAGTGAAAGAATTATACCTAGAAGCTGCCCATCAAAATGCAGACATGATTGACCCAGACCTACAGACAGGTCTGGGAGTACTGTTCCACCTGAGTGGAGAATTTAACAGAGCAATAGATGCATTTAATGCTGCCTTAACTGTTCGGCCAGAGGTAAGAAAGCTCAATCCAGCCAGAGACCATAAGTTTCTCTGTAGTTTCACAGGCTACCCTCTATACATGTCTTCTAGGCTTTATCACCCACCCACGGCCCTCAGGGTTTAAAGTGACGGGTACTAATGATGTGCTTCGGTGGCTATTAGACTGAAATATCTAAAGTAGAAACATTAACTCATACAGCATCAAATGGTAATTGCTTGCTAATCAGCAAACATCATTTCACAAAATTGTCCTGAAAACTTTTGAGTAATTCCTCCCAACATGGTCTCTGTCCTTGAGCACTGGATAACTTTTAGGCTTCTTCCTTCTTCTGCAAAGAAATATGGGAACTCTGGTTCACTGTTGCTTGTTCTGGTTGTCAGAGGGCTCTGATTTTTGTCATCAGGACTATTCATTGTGGAACCGTCTTGGGGCGACCTTAGCAAATGGTGACCGAAGTGAGGAAGCCGTGGAGGCCTACACACGAGCACTGGAGATCCAGCCAGGCTTCATCCGGTCCCGATACAACCTGGGGATTAGCTGTATCAACCTGGGCGCCTACAGGTAAGAGCATCAATAGGCACACTAACAGCCACACTTTGCACCGAGGCTCAGTAACTTGAGACAGTTTTTCCAAATAACTAGATCTAGTTTTGTAACTGTATTCCTCTCCCTGCCACTAAGGGTAAGTGGAACCTTCTGACCCTGCAGCCTGTTTAAGCAAGGACTGTATGCTTCCCTCAGTTGCAGTCCTTAGACAACTGTAGTCATACAGGCATCTTGGGAGATATAGATTCCCATGCCCCTCACCGGACATTCTCAGGCTGCCTCGGTTAGGACCAGATATCTGGGTTTTTAACCCTCCTAAGGCAACTATTTATAAAGCACAAACAGTCCAAGCTTTCATTTTCTCGTTAAAGAAAAATAGGGCCTCAGAGATGTGGGCATGGAAAATTGGCAAAATGATTGCAGAAGATCCCAGAACTGGCATTTAGCAAAACCAAAGCAAGAACCTAGGTTTCTAAACCTAATGTCCCAATAAAAAGATTCTGGAAATAAAAATGGAAAAAGAAACTATATTTTGAAATATCTTCCTCATTTTCTTAAGGTCCATCATCATCTTTCAGATATATTTCTTCTCTGTCTTTTCCAGTTAACAAGAATCATACTATTTCTTTTGGATAATGAATGTGATTTTTTTCTTTATTTTTCTGTTTTCTGAATAAACAAGTATGTCTTTCACAATTGGAAGAAGAGAATTAAATGTTAATTTTAACCCCATAAAAATGTAAATCCTTTCTCATTTTCAGAAAAAAACCAAAGTTTTATAATCAGACAAGCCAGGGCTCAAATGACAGCTCCATCACATACTTAGAGCGTCAGTTTTTCCACTTTTAAAAGTGGGATGGGGGTGATCGAGAGGGAGAGAGGGAGAAATACAACTATCTTGCAGGATTATTGTGCACATTAAAGGTAATTGCCTAGCATGGAGCAGATACTCAGTGCCTCATAAGCATTTATGATGATTATTATTGCCATCAGCAACAGCACCTTTATTACTATGATTTATTTAGACAATCTCAGAGAACTACATAACTACGTTGCATTCTTTTGATATCTGAAGAATTGCTATTTCCAAACTACACTGGTGCATTTTGCCCCTGGCAAATACTGAAGTGGGCCTCAGAAAACAGTTGTTGCATTTATACTAAAAGGATCTTGCAAAGAACATTCGTCCCTGGATGGCACTGTATCTTCCAAGATGATTTTCCTCAGGTTAAAGCCAGGAAAAGCTGAGTGACTCTTGAGCAGCTGGTCTTTTATTTGATGGATCCAAACAGTGCTGCTGCGGAGGCCCTCTTTACTTCAGCTGTGTGAGGCCTCAGGCTGGCCCTGGCCACCTCCCCACACAGCCACTATCTGAAGCCCGATGGCTTTTGGATGCTAACTTTATTTCTGACTCCATCTGACTTTCCTATTTATCCTTTTTTTTCATATTTTTGTTGGTATAATATGTATATGTATTTTATGAGATACCTTAAATCCTTTTTTTGGAACAAGATGTGAACAAATACATATATACATATCGATATAGCACATTAAAGGAGGCTTTTTACAAAGTTATCAAGATGATTTTTTCTTAATTGTAATGTCTTAGTACAGAAAATGGTATTCATGAGCCCAGTTCAGCAGGACCTTTATTTGACAAGACTGTGATGGGTACACATTAGCAATTCTGTTGACTTGTGATGTATAAATCCTCGAGCTTAGTCTTCTGCATACGAGCGAATCAGTTCACAGTTGCCAGTTAAATCTGCATTTCACATTAACAAGTAATTCCCAAATCGCAAGTAATTCCCAGCTATTGTGAGATATACTTATATTAAAATTGGGTAATAAAATTATTCAATGTACATCTGAAATGTAAATTCCACTGTGTACCCTATATTTTTATTTGCCAAATATTAACAACCCTGATCAATTAGCTACTCTGGAACATCTCAAGTAAGCTTTGCACATCTTTTAGTGTTGTAAGAAGGGATACATATTTTATGGCTTTTTCTGAGGAAAAAAGACCATCGAGAAAGGAATAAACCTTCAGTGAAGTCTGAGGAGTTTGGAGTGTATGTATATGCTTAGGAAATAATAGCTCTCAATAGAGAGGAGAAATGGCCCAGGAGAAAGTACAGGAGACAGCCAGGAGCTGGCACAAATACTTCCATTCTCACAGAAGAACTCCCTGAAGAACTTGGGGTGCCTGTGTGTGTGTGTGTGTGTGTGTGTGTGTGTGTGTAGCTGTAACACTTGCTGTTTGACATCTCACATTTCCTATAGGGTCAAAAGCAAGCCCTTGCCTGTTGCTGTACACAGTGGACACCAGGAAAGGAGATTGTTGATGTGAAATTTGGGTAGAGTTTAAAATATTACACCTTTGTCAACAAGAGCTCCAGAGTAAAGCTGAATCCAATGAATCTTAACGTTTTTAAATGTGAGGACCCTCCACTTTGGTAGCAATGCTTTCAATATTCATACAATGAGAGAAAGCTACTACAGAGTGGATAATGCTTTTAAATAAATGAGTTTTTTATTGAACATAATATATACAAACTGTTTGCAATTATCTATACACTTGGTGTGAAACATTTAAAAACCACTCATACAACACATGTGTAACAGTGAGTTCCTCTGGGCTCACAGGTTGAAGAACAGGTCTACACTATCTTCATTCAAAACCTTGCAGGGGCTTGATGAGGTCAATAAATTAGACTTTTCTTCGGTGACTCTTCCAAGCCCTCTGAAACCACTGATACATCCTCAGGGCTGCACACAGCTGGTGAATGAGAGGATTCTAAGATTTACCTTTGCCAGAGTTCTTACCAGCCCTAGGATTACGAGTAGAATCTGGGAGTCATTTTCATTAGAGCTGCCACTCTGTGAGGAGGGCCAGGAAGTGGCTGTAACGCCATCTTCCTGTTGCCATTGGTCTCCAAGGCCTCCTCTCCCAGAAGAGGGATGATGAGGACACCCACTCGGTGTTCTTACCCACGTTGCCACATGCAGCATCACCATTTCCCACCTACTTTGTATCTGCAGGCAGAGCTAACAAAGTAGATGAGCACATGGCAGATCATATGCATTGGAATTCGAAAACCAACCCCCCCATTCGTGGCTTCTTCCCTTATGCCTAGTAACAACCTTCCACAACTAAGTAAGTTCGAGTGTGGGCAAGTTTTTGAGAAAAATAAAGCAGATATAAAGGAAAGTGACATGATTGATTATTCCTAGCAAGAGTCAGCTTGTAAGATGTGTAATATAAGGTCAGGGTGACCTGGGCTGCCGAAGAGAGCAGAGCCAGCGGGGGCAGCTGGCAGCAGGCACAGGGAGAGGGAGGTTTGCAAGGCCTGCAGACAGCATCTAACTCAGCGGTTCGCAAACCACACGTTCTCACCTGGTGATTACTAAGAACTCCAGAGGGCTTTGTTTATGTGGATTTTATCTATCAATATTTACCACTGTAGAAGTTAAACTTACAAACACTTTAAAAGATTAAGTCAAGGGGTTGGGGCTATAGCTCAGTGGCACAGTGCCTGCCTGGCAAGCACAAAGTTGTGAGTATGATTCCTGGTACAAAAAAAAAGAGTAATTCAAAACTAGTAAAACCTATTAACAGGAATATTATTTTGCAAGAAAATAATTATTTCCTTAAACAAAACTATGTCTAGAAAGAAGTGACAATCTTTCACATTTTTGCAAATTTCATTTAACATTTTTAATTCCTTGCTTACTAAAAGATAAACATTTTTATGTTAATCTAAAGAAGTAAAGAAAAAGATAGATCAACATAACAATGATACTAAGTTTCAAAACTTGGATCATTACAATATTACAATAATTTATACATTATTACAATAACTGATACATTATGTATTATCTTTGTAGTTGTTTTTCAGAGTATAAGATATAAGCATGATTATCTTGTCCTAAGAGCATTTGCGCAAAACATTCTAAAAGATAAACTTTCATATCAACTTCTACATTCAATCTGTCAAGATATGTCACAGAGTATAATCTCTGGAAAATCCCACTCTCTGGATATGAGAAAGTGGAGGTGGAAAGTCAAATAATATCTCAGGTTTCTTGTGAAAATGGTTTTAACCTCATTGATTTCCAAGATTCCCTAAGACCGCACTTTGAGAACTGTTGATCTTAATGATAAGAGCTTTCACAAAAATTGATTCAAATGGCCCTCACAGCAAAAAGTTTTAAAATGATTCCTGTTAACCGTGTGACACGCCCAGGGAAACTGAACCTTGAAGAAGGTAAGAAATTTGCCTGTGGCTCAGGATACAAGCCCAGACACTCTGATAGTAAATTCAACTCCTTCCTACCTGTATTTCATGTCTCTATCACTAACAGGAGAAAATTAGACAGCTATGTTTCTGAGTAGGGCCATAGTTTTTACTCTTGAAGTCTCATGGTAGCAATCACACCTGCAAGTAGACTAAGCATTCAAATCACTCCTAGAACAGGGTAAAATAAAATGCATAGGTAGGTTAGCAGTGTACTTTCTACTCTTCTCCCCACATTGCATACCTAAAGTATTATTTTTCTCTTCTTTTTTCTGATTTCGCTGTATTTAATGACTGTTGACAAAAGAATAGAGAATCAGAAAGTTGCTCATCTGATCATCTAAAACACCATGGGGAATACAGGATTTCACACTGTAATAACTTACTCTGTCTTTTTTTAAAGCTTGATAGCTCCAAAATTCGTTGTATCTTAAAATGTCTGTTTTTCTCCCCTCTTAGAGAAGCAGTCAGCAATTTTCTCACTGCGCTCAGTTTGCAAAGAAAGAGCAGGAATCAACAGCAAGTTCCTCATCCTGCAATCTCTGGGAACATCTGGGCTGCCCTCAGAATTGCATTGTCACTGATGGACCAACCAGAACTCTTCCAGGCAGCCAATCTTGGTGACCTGGATGTCCTCCTAAGAGCTTTCAACTTGGATCCTTGAAGGAACAGAAAAAATAAAGAATAATTACCCCCCTTCTGTGTTATTATACTAAGAAGTGAAAACCTGTTTTATTATGAATTTCGAAAAGGATAAATCAGATATTCAAAAGGCCATGGTCACATAGCCCAAGGGAATTGACTTCTACAAACAATGCTCAGTCTGTTCAGATCCAGAAGCACAAATAGAGTCAAGGTGAGATTTAAAAGAAGAACTGAGAGATGCAAGACCAACCAAGATAAAGTAACTGCGTGTACTCTTCCTAAGTTCCAGTGTATTGCAAAACATATTCTTTGGGTTTTTTTCTCCAGTTGCAGCTAATGGCACATCTAATGAATCTGTTTATAGGGCACATGAAGAAAGCACTGTTTCTTTCTGATCAGGGAATTCAGACTGGATCTAGACTGTCCCCAGAAATTCTCCCTTTTACAAGCCTGAAAGTTTGGGCTATCAGCGCATGCACATATATTACTCAACTAAAGACAGGCATTGCTTAACCTGTTCCTGTTTTAACTTTTTCTGTGGCCCTTGTTTCCAGAGAGGGAGCTTTGCTGGAAAAGCAGTTTTTGCACTAGAAATTTTTGCTGTTCCCAAACAAAACTTTTCTGGGATTGTACATACGCACTTTAATATCTTATTTATGCCTTGCTGGAGTTTTGTTTCGTTGCTCCAATTTTTAACGTGGGGTAAAAGATTTGAGAATTCAGACTTGTTAGATCAATGGACCAAATAAAAAATTTCCTGAAAATAGTTTTTCATAGTGTAGGGTTTTGAGTGAGTGTTTTTCTTAAAGCAGACATGACATAGAGTATAAATATGTCAAATACAGATCTTCACATGCTTTCTGGTACTGTATGGCTATAAGAGGCAAAATTCTGTCTCTTTGTGCATTCTCTGCAGAGAGAAATCTTGATGATCCCGGGGTTTCTACTGAGTTGGCTTAAGTGTCATATTTGACTGGCTTTCTAACTCCCCTGCACAATAATGTTTCTTTTAAATTGTTACTACTTAAATAATATTCCTTCAGAGTGATAGTTTTTCCTAAAAATGATGTGTTTCCTTAGTTGCATAATGATCTGCAGAGTTAGTTTTCTTGTGAGTGATAGAAGAACAACATACATTTTTTACCTGAAACTCACCAAATGTCAGTGGATTCAAAGATGCATGCCCCTTTGGCTCTTATTTCAAACATTTAGCAAGTCACAGGAATTTTCTATTGGCAATAGTGTTTCACTTTGCACTTAGTACTTCAGTATTTTGTGCATATTTGGAGCTGAGTGATTATTTTGAAAGTATATTTTTCTCTTTTTTTAGTATATTTTTCAAAGAATTAAAAAAATGTTTGCAAAAATCTAACCAAAATATCATTTTACCCAGGTCTGGTTCTAGTAAGGTGTCCTATCCTTCACCTCATCTCCTTTCTTGCTCCTGAACCTTCCCCGAAAGTAGTCTGGTCCCAATTTTTTGTTCATGTTCTTTGGTGAATAATAATAACTCACTATACTCATGGTGATAGTTACCAAAAAAGATAAAGTTTGGATTAAAGCAGTTTAACTGACTGGGGAATTCACTTCTGCTGACGGGGAAATGTGCACACAGCTGAGAGACTGGACTCCAGGTGCAGGTATGAATCCTTCCCTCGGTTACCTTGGGGTTCCCAGGTGGTGAGGAGTCCTGAAGTTAACTCGGAATCACAGGTTTAAAGCTTAGGTCCATGACAACCTATTCTAATTTGCAAAGATGAAGGGGTAAGGACACTGCAGTGAACACCAGGCTTTAGTATTCACTGTCAAAGCTTCAGCTGACAGGACGACAGCTCCAGTCCAGCAACAGAAGGCAGAGGCTTGAAGGCATTCATCTTTGACAGGAGTAACAACATTGTCCTGGCCTTCGTCTCTCTATCATCTGAGCAGAAATGGGAAGATCAGCAATATTTTCAAGAATGACCTTGGTTAAAATTTTAGAAATTAGAAACTCAATCTGGTAAGAAGTCTTGGGGCCAGCTTCCACCTGCCTTCTGGAATATTCCCAACAGGCCAGCATCCACTCCCTGCCTGCTCATGATCTCTGCATACTCCGTGACTGATCAGTTTACTTGAGTCCATCAGAGTCCATTAAGAGCCTCTGAACAAAGGACTGAAAGCAAACTTTGAGGGTGTTTTGTTCGTAATGGCATTCTGTACTCGGGTCTAACTGAATTTGCAATGATGAGATGCTATTTTCTCACCTTGCTAGCGAGTTGGGAGCGGAGGTACTGGGGATTAAACTCACGGTCTCATGCTTGCCAGGCAGGCACTTGTGCTGCTAAGCTAAACTCCCAGTGTTGCAAGCAATATTTGCAAGAGATCAGTAACAATTTAAAGTCAGAAACTAGTGTGAATGTGGGATAGTTTGGTATTGGAATTCAAAGTAACCTCAAAGTCCACAGAGTTACTCTAGAGGAAAGCTGACAATTTTCCACTCCCACCATTATTTAGCAATTTATAGAATGTGCAGTGGGACTTTCTGTAATAGATCTACTATTATTCATTGGAACTAAGATTTTAAGCCACACCTGTAATCTAAGCTACTCAGGATTCTGAGGCAGAAGGATCGGAAGTTGGAGGTAAGCTACAGTATCTTAGTGAGATTGTTTCACAATAAAAATGAGTTTAAAGAGCTAAGAAATAACTCAGTGATAGGATGCTTGTTAGCAATTCCAAGGACCTAGGTTCAAACTCCAGTACCAAACAAAACAATAGTAATAACTAGGATTTTTATAGACTATTATCTGTCAGGAAGTCCAAAATTACTGCCCAAGAAGAGTTGCAATTTTCTAAGTGAAAAGTTTATGAAAGTTTATGAATATAGAGCAGCACCAAAAATTAACAACAAAATTTTAGAATATTCTTTGCCATATATACTTTTTTTAAGTGTATTCACTTTTGTTTGAAGTGCATTTGAAATCTTCATGACTGGAAATTGTCATTTAAGTTAAATGTTTCCATTTAAAAGAATAATGTCCTTGGTTCTCTTCTGAAGCTCTTGGGAAGACTTTGAGTATCTTTATAATTTTTCTTCTATCAATGAGTAACAGCCTGCCAACTCTTTAAGATGGTACTCATTTACTAGAATGGCTGGTCAGTTATACATAGGTGATCTTTAGGGACTGATTTTGTCAGCAAATTGAATGGAAATGCACACAAAGCCACTGCTGGTTCAAAATGTAACTGTTTGTAGTAAGTATCTTTATAGGCTACTATAACTCAACAGTGTGAAGAGACAGAGATAGAGGAAGAGGAAGAGGAAATGCAAAGGGTCCTCTTACTGGGCTGGTCTCGGTGATGCTACATTCTCCTCGCCTTCCCCAAGATCACTACCAATGACTCCTGAAAGAAAGGCACATCTTGGCTACCAGGAAACTTTAACAAGGACACTGCAAGGTGTGACTTCTTAGCTAATCTGGGTTTCTACCAGAGTGGCAAATAAATGATACAGAATGACATCTGAGTGATGGCTAGGAATGTCCAGGACAGGCACACTTTCAGTTTAATGACACTTTCTTTCATATTAAGACACTTTTGATGTTGAATCTTGGGCCCATGTCTAAATTCTTGAATAGACTAAAACCTTACTGGTATATTCCTACACACAAGCAAGATTTGAACACAGTGGTAACTAGTCCTACTCAGGCATCCGAACTGCTTACTATAAACTTTATCTGTGAGCTCCTCAGGATTATAAAGAAAGCAAGATGGTTATTTTTGCGTCTCTTCCTCGTTTATCCTTGAACAGTTGCACAAGGCTACATTACACTTTCAGTCTTTATGGGAATGGTATTATTATACTTTGAAAACCCCTAGAAGCATTCTAGAGACAGGATGCCCTAAGACTTAATTGATGTCCTATCTTTTTGAATCCTCTTCTTTTAGAAGTCATTACACAGCTACAATACTCAACCTCAACTTGGTAAAAGCAATTTCAAATTCTTTCCCTGTCTAAATTTTACCGCACTATTTCCCTGTCATCTCAGTATTTATAGAACTGGTTAAAATTAACTGTTTTGAAATAAGAAGTAGATACAAATATATTTTTAAAGAGTGTTCATAGATGAACTCTGGAATAAAGTTTGTAAGCAGGCAATTTTTTTAAAGGAAAACATGTAACCTCAGGTATAAACATATTGCATGCATTAGTACTTACAAATCTGCCTATTCAAATATTAACCAAAGCATGCAAGATAACCTTACTGAATGTAAACTTACACAGTGCATGATTGAGTCTCACAGGTTAGTTTACTTTTCCTTGTTTCTGAACGAGAGAATTTTCTGAACACTTGTGTTCCAGTTTTGTTACCTGCTTTTATTATCCTATCCTTGAGATAGTTTTCATGCTGTCACACTGAATTTGACAGATGTTCACATTTCTGATTTGTGAAGTGTTGCAGACAGTGCCAAACTAATCCCCTAAAGGCCCCAGGTATAGCCATCCAAATGCTTTTCTTAAAAACCAACTGAGTCACAACAGATCCAAGTTGAAACAGATCTGCATGTCAGAATGATATTAAACTAAATCATGCTCATTATGTCAGCATATAAAAATTTGACCTCTAAATTCTTTATAATACAAGTTACAACTCCTCTACTAAGATGGGGAGGTTAATGTCAAACACACAGAAATCATCATAAGGCAAAGTAGACATGGGTGATAATTTTTGTAAATGTTACCGAGGGATGACAGAGTGTCACATGGGCTATGTAGGATATCATAGCATTGTTTTGATACAATCTTGTTTGTATGGCAAGTGAGCTACCTGGGTCCCTGTCCCTTGAGAAACTAGATTTGATCAATATGTCTACAGACTAACATTTAGGAGTGATGAGATGATTTTATGATCACTTGAAATCAACTCTGAAATTGTCAATGATTTTTCTGTAATCCCTATTAGATGAGACCAGAAATGGAGAGATTAAAATTGGGTAAAACATTGGGGTGCTATGTTGGTCATGGCTTCATTATCCATTTCATATGCTCCTACATATCACACACACACAGAGTAAACTCAAATATCAAACCCCATCAACATACTAAAGAGCCTTGTGTAATGGAATCAAGCAGTATAGTGGAGAAAGAGTGGAAATGTGAGGCTTAACAACCTCTGCTGTGGCATTTTTAGCTTGCACACTTTCTGCTACCTGCAACCTCTGCAGAAATACCAAAATAACACACTCTGTAAGCAAGTGTGCCAATCTAGGGAGTGTTTTCTCAAGAACTTCTCTAGTGTTGCAGACTATAATTCAGTGGGTGCTTTCAGAGAAACTGCAATGAAAACAACATGAAAATGAAAAAAGACCAATAAAACCACTCAGCTCAAGAGTAACACGTGTGTAGTTTGCTTTTGGTGTTGGTTTTTCCTTGAATTGAACTGAATTTGAATTCTTGGAGACAGAAACAATGTGACACAAAAATGACTAAGGATTGTACACACTCAACCAGGTAATTTGAGCATCTGACATTTTCGCTGACACATATAGTATTTTTGCATGGATAGCATGAAAGGATTGTGTTCATAATGACCATGTTACCAGTAGTGAAAGGAAAAACAACAAACTGAAATTTTTATCAAATTCTTTTATTTTCTCCCATATCCATCCAAACCATCACATCCAAACCCTCTTCAATTTTCATTTCTCAAGTTTGTTTACATCTGTTGAAATAACCTGATTAATTTAGTAAACTTTTTTACAAAATGAACATTTACTATTTAGAAAAGACATTTCTATATATTTTGTATATCTATGAATATTGCATATCTAGTCTAATCTAAAGATTTTGTTTTAACACAAATTCTGTGATGCTTCCTCATCATGCTCGATGTTTCAAATCGTGAGATCTCATTTTCAGGCTGAAATAGGTAACACAGAAAGAAAGTTACATGTTTTATTGAGTTTCTAAATTAATACCAATTGAAATTAAGTGACCTATAGTAAATTAACGGCAAGGGGGGATTTAAAAGTTATTGGCATACTATATGATATTGTATCTGTGATTTAGTGAAATAATATGCATCATAACACAAATTTGTTGGATATCATGGCTTCATCTTAGTCTTTCCTTGCATTGCTTTTTGAAACAAAAATTAATACTATAAAAATAACCTCACCATACTGGATGTGTTTAATTTACTCAGATGGCTTAAAATTTGCAAAGTACCAAGATTAAGGTAGTATTTTTATACTATTATTGGAAGCATGCCTTCCCTTTTACACATTATTAAATTGTATTTATATTTGTGCTGTTTTAAACTATGTTTTCAAATAAACTTTGTCTGTGGCTTCCAGGTCTTTTGAATATTTTTCAAAATGGGATTTGAGGATCTCAGCTGCTTCAAATCAAATAGAATACAATGTATACTACTGGTTAAAAGGTCCTTTCATTGAATATCATTGCATATGATTTTGCATGAGTTATCTGGAAATCAAGAATGCATTTTTAGATATATAAAAAACTTTAAGCCATCCATTGTGAATTTTTTAACACTAAAATATTATTTAACCTGAACCTGAAATTTGTGATCTTTTTAGAATAAAACTATTAAAATATATTTCACTTCAGGATCTTTCTTTGGGGGAAATAAATATTTGAGCACTATTTGAGCAAGCACTATTCTAGATGTGCAACAGTGATAAATAAAATCAAACCTATGCTTGAAAAATATGGATTTCTGTGGCAAGACTGAAAGTTCTTTAACAAAATGCCTATGCTGAAAACTGTAGAACAGGGAAAGTAAAATCAGAGTGAGCAGGGGTTCCTTCACCTGAAAATGATCAAAAAAGGTTTCTCTTAGGTACCATTTTGTTGAGATTTGAATAAGAACCCAGACAAGTGGAGTTAAAGAAAACATTCCAGGCAGAGTCAAGGGCTACTGCAAGATAGAAAGGTGGGAATGAGCTCAGGGCATGGACAAGAAGAAAGCAGGCTGCACAGCAAAGGTAGTGAGCAGGGCAGCTGGGAAAGTGTCTGGTGAGTAGCGCAGATACAGAGCCTTCCCAGAGCATGCAAGGTAAAAAGGGTGCTGTTAGTTGTTCGCAGCACTGGAGGCTGAAGTTTCTGTTTCCAAATGTCTAAGTCAGGTTAGAGATGGAGAGAGCACTAATCTCTGATAAGAACACCTAGAAGGCAGGACTGGAACGTCCTCATCTTACTGTTCATCATTTACTCTGTTGATCTTGGGCAGCACTGTTATGGTTTATATTTGGATGATCCCACAAGCCTCATGTAGTCATGGAGGCGAGTGAGTCTAGCGTCTGTGATTGGTTCTTTGTCTAGCACTGGGATTGGTGGTGTGAATGCTGCACCTGCCCAGGGGCGGAGCTAGCATACCAATATTGGGGTGGGGGGAGGAAACATACTTGTCCCTTTTGTCTTTTTCGCTCTTGGTGCATACGGCTGCCATGAATGGCTGCCCCCTAACCATACCACCCTGCCTTGGGTCCAGCTGAGTTTGGACTGAAATCCTCCAAAACTCTAAGCTAAATAAGCCTTTCCTTCCTTCATTTTGGGTGTCATATACTTTGCCTTAATAAGGACAGAAAACTAACCAAGACAAGCACTTAACTTTGGATCCATTTCATTTTACCATTATAAAGGCTCTGCTATGTAAGAATAAACCCATATATCTAGTAGTGGATTGAGGCCTTTACTCAAGATAACTCAAACCCTAAAATAAACCTTATGCGTCCTTCCTCCACTTGTTAAGTATGAAGTATATTAATTTCCTAAAATTGCTGCATCTCTCCATGTGTATATATAAAAGCAACCCAAGGTTTGAAGAGCTCTTTATCATTTTTACAAGAGTCCTTAAAGTAATCAAATTTAGGGCAAAAAAAATTTACCTTTTTTTTAAACTTAATATTCCATAATAAATAATGTTGCCTGTTGCATGCTAATCTTTTTCCCCCATGCTGGAGACTGAATCAAGGACCTCACACATGCTAAGCAAGGGCTCTACCACTGAAGTATACCCTCAGTCAATTGGTAATCAGATTAATGCACCAGAATTTTGAGAATTTATGGCTAATTTTAGTATTTTTCCCTATAGAACAAAACTATGGATAGGTGTATACCAGCCTTCTCAGCAGAAGTTCTTCACCTTATTTACACTTTGGGGCCTCACAGGAGAAACTGCTGATATTTAAGTTTGTGTGTCTGATTTATTTCATTTAACATTATGATCTCAAGGCACATGTTCTTTGAAAGGGAAACAGAAAGGAAGCTGACATATACTGAAATTTATCGTGTGCCAGATTTCCTAGGCTAGATGTTTCTATTCTGCCATTTCACCCAAGTGGGTACCCACCTGCCATGCTTTTGCTTTATAGTTAGTTTTACCTGGTCTGTACTTAACATTACTGCAAATAATGAGCATAATAGCAAAAGCTGTTAAACAAAAAGTTTCTCCTACAATAAGAGCTCACTAAATATCACATCTGATACTAAAAACTGACCCAAGAAAAAGCAAGACTTTAGAAGAAATTGCCAAAATAATAAAATCTAATAAAAGAACAAAATATTCTTGGCAAAAGATAGATTTGCAAAACTTGATTCCATGAAAATTATAGCTGCAAAAGAAAATTTACAATAGCAAGTTATAATATGGAAAAATCAATAATAGCCCCAAGCTGATAAATCTATCCTCATTTAATTTTCTGAATGGATACTAGTTAAGTTCGTTAAAATTGAAAGGAAAATATAAAAGCTTAAAGATAGTTCAACTGAATAGCTATTTTACACCATCTCCTCTTCAAATTTCCAACCCTTGTCATCCTCTCTCAGTTGACAATCTTACTTCCTTTTTCACTGAGAAAACTAAAGCAGGCAGTGAAAACTCCCAGATTCCAGCTGTCTTGGTCTCTGGCTGCCTCGTTTCCATCCCGTGATGAAATCAGCTCCCTTCTTTGGCACCAGATATCAGCCCTTTACCTGTTCAAGGACCCAGACTAGTAATTCTTCCATCTTACTTCCATCATCTCCAACATTTTGCTCTTTGACCTGTTGCTTTGTGTTTCATTTTGCTTTGTTTCAGCAAAAAACAAGTGTTCTCTTGGCCCAAATCTTCACTATCAGCTATCATTCAGTTCTTTGCTCTGTAGCAAAAACAAAAAACAAACAAAAACAAACACCTATAGAAGGTTGCCTGTATCCACTAGCTGCAATTTCTTTCCTCCCAATCTCTCTTCAATCTTCTGGTTTCATTCTTCCTCTAAATTTTTCATAGGTGACCTCCAGGTTGACCAATCTCATTCTTAATTTCTTTTTTAATTTTTTAGTTATTATTATTTTAAAGAGAATGAAACCTAACAGAATAAAGTCAATCAAAATGAGACAGTGAAAGTAGTACAAAACCTCAAAAAAGGATAACAGGAAATAACAATGGCTACCATAATGTATCTTGTTGTCTTCACAATAGTTGTCCATTCCACCAGACATAGTAACATCAAACAAGACAGAACAAAACCAGTCAAAACAGAACAATGAATAAAACAAAACAATAAATCAGAACAAAATAAAACAGTGAGAATAATACTGGATTTCAAAAACAAGACAGAAGGAAATCCCCCACATTTGTTATATTGCATACTGTTATCATCCTAATAGATGCTAGGACTACTGCCCTTGGGCCTGCAAAGTCAATCAAACAACACAAGCATTTAATTGCTTCTGTGCCTCAGGTGCTATCAACTCAGCCTGTCCTCAAACCAATCAGTTGCTTAAAAGAAGGCACTTCTTGATTCTCAGTCCACACGCCAGTTGGCTCACAGGAAGGGTATGAACTGACCTCTCTCTTCCTGGGCCCCACATGGTTTGCCTCATGCTTAATTCTTAATCCTCACCTTACTTAATCTATCAGTTACTTAACAGTTGTCAGTCTTTACCTCCTCTTCACATTTCCTTAACTGTCATCCACCTCAGGCACCATTCTCTTGCTTTTCAAGAATTACTTCTCTTGGTTTCCTTATATTAAAGTGATTTAACACTCAGAATCTCAACCTCTCCAATTTTCCATCTCTTTCCATTTCTAATTATATCCAGGCCCATTGTTTTAACTGTTATATAAATGCCAACTCCTAAATTTCTATCTTCAGACTTCCAAAATCCAGTGCTGTGTGACTATCTTCCTAGGCAAAATCAACTAGGGAGGTCTGAAAGGCATTTCAAACTCAACACATCCCAAATTAGATTCCCAATCATCTTTTTCCACCACCTACATTCCAACACTGCCAAGCCTTCCCTATATTAGCTTATTGCAACACTGTTCTTCAATTGCTAAGGACAAAAACTTGGGGATCGGCCTGGGCTACTCTCATTCACTCTCCCCACCAGGAAGACCTGCGGACCTGACCTTGTAGTGTATCCAGAATCTGACCATTCTTGCTGCACTGCCACCTCCCCACTAAGCCATCATCCTCTTAGCTCACTTAGCAGAGTAACCCCTACTTCTTCCTTGCCCTCCTGTCAACTGCTTTAAACAAAGAACAACATTAAACCCTCAATCAAAACCGTGTCATGCTCTGTGCACTCTACAGTCAGACCTTCCTAATGGCTTTCCAGGCCCCAGAGAGCTGGTTCTTGACCTCCTGTCGCACCACTCTCTCCCTCACCCCCTTCTCTCCAGTCAGGCGGCTTCCTTTGCTGCTCATCTGACAAAGCAGATACCCTGCCACAGCGGGGCCTCTACCTAGCTAGTGCTGGGCCAACCCTATTCTTTCCCAAACATCTACTTGGGGACACCACTGCCTTCGAGTCTTGGTTCAGACTGCACCACCAAAGGATGCCTTTCCCAGGCACCTAATTTACAGCTCTAACCCTTGCTCTGTGTTTCCTTTGCTCCTCAGCACTTACCTGTTTTAACATGTTATATAATCTTATTTTATATGCTGTGTGTATGTTTCTCCCTGTTAGATAATAAACTCGGCAGAGGCAGACTTTGTTAAGAGATACATTCTACAAAAAACAATGTATAGCACACAGATGTTTACTGTTTATTGAATGGTGAACCGTGCAATATAGACTAATAAATCCGCTGACTTACCAGAATAATCTGCGAAAAAAGTCCTTTTGAAAAAAGTTACTAATGTTGGAAAAGAATGGATTATTCCTGTAATTTTCCTCTAGGCACTTTGATTTTAGCCCCACATGACTGGTTTTCAGACTTCTAACCTAGTAAGTCACTATGTCTGTGTTAATTTTTCACATCAACAAAAGGAAACTCACACATCCTAGAAATGTGGTGTCCTGGAAACGCCAAGGTCTCTTGACAGAGTGGATGCCCCTTCTTCACTTACCGGCATTAAGGAGAACAGCACCCATCTGAGAGCCAGGGAACCTCAGAAGGGTCTTGGTTTAATCCCATGTGACTTGAAATCCAGCAGAGAAAGCCTAAATCACACTCCTCCCCCAGCCACCCCTCTCTCCTTCACAGAGGTAACAAGCAGTCAGCCCTGAGTCCTCCACCCTGGGGACCAAGCAGTCATCCCAAGAAATCCTGAAAACAGATAAAAATCAGTCCTGTGTCCAGGTATATTTGATCCCCTGATGGATGAGAACTACGTGTGGCAGAACCAGTTTATGTGGCACGTCTATAAAAGGGGGAAAAAAGAGCCACCACGGGACTTCAGATTGTGAGAATAGCTTTTAATTTAAAACAATCAAAGCAATAAATCATCCATCTCTCCATCACAGGCAAATACTCTCAAAACACTTGAGAGAATTTAAACAGTAACTGTGACTAGTGCAAAATAAAATAAATACAAACTCTTTCAGGAACCAACATCAAAACCTGCTGGGCAGGGGGCACAGGCCACAGGCTCAGCTACTGCCGAGGCAGAGGACATGGAGAACAGCATGATTTGCACGGCATTTAACACATCCGGCTTTGAACAGATGAAACAACACCTGATGCGGGGAGCGGGGGAAGAGAACCTCAAGAGAACAATTGCCTGCCAGGAGGCCTCACATGGCTAACATACCTGGAAAATGCTAGAAAATTAAGTGCAAAAGCAGCAGCTCCTCAGCACCACCAAAGAAAGGCAGTTTGGGCCCACTTGCTTTTGTTTATTAATTGGGGAGATATATATGATACATATGATTTTAAGCAAAAAAGTCTTCTGTTGTATGGGAGGTTTTCTGTGTCTCACAGTGCAGCTGACTCCAGCAAAAGTATTTGTGATGTTTCCATCTATTCGGATGCTTCGCAGATATCGTCTTCCCACATATGGGATTTCACTGCCTGCCTCACACTGAGCTGAGCACAGCACTGCCTAACTCAAGTATATTAGCCACACATCTCATTTTAAATTTTTCAGTAGCATGTTAAAAGTAAACTAAAAGTGGTAATATCTAATATTTATGAAATTGTTGTTCTAGTTCATCAATATAGCCAATATGATTTGTAATCAATCTAAATTATTGATGAAATACATATACTCTTTTTCCCGATACGCATCTCCTGGTATATATATTCAAGATTTGGTGTGCATTTTATGTGTAGAGTACATTCTCAGTTTGGAAGGCCACATCCCGAGTGGTCACTTTGCCACACATGGTTACTGACAAGCAGAGGTCTACAGAATTGAATGCAAACTCTTTTAGGACCATTTGCTGAGTAGGAATCTCTATGACACTACATAGGCAATATTACACACCAACTTAAGAGTATAGAATCTTTTTCTGTCACCTAGGATTTTCCGTCTAAAGGGCAGAATCACATTTTCATCTAGTCCCATGCTCTGGCCTGTCCCCACCCCCTGCAATCTCTCTACAGACTGCTTGGTCTGACAGATTTAGCAACAGTGATGTCTACATGATGACAGAGACAATCTTGCTGAGAGAAACAGGCTGTCAGCACTTACTAGGGAATCACAGCTCTCTGTGAGTGAGTCAGAATTTTCAAATATTCAACAAGTTTTACAGATTTAGCCGAAGCTTTCCAAGAAAGTATTTGAAATGGACTTTTGTCTATGAGGGAATCAGTAGCATACTACTACACTGACTGAAAAATATAAGCTTCAAGAGTGGAGAACAGTGAGATGATTATTGAAGTAAAATAAATGAAGCATAGAATAGAAATGAAGTGGGGACACTAAAAATGACAGTTTCTACACTGGGGTGTATAAGTGTAACAATCTAAAAGCCTGGCATCTAAGCCTCTAACTGATTCGTGTATCTCATATGCCTGATTCTAGTAGTAACCACAGTCAAGTAAAAATACAATAAGATGGTAGGGTAGGAAGAGACTTCTCAGCTCATCTGACCCATTCATTTTAAAGAAAAGAGCCAGAGAGGTAAAGTAACTCAGTCCTACCACACTTAGAGGCAGAATCAGGCTAAAAATCCAGGGACTCTTGCTGGGTGCTGCCAGGTAAAGGGAATAAAAGATACAGAGAGCCCAAAATGAGCAATGGGGAAATGGCAGGCACATTCTCTTGTAGGTTCAAGAAAAGTGGTTAGTCAATTCCAGAATACTGAATGAAAATGATACAAGTGTCACTAAAACATGAGTTTTTCCAATCATCTTTTCTATGTACTTCTTTTTCTTTTAAGAGAAAAATACAAATCTGAACCAGACAGGATTTTTGATTATTTAAGCATTTAGATCAAGTGACAAAATTAAAACTTTGATACATTACATTTTCCAAATACACATTCATTGGGATTGTACACAAACGGGTATCAAAAGGTATTTACAGGAAGAAAGTGCCATCTTTCACACAGAAACCTACAGACAGTGAGGACTTCACAATTATACCACCGTGCCTCACACGGAGGATTCCTAACAGGCTGATTAGCTGACACAACCCACACATTATTCCAGTTCTCCATCACAAATAATCTCATCTACACACATGTGTAAAAGTTAGCAATACATTTCACTTTTATTCCAGGGAAACCTGCTCTGTGTATACTAAGAAGACACATAGAAATACATCTTTACGCAAGAAATTCATTGTTTGCTCCAGTTTTTCCCAACTGTCAGTCTGAAATAAAGAGTAGCACATATACAAAACTTTGCCTTGTAGAAATAGCCCTTTGTTTTGTGAGGCAGAAAAAAAGGCAGCCACAGTACACTTTCTTACAATGTGTTTAGGCATCAAGAGGGCTAAATTCCTTTTCCTACGCAGGGGAATTAAATAGTTTATAGCCTATAATCTTAAATGCAGATTTGGCTCCATTGATTTTGCGAAATTGTATTATAAAATTTTCTTTTTGTTCAAAATACACATGCTGTCTTTGTTCAGATTTCAACACCATCTCCTATTATCTTCCCAAACCCTCCCCCGACCCCTAAAAAGGCCTTTGCTTTGCAATGTCATTGAAAACAAGCCATTACTGATGAGTGTCCTGAATCATTAAGATACTCAGTCCTAAGAGGACCAGCTTTGTAAGGCTGCTTAGCGTGGGAATTTCCACGGGAGCTGGGGACATGTACAACACGGGATGACTGTTTTGCGATTTGAGTCAACACTAGAAGGTGACACCTGTGGGCACAGCGTAGTAGCGAGCTGCTGCACCACGAGCTCCCTCCTTCTGCCAATCTCATTTGTTCCCAAATTGCAGAAAACATCGGATAAGAGAAGGCAGGGAACAGAGTCTACTGGGACCCACCCTGGCACCCACCTTCTTCTCTGGAAAGGCTCACCATGGCCTCGGAACACGCCAAGCAAGACAGGGCAGGTATCATCACACTATGACAGTAAGGGACTTGCCCAAGGTCCACAGCCAGTTAGGGGCAGCACCCAGGTCTCCGGGCCACTGGCCTCAGGTTCTGCTCTCTGTCCCTCGCTTATGTGGCATAAGTGATTTCCTGTGAGATGGGCCAGTCACAATCAGAATCCTGATTGTCCCAGATTTACTATATCCTAATTCATTTCAGTCGATCAGTTTTGCTCTATTTTCTTATAGTTTCTCGTTAGGCAGACAGCAATCAATCCTTTTACCTCAGACTGAATTATCTGAAGCAGAAACTACACAGACTCTGGAATTTGGTACAAATGCTATCGTTCCACTTTGTATCATATTTGAAACTGGGATTTCATCTCATGTTGTGACTAAAATACTGAAATAGAAAAGGATGGTCTTTCAAGATGCCATATGAAGTTTCTTTGCATCTGAAACCCTTAAAGTGCCCAAGACCACAATGTTGGTGACAGAAAATAAGCACTAAGGGCAAGTCAGGAGCTGATAAAACAAAAAGGCCAGATATGAGACTGACCCCAGAAAAACATGGAAATACAGACAGGCAAAGAGCCCAAAGATGAAAAAATGCAAGACAAATGCAGGGCATTAAATGTGATTCCAAGGAGCTACCATATGGTGTGATAAGAGGTTGCTGTTCTAACTAAAAATAACCACTGTACCTTTTAGGGATGGGCTGCTGAGAAAGAGAATCCATCGACCTTTGGAAAAGTACAATACCACACTGCCGTGGGCATCTGGTATTCTACCACCAAATGGCACAGACCCGGGCACATTCTTGATAGCACTTAGTGGGACAGCTCAGTCCTTTCCACTCCTTAAAATCTAAGTGGGGAACTAATTTTTTAAACTGTTCCTGAGTGATAGTTTTGCTAAAATACTTACTTGCCTTTTCCAGGTCTGCTTAATACCAACTATTTAGCCTTTAAAAACCAACCCATCACAGATTTTTCTAGTGGACTACAAAGGTCACACACTCTCATTCACTCTCACACATTCACACAACCTGTATTATGAATTTTGATATGATTTAAATTAAAAATAGCTTTCATTACAGATGTTCTATTATACATGAGTAGGCCAGAAATTATTGTGCATAATGAAAAAAAAACTATGCCACAAATAAAGCCCAGCTTGGCTGCTGATGTTCTATATGAAACAAAAGTGGGCTTTTTGCTTACTGTAGTTGAGGCCACAGCACTGGCCACATTGATTGAGTTCTCTGGAGGCCACTACTACTGACTCCCAAAGCAAAACAGGACTGGGGATACATCCCCATTTTTGATATGCTGATGGCAGATGCCACAACAACAATACAGATAGCTTCATTTATTATCACCCTCTCCTTGGACATTTATAAAACTATCTACAAGAGAGTATCAGCACTAATAGAAATTTCTTCCCAGTTCTATTTCCAAAGATGTCAAGTGATCGCGCTCTTTAAATAAACTATAAATACTCCAATGTACTTCTTCATATCTGGCTGTCCCAACTTTTTTTCTTTTTCTTTCTTTCTCTCTCTTTTTTTTTTCTTGTTTTTTCTTTCTTTTTTTTTTTTTTTTTTTTTTGGCAAATTAAAAAGGCATATGGCTTCTTCTTGCCAATTGGTATGTCTGAGGTTTAGCTTGGTATTCTGCGGTAAAAGTACATGTAGCCCAGGTCTTTAGGTGGCCGTTCTGAGGCACAGACTTTGTGGTCATTGTAGATCACCCACCTGAAAATAAAGGGCAGAAGCATTTGTATCAGTTCCAGCACACATTGCCGAACCACATCATACACAATACTTAAAATAATAAAAATAGTACAGTGCTTAAAATAACCAAAATGTTTCAAGATAACCAAACTCCAACTTGTATAAAACAACACAGAATACCTGTGAGGAATCGCTATCCTTTTCCATTCTTCAGCTCAATCATAAAGTAGTTACTAAAAATCTATCAGAATCTTTCATGTGTTTTAACCTCTTCAGACCATAAACCCCATAGAATGGTCTCGGAAACCAAATTAGAAAATTGTGTACAACAATAGTTATTTCACCCTTAGGAATAAAACTAACTTTAAAAAATCAAAAGTAAACATTCATGCAGTTAACTATTACATAACTATTAAAATTTCTTCAAAGAATATTTGTTGCCAGGGATACAGCTTAATGGCACAATGCCTGCCCAGCAAGTGCGAGGTCATGAGTTCAACTCCTGGAACCAAAAAAAAGAATAGCTGGAAAAGTGAGAAAACAATCATAATATAACATGATGGTGTAATATGAATCATAATATAATAGGAAAAATGCATTAAAAATTGTATGTACTCTGTACATACTTTTAAGATTCTAGGAAAGCTGCAAATACGTATAAAGTATGTGTTTATAGAGACACGTATATACATCTTCTGATGAAATCAATAAAACAAAGAAAAATATATCAAAATGTAGACAATGGTTATCTTTAGACTTCAGTACACAAATTGATTTTGTATGTGTGTTTTACAAATTTGCTGCTATATATTTTATTGCTCTGTATATCATAACTAAGCTACTTTACATTTTTAAAGACCTGTTGCACTTGGTAATAAAAAGAATATATTTTACATACATTTCCCTGTGCTCAATGCTTTTATTAGGAAAGTTAAGAAGAACACAATCGAGACTAAGTGAGAATGGACCAGACCCACATTGGAAGGTGTGGGTAGGAGGCCAGCACCCTATCAGGTAAAGCCAAGGTTTAACTCTGCACCAGTGTCCACGTGGCCTGACCACTACCCTCGCCCAATAGCACCTGCCCACTGACCACAGGAAGGAGTTATTAGGACACTGCAGGAGGTTCTAGAGAAAGCAACCTTCCATTCTGTAACCATCTCATTCTCGCCTTCACCTCATACCTAAGAACTCTGCAAAGAAGCCAAGAAACCAGCTGCAGGGCCACATTAAGCACTGAACAAATAAAATTGCCTGGGGGGGAGGCGGGACTGACTGCGTAATTTAATTTAAATGTCAGGTAAACAAGTAATTTGTTAGTATAAGTATGTGTTACATAACATTGGGATATGCAATGTCTGAAATATGTATATACTAAGAAATAATTCATTGTTTATCTAAAATTTAAATTAAAGTACCCTGATTTTCTTGTTTTGTTAGCTAAATACAATGATCCTATGGAGATTCCAAATACGATATGCATCTTTATAGCAGACAGCCACCTTGATAAGATGGTTAAAAATGCCACTGAAAACCAGCTTTGACACAATTCTTTACTGGCTAAGGCCAATCTATTCAGTCTCCTTGAACCTCAGGGTTTGGGTGTATAAAATGATTTTAAATGTAAAACCCTATAAGACCAACAGGAGAACTAAATGAAATATGTTATTTCAAAACATCGAGGAGAGGAGTTGGAACACAGTGATGGCTCGATCAGGCATACTGTCCTTTGCCTTCTAAAAAGACTCACCTTCCTTCTTTTTTGATATGACAAACATAATGGCCGCTCATTGTAGATGTTCCCATGTGACTGATAAATGCAAATAATTCATACACTATGAGAAAAAGAAACAATTCTGTTACAAGGCAGCATTTCTAGTATCAAGAACACTTCTGATGAGACTGTAAAACCACTAAAGGTATAATCCAGCAATTGTTTGTCTTACTATGTGGATAATGCTCATGTGTGCATGCACAAACACGCACACACACACACACACCCCTCTGCAAATTCTACCTGCAAATTCATTATAACAAAAACTGGACATAAATCATCAAATTAAAACTGATATTAAATTCAAATCTGGAAGGGATTAAAAATTCCCAGCCCAATCTGGTAGCAAATGCATGGGTCTAAAAAGGTAGTCCTGACCACACCACTTCCAAACATGAGGGCAGACAAGTTGTCTCATCTCTCTGAGTCTGTTTCTTCATAGAAGTTTTTTTTTTAATCCACTTTGCAGAGTTGTACAAGACTTACATGAGCAATTCAGACTAAAACGTCATACAAATGTCAGGATTATGAGGAAAGCAACAAATAGTCGTTATCGCTTATAAAAAAGATAAATGTTTCACACAAACTGTCTGATTTGTCATGTTAATAACCTATGTGGGACCAAACTTAAGGCTGCATGCTTTCTGAACAAAGAGATAAAAAAGCTATATAACCTCTTAGAGAGTAAGATTGGTGTTTATTCTCTAACAAGTACCTCCTGCCAACAAGCACAGCGTGCTTGCTGAATTAATTCATTCATGTTTCTTCTGTTAATCTTAGACCCATATGACATGAGGTAGGCTCCACGGACTAGTACCAATCCACTCTGCAAACTATCAGGACCAGGATGAAACAGTACAGAAATTGTGAGGAAGCATTTATAAACTCTTATAATAATTTATGAGTAATACTCTGATCTGCATGTAATAAGAAAAAGGTCTGCACATTCCTTTTTCTAGTCCTCAATTTTTATTACGCTTTCCCAAGAAAAAGTGTTGATTTTGGAAAAGCTCACTGTCTAATCTTTGTGCCTTCCATTTGCTCTCTCTCTCTTCACTTACATTTATTTACTTACTCAACCATCAATCCTCGTCTTATCTTACTCACACTTCGGTAGAACCACACCCGTTCTTTCTCAAATACTTGCCCCAAGACCGAGTCTCCCAGCTGTCCATCTGCCTCAGCGGTTGTTCAATAGCTGTCCCCTCTGTCAACACCTCCAGATCTCCTGGCCTTTGAATATTACTGACTGCAGTTTAAACTTCAGACTGAGTTTATCCTCCTCTATCCAGGTGTTCTCTGTCTCTAGGTGTTCTCACTTACTCTCATAGCAGTAAAGGATATTATTCTCATAATTTAATTTCCAGAATGTTCACTGCTCATATTATTTATATAGAGTTTTGTTTCCAGCCTTCCAGAACCCATTTATCAGCCTTAAATTCTTTAATAGATTCCTTCAGATTCCCTGTATATAGGATCCTGTCACCTGCAAACAGAGATAATACTACTATTCCTTTGTAATCTGGGTGCGTTTTACTCCCTTTTGCTGCTTAATTGCACTGGCTAGGACCTCTTCAACAGTGTTAAGTGGAAGGAGGAGACATCCCTGCCTTTTAAGAAGAACTCTTCAATCTTTCATCTAAGCATCATGAGAGCAATAGGGGTTTTGTTTGATTTGGTAGCCACCTTTTATCAGGCCAAGGATGTTCCTTTCTATTCCTCGTTTATTTAGCAGTCTCCTCTCAGCCTTGTCTATCTCAGTCAATGATAAGCACATTCTGTCATGAACTCAGTCTGACTTTCTCTCTCAAACTCCTCACATCTATCTAATCCATCAATACATCCTGTATTTTCCTTAAAATATAGCCAGAACTTAATCACTTCCTACCGTCTCTTCTAGTAACTCTTAATGCAAGTCACCATCATCTCTTGACTTGATTATTGCCAGAACGCCTTACCTGACTCCCCACATCCTCCCTCACCTCTTATTCTCAGTATGGCTGCAGGGCGGCCATTTTACTGGAAGCATATTATATCCCACAGCAGTATCTCACCCTTGCAGCTGCCTACGAAGCGCCCATCCCTCGTCATTCTCCGTTTCTCCACTCCAGCTACCCAGAACTCCTGGCTGCTGCCTAGCGCACCTAACACGCCGTGGCCCTCAAGCCTGTACACCTACTGTTCCTTCTACCTAAAACTCTCTTTCCAGTTATCATGTGACTCCTCTCTTCAGTGAGGTCTCGGGTCCACGTTACCTTCCCAGAAAAGCCGTCCTGAACCACCCCATACTCAGTCCTGCTGCCCCCTGCCCACTTACCCTGCTTCACCATCTAAATAGCTCAGAGTACCACCCCCTACATCATATGCCTCCTTGTGCGTTCATTTACTGTCTGTTTCCTTTTAACCCACGACAGAATCTTAAAGGGTCTATAAATTACCTCCCTCCGCCCCAGCCAGATCAAAATGACAAACTTCCTATACTGCTTAACATTCCAACATTTCTCTCGAAACTTAATGGCTCTCAGTCACTCATACTTTAGTGTAAATTAATTTACTCCACAGACTGGCTGTCTCTTAACTTTCAATAGTATAAATGAAACACAAACAAACAAAACAGCTAGAAATTATAACAAGTGCAAAAGTAGGATGAATATCAGAATCCAGGCGTGAAGGAAGTTTATTTACAGGGCTTTCAGGGAGGCCACTGGCCCTTCACTTCCCTGGGATGCCATACCTCCTGCTCCCTAAGCCTCCTGCCCGGGGCATTCCTCAGGGGAGCCAGTAAACTGGGAGTCCCGCCTTTGAGGAAAGGAACTGGCTGGATGCTCCCTGGCTGGAAAATCTCAGCTGCTGCTAAAGATGTCTGAACTTTTGCAGCAGTATGGCTGAAGAAGCCAGAACAGGTTTTGAATAATCACAGCATAATTCATGTTAATTATATTGCCAATCAGTAAGTTGTTTTTCAAAGAAAGTAAACACTCATTAAGTGCAACAGAGAAACAGAAATGATTTTGCAAATAACAGAATCCCATATAAGTCCAAAGTAAAGCCTTGAATATACCCATTCTTTTTTTTTTGAATCGGTCCCGGGTATCGAACTCACAACTGCCTGCTTGCAAGGCAAGTGCTTATGCCGCTGAGCTAAATCCCCAGCCCCTAATATACCCATTCTTTTGAAAAATTTAGAGATTCAACAGCAAGGTGCTAGCCCTAAAAGCTGTGTAGGACATGACAGTAAATAACCTTGTGAAAAACACACATTTAAATTAAAAAAACTCATGCGAAATAAGAAAGGAGGAAGCATATCAGCTTCCAAATTAAACTGACATAAATTCTGACCTGGCTCTACCACTAGCAAATCACTTAACTTGTCACAGGTTCCTCATCTGAGTAACTCCTCTAAGCAGGGAAAAAAGTGGTAGAGAAAGTGCCTGGCACATAGTAGGCACTCCATAAATGACAGCAAGTACTTCACCAAGTGTTCACAGTGTTAATGACCCCTTTCACCTATTGATGCATAGTGTTTTAGTTTTGGGATCCCTGTAACAACGGAACATAATAAATCTTTTTCTCTTTAAATTCTTATTCCTTGAATTTTTCTAGGTAACATATATGAATTTCATGCAAAAATTTTAAAAAACTGCAATCCTCTGCACCAACAGGTTAAACTAACACTTTAATAGTCTCATGCAAAAACATGACTTCCTCAGCCAGAAAGATGCAAACGCTGGCTTACTAGTCCTCATTCAAAATGCTTGGAACCAGAAGTGTTTTGGATTTCAGAAGTGTTTTTTTTTTTTCCTTCCAGATTCTAAAATAGTTCCAAAATATACATACTGAGATATCTTTGGGATGGGACTTAAATCAACCCATGAATTTATTCAAGTGCCATAGATACCTTACAGACACAGTTAGAAGATAAATGTATACAACATATTCAGCATGTCTCCATTTTGACTGAAACCCATCACATGAGGTCAAGTGTGGAAATTTGCCCTCCTAGCATCATGGTAACGCACAAAAAGTTTTGGAGTTAAAGCTGAGAACTCAGGGACACGCATCCTTCTTCTGGATTGTGACTCGGAGAGATACAATTATAGAGGCCCTGGTAGATATCTTGTGGCCACTAGGGTCAACCTCATAATGGAACCAATGAGCCTAGAGGAAGCCAAGCAGAGGAGCCCATCAAATGAAGGGATTTGTGTCCTGCATCGAAGATGCCTGGAGTCCAGTCCAGTCCAACCCACAGTCCAGTCCCACCCCTGGCTTTACAAGATGATATTTGGCTTTTGCTTAGACAAGTGAAGTTCAGATATCCCACTTAGAACAGAACTCACCTGAACTTGTTTTTATTGAGTTTGCTTCCTTGAGGAGCCAAATTACCACCCCCAAAACAACCTATCTAAATAGAATGCACATTCCCTCCAGTTTAACCTATAAACTTAACGTAATTCCCATCAAACCCCTATAGAATGGTCTAATTCTAGGTCAGTACCTTCACAAAATTTAGCAATAACAATTTAATTCTGAGACATATGTAAACCACAAATACAGTGGATGTCTCTGAGGCAAATCACAGTTCTCCAGGGTAGAAAGAGGAGCAAAATGAATTAAAGGAAAGGTACATGTTTCTGGATAGAAAAACTCAACACTGCAAAGCTGAGATGTATTCCCAAATTAATCTACAATATATGAAACTCATACAAATCAGTTTTTAAAAAATACCTAAAAACCTCAATAAAAATTACCAAAAGAAATGAGAAAGCTATGAATATAAGAAGAAAACAGACTGAGTAATAAAAAAAAATTAAAAACCATGAAAAGTGCTTGACCTCCCCACACTGCTAGGGAGGTCTGGGAGGATGGGGTGTCACCCACATGGCCATCATATGACCAATGCTGTGTTTCCGAGGGTCACATGACAGTTCACTGCATTAAAAGCTTGCATTTCTCAATCAAACGTTTCACTTATCCAAAAGCTACGGTCAAACGAAGGCCTACCAATGTTCATTTTATCAGCATAACACAAAGTACTCCACAAATTCCTCCACAAAGCTCTGACTGGAGGCAACAAACCTCCCCTAAAACCACTACATCCTGGCATTTATTTAATTCTCCTTTCAACAAGTTATTTGCTGATCACTTACCATGATCAGACACAGTGCCAGAGAAGCCACTTTAAAAACACTTATTCTTCCATAAAGTCAAATTAAATATATACTAAGCAAGTTAGTGTGGTCTTTGCTTTTTTCCCCATGATTAAAATTTTTGCCTACTACTGCCTTTATGCCCTGCATATGCTGTATATGGTTTCTCACAGCGCAAGTCACAGTGCTCCTTCCCCCGCCCTCACCTCAGCCCTGGAGATGACCCATGGCACCTCAGAGGGGACTTGAGGGCAACATCACGGCAGCCTATTGGACCAGAAAGATCTGCAGATGGCCCTGAAGTGCAGCAAGTCCTGAGGGGATGACGTGGCTGTTATTACTACTGACCATCCAAGAGGGCGTGGTTAGTGCCACCAAGCACCACCACAGAAGGGAAACCCTCTGTAGCCAAAAAGCCTGGCATCTTTACAGCAGCCCCATCTTGTGGTTTATTCCCACTCTGGGGGCTCATCGGCTCCAAAGTCCATTACAGAAAATCGATTCAACAGTGAAGACCAATGGACAAGGAATGTGTAATAAACCCTGCTCATAAATTATTAACTTGTCCCCTATCACTTCTAATGTTTTAGGCAATACAATGATTTCTGAAAGTAATATAAGACCTTTTAAATGAATAGGGAAATTGGGAGAACTATTGCCTATCATTTTCTTACCCAGTTAAGATTAAAACAGTGTGTGTGTGTGTGTGTGTGTGTGTGTGCACGCCTGTGTGTCTGTATGTGTATTTTTAAAGAAAAAGCTTCCAGCCTTCCTCTTTAGTTATAAAGCAATAAATACAAGTTATATTTCACAAGACCATTAATGAGTAGATCTGCAACTCTAGATCAGAGAAACAAATGTTGGTAATAGAAAGTTAGTTAAATGCAATTGTTCCTCATTCAGTACGTTCTATGTGCTAGACATCATGACTCATAAAATGGCCTCTACCCTCACAAGCTCCCAATTGAATGGGAGGCACAGAAACCTACATAAATAATTTTACTAGAAGATACTCAACACCTTACAGTTGTTATACACAGGCCATAGGCCCTACAGGCAGAGAGACTGCCAAGGCTGGAATTCTGATTCTACCCATTACTATAGATGATGTGACCTTAACAAGTTATACCCATTTCAATTCCTTCTTACAATATAGGCATAACAATGGTATCTACCTCATAGAGCTATCAGAATTAAATGTGGCACAGATGGGAGTGAATTATCAGTACTGTTATAATTATTACTAGCATATGTGACAAGCACGGGCTCAGTATAACTATAACAGGGATCTGGGGAAGTAGACCAGAGAATGGAATCTGTAGCCAACTTCTGAAGAGTGAACGGTAAAGGTTTTCGTATACAGTGATGGGAGAGAAGCGTATTTCACAAGTAGAGATTACCTTGAGCAAAGGCCTAAAGGTAGGTGAGACAAAAGTTGGTGGCATCTGAGGACACTGGCAGTACCAGGCATCTGAGCCACAGGTACAGGGGGTGCAGAAGTGACACACAGGGGAGACAGGCTGGATCTGATAGGAGGACAAGCTGAATGCCAGACTAAAGAGCTAACCATCGTCCTATAAGCAACAGCAACTCGAGATGCAGAAGGACAACAAGGTTCGAAACACAGATTATAGAGTCGTGCACCTTAAGAGCTATGTGACATTGGGCAAAGTACCTAACCTCTGTGTCTCTGCTTTTCTCTCCTATAAACTCAGTCATGGCGATGATTAAGTGAGTGTTCACTATTAAAACGCAGAACTTTGTCCTATGGCACCTCTTCCTGACATCTGGAGACAGCTCTTCAGAAAACTACCAGCAGAGAGCATGGGTACTAACACAGTCAAGGACAGGACACTGCTTTTCTACTGCTCAAAAACCATCACCATGGAAGTAAATGCTCTGTTTTTGATCAAAGCTGACATGATCTATAAAGAAATTTTACCTCAAAGAGACAAAAAGAAAACTGGTACTAAACTTACACACACACACACACACACACACACTCACTCACTACTACTATTAATAGTAACAGTACTAATAGTAGTGGTAGTAATAGTAGTTACTAATGCCACTGCTATTATTAAGTATTACTACTATCTTCTAGTATGTTCTAGGTACCTAGACTTTATCAGATCACTGTAGCTTATGCGAAGTGACAACAGGCACCATTTATAAGACAAGATCGGTGCTACCTTTTGAAAGATGGCAAAGCTTCAGATATATAATCATGAGGGAAAGGGGATGAGCTAAATGTACAGTCATGAATTCTGAGACAATTTCTGGGGCAAGAACTTACTTCCAGATCCATCCTTGACCCTAGGTCCTTCAGGCTTGGCCTCAGAAATAATGTTGGCATTGGCATTGTTCTCCATCTCGATCACAAAGTCACTGTCCTCTTCAAACTCGGGGTGGCTAAAGATCCAATCCAGTGCTCTTTCCAAGTTATGGTTCTAATAAAGTAAAACACTTTTATAATGCATGAAATCTGTGAGCATTAATTATATCCTGACCAGTTTCTACCACTCAAAAACCACCACCTGGGAAACAAATGCTCTCATCAGGCAGATAGGGGAGGACAGCTGAACTCAATAGCCCCAAGTGGCTCTGACTAAGAATCTCTGACTCTGCATGACATACACACTGGCCTGGCATTTTGCAAGTCTCCCAACCAGGTCTGTAATTGGATTCACTGGAAAATAGTTCTGAGTGGCAGGTCAGCATTTCCAAAGCTCCTATCAGTCTTAGCTCAGCACTTCTGCAGGTTGGTGCTGATAATGATGGGTATGGAATGCCAAAGGGGCACTTGTTTAATGCAGCCCTCTGTACAGCCACAATAACTGCACACTAATTTCTCTATCAACTTTACTTTCTTCAAATAACTGTACAAGATAGGGGCACCACTAAGAGTACTGTGTTAACGGCTCCTCTCCCAAATGTGGGTAGGACTGAACTGCACTGGAGACAAGACCAATGACTTAATGTTAATTGTTTAAAAGGAACTCTGTACAATTCAAACATTCATCATGAAAGACTTTCCAATCTCCCCTATTCATGAGCTTGCTGGCAGGTTGAAAACTTTGTTTAAACATAGTTGAAAACTCCAATGAAACAGGCAAATAAAATAAGTAAGGCAAGAGAAAGCACCCTGCTGAGATACTATAAGCACTTTAAGGGAGACAGATCATTCCAGTTACATCTCCATGAGCCACACAAGAGCCTCTGTGGTCTCAACCACAGAGCCTAGCATGCACCCATTCAGGGCAAAGAGGAAGGAACTGGTAGGAGACATCCACTCAAAAGTAGGGTACAACATGGCAAAGAAGATGTTTTTTTTTTTTTAAAAAAAAGGACCTTCTCCAAATATCAAATGGATAAATGGATATCTACACTGTTAAAAAGATTTCCATCCTCCTCTAGTTTCACGGTGCTTCCTCTCCTAATAGTATCAGGCTATTCCTAACAACCAGAAGAAACTTTTCTCTGTGGACCGTAACAGCAGCAGAGAATTCCAAGGAGCCATTCAGGTCTTCTGTAAGGACTTTAAAGACGTATTTCCTTCAAGATCTTCATACCAGAAAAGCATTATTTTACCCAAAGAAAATTTCTTACTAAACAGATAATCTCACACTTCCCTCTTAGCTTTAGGCCACACACAGTAAGCTGGAAGTCAAATCTGTGAGACTCACTGTACCAGTTAATCTTAACTGTCAAGTTGCTAGATTAAGAGACTCCTGGAGAGGGAACTGTGGCTGGGAGCCTCTTCTCATGAGGGAAGAATGTACAGTGCAGAGGTGGAGCCCAGCTGGAGATGGGCATGAGCTTTGGAGGGTGTGCATCTCTCTTTGGTTCTTCCTCTTCCTCTGCTTCCCAGCCACCAGGAAGTGAGCAGTTTTGCTCCAACACACCCTTCTGCCATGATGTTTCTGCTTTGGAGCCAGCAGATTGTGGACAGAAATCTCCAAAAACATGAGCCAAAAATAAACCTTTTCTCATTTAAGTTGCCAGTTTCAGGCAGATTATTACAGTGATGGGAAAGCTTACCAATAATACATCCACTAACAAACATTCACAATGATATGGAGTTTCCTGAAGTTTGGTCATCTTGTCCCAGCTTTATCATCTCGTTATGCTTAAATTTGCTGTTCAATTCCTTCAAGGATTTAATTTAGTTTTATATACTATATGTAAATAAATCTGAATGGGTCATGGTGGGGTACAGAGTCACACACACACATGATTCAAAATGATCAAAGGATATTGAGAAGTTATACTTCTACTGACAGCAATGCAGACCCCCTCAGGTATAAGGAGTGTATTCACACACGCGCACACACATGCATGCTCACCGTTGCTCGTAGTGCCTGCACAGCCTGACTTCTCTGGAATCCCATGGAGGTAATAATAGCTACAATTTCCTCTGGAGGCTGGTTATCCAACCCTGTAGCACCAAATACAGAGGCTCCAGCAGAGGCTGCTCCTCCATAACCAGGCATGGTCAATGGTTCAGCAAAATCTGAGAAAAATAAGCATGTGTAAACTTTTTTTTTTTGGTCTTGAAATGGATAGCACTTGAGGGTTAAGACAGAAAAATGCTTACAAAATGACAATAATCAAGACAATCTGGAACTTGTATAAAAGACATACCTAGATCAACTGAATTGAAAGTTTAGCAATAAGGCCATATAACTATGGCCAATTGCTTTTCCACAAGACCACTGAATAGGAAAAGGATACTCTTTTCAACAAATGGTGGTTGCACAACTAGCTGTCCACATACAAAATAATGAAGTCAGACCCCTATCTCACACCATAAGTAAAGTTAACAAAATGGATCACTGACCTACATGTAGGTGCCCAAGCTATAAAATATTTACAGGAAAACACGCAAGTAACTCTTTGTGGCATTGGGTTAGGTGATGGCTGCTTCAATGCAACACAAAAAGCACAAGTCATAAAAAGTACATTAGTCTTCATTAAAAATTTAAAGTATATGCTTCAAAAGACACTATCGAAAAAATAAAAGGACAGCAGGATGGAAAGAATACACTTAAATCATGTATCTGATAAGGGACTTGCATCCAGAATATAAAAAAGAACACTTAGAACTCAACAATAAAAAGACGAATAACTTCATTAAAAGTGAGCAAAGGTTTTCTGTTCCTAAAGTACTAGTTCCAGGAGCAGCACAAATTATGATTATCCAGCTACAAACTGTCTCAGCCATTATTAAACAACAGTTCCCAGGGAGTACTGCAAAGTTTCCGATCCACTTTCACCGTTTCTCTATGGATTCTTTGAAAATAAAAGCAGTAGATATCACTGTCAGTCACAGTGGTAACATTCTGCTTGGTTTCTCACTGGTTCTACGTGGATTTTGATCAAGGGAGGAAATCTTTTAAGTTACAGTTCTAGGATAGGCTGACTCTAGCAGATCTCTGGAAGCCACGATAACAAACAGCTCGCTAAGCAATGCTTTGTCAGAGGAAACATCATAAGCATGAGTCTGAATCCCTTCAGCTCAAAACACTTTATGACATCTCCTGTGACACCTATATTGCCTCCCAGTTTGCTGGTAAACATGCTACCATGCATGCATGGCATTGGGTTGTTCTTTACAAGACCCAACATTCCAACAGTGGCTACAACTCACCATGGACTCACCAATTTCACCTGAGCTGTGAAGAATGGGCTCATCTATCATTTCATGCAAGTGTTACTTCTGGTAAGCTTTTAGTAGAAAGAAGGGTCAGGAACCTGCCTTACCATTCTTAAAAGAACTTCAAAGTGATTATTTTACTTGATAATTACAATGGCCCCCGTGTAAACAAGCCAGGAATGGGATAAAGGGAGAACCAAGGCCCAGATGTGTAAGCAGAGCAAATCTGTAATTATGGATGTATTCTGCAAGTTGAATCATTCCTTAAAAAGCAGAAAAGAAAAATTTAAGACAAAACTAACCTGCCATCCAATGTACTGGTACTTTAGTAATGCCTTAGATTACTGAAGAGATGTCACAGTAACAGGTAATTTCCTAAATTCTCTATTTCAACTCATTTTAAATGTTATTGCATATCTCCAGTATCGTGGAAATTATAGAATGTAGCTCAAAAACCTTGCAGATTCTTTACAAATTATTAGCTCCTTGATACTAACTCACTCAGGTGATTGTTGCTTTTGTCCACTGGTGATACAGAATGTGAATACAAGTTCAGTGGAAGACACAAGATTTGACGACAATGAAATTGCCAAGATGAGCTGATTAGCCATTAGTACCCCTAATGACTGACCTATAACAGACCTAGTATAGCAGTATAGCAATTGTCCAGGAACTTTTCCTGGCTATCAACACAGGTCCCTTGAATGACACAGGTTTGTTGAAAATGATTTTCCAGTCTCAGGACACTCAGTATCATACAGCTGCAGAATTGCAGGGATAGTATTTATGCCACTCAGGGTCATCCTCTAACATGTGCTACAGGACATGAACAGAAGATCAGGTAGGTGTTCCCTGAGACAGAATAAGATGGAACAAATCATAGGATGCAGTAGACTTGTTTTCCTTAGAAACAGTCCCTATATTCATGAAGGCTTCTAGTGGGTATTACACCACACAGCACTTAACTATAATTCCTACATAGATCACAAGTAACTATTGGTCAGGGGTCAGTGAATCGCGGCTTCCTGAGTGTTATGGCTTACAGCCAGATATCTGCCCAAAGGCTCATGTGCTTTGCAGAGGAGGCTGGATCCAGGGTGCGTGAATATGGATTAAGGTTTGTGATAACTAAATAGTCCACTGATTGGTTTAACATTGTTCTGGGTGTGGATAATGGGAAGGCCCATTTTGGGTATAGGTAGCTCATAGCCTGGACAGGATAAAAGAGAAAAGAAAGCTCACTGCTGCTGCCTCCTGCCATGGACTATTTCTCCTCTGCCAGGCTGTCCTGCCTTAGAGACAGCCAACTATGGGCTGAAACCGCTACAAACTGTGAGCTGAAAAGAACCCTTCCTCCTTTAACTTGTGCTTGTCAGATATTTTGTACCAACAATGAGAAAAGTAACTAGGACACTGAGTTTCCCCAAGGTTCTCATATTATGTTTATGAGAGTCCAGTTCTCTTTCTCAGCATGCGTAACAGGTGCTTTTCCTGACCACTGCTGCATGTCATTTAAAATGACAATGTAGTGGATGGGTTTACTTGAATACTTATTTTATGTTCAGCCTGCCTAGGACCATTTAGAGTCATTAGACAACAGGTGATGTAAAATGTGAAAACATACCAGCACAGTACCACGTAAGGAAAATGAAAGGGTTCTGTTATGAAGTCCAGGCAACAATTGCCCAACAGTTATTCTTGGGTATTAACTGCCTTCATTTCTGTTAAACTTGAGCATAATTGGCAATCAGTTCCTTTAAAAAAAAAACTCATGGAAGAAAAATGTATCTATCAGGTAAGATTATATCTGCTATATGGATTGAATTCTGGACTGAAAAGAGTATGTCCATAAGACTAAGTGACCTCATTTATTTAAAAATAAATTAAATGATTATTTTTAAAAAAACAGAGTGAAGAATGGAAGTGGGGGATGTAGTTTACTTACTTAGCATGAATAAGACCTGAGGTTTGATCCCTAGCACAACCAAAGGCTTGGAGGTCAAAAGACTGAACAGACAGTTCTCCAATGAAGACAAACAAATAATGAAAAGATATTCAACATCATCAGTCAAAAATGCAAATCAAAATCAGGTAACACTTCACAGCCACTGGAACATGTATAATAAAAGAAATAATAACAAAGATTAGTGAGGTTGGGAAAAAAATGGAACTCTTATTTATTTATCATTGATAGTAATGTAAGGTGGTTTGGCTATTCTGTACAATAGTTTGGTGCCTCCTCAAAAAATTAAACACAAACTTACTGTACAACACAGCAATTCTACTCAAGTGAAATGAAAATATCTACCCACATAAAATACATGTACAAATTTTTCTAACAGAATTATGGATAAAATCTAAAAATGGAAAGAACCCAAAAGCCCACTGTTCAATGGATGATAAATAAAATGAAGTATGCCATATCGTGGAATATTATTTGGTCATAAAAAGCAATAAAGTACTCTCGTTCTCCGGGAGAACATGGCGGACAGATAACAGCAACTACCGGAGGCTCTCTGAAAACTAGGCTCAGAAGCCAGGTATGGTGCGGACTAAAGAGACATAAGCAGGTGGAGTTATGCTCTGCTGACTCAGGAACGAACTCGGCTGAGAGAAACCAACTCGGGATGCAGTCCTGGTGCTAAAACAGGAACAGAAAAGCCTCGCTGCTGAGGCTGGACCCCACGCCATTTGGGTTTCCCGCCTTGCGGTGGCTGGCTGCCTCTACATCGGCTCGGCAAGGAGAGAGACGCACGGAAACTCTGAGAACGGGAGTCTGTGAACGGAGTCGAAAACAGGACAGGCAGGGAGGCATGTTCTGACTTGTGGCGAGGTGAGTGAGAGAAACTGACACTCCACCACAGTTTGACTCCAGCGGACTTTCTGGGCCCAGGCAGTCCTGCGGGAGCAGGGCGCGCTGGCGACTCCAGCCACACATTCCCCTGTCGGGCGGGATTGGTGAAAAGTGCCTGGCCTGCGTGACGCTGCCGGCGGACCCCGTAGGCTGACCCAACCCAGATCCCAGAGCCTGACGGAGGCCAGGAGGGGCGGGCCCCCGCGTAGGCTGCCTGGTGCGCAGCAGTGAGTGGAAACACCTAACCGGCGCAATTCGATCAGGCTGTGGCTGACAGAGAGAGAAGCTAGGCCTCTCATATAAGCTTGCATACATAAGGAACAGAGAATATGGGAAGAGGCAGCAACAAGAAAGGCTCCTCGGCCCCCAATTCTGAGAAACAGGCAATAACAGACACCGCACCATTACGCATAAGGCGCCATATAGAGAGCCTCATAGACCAATTCAGGAATGAAGTTATCAACGACCTGAAGCTAGAAGTATGCAAAATAGTTAGAGAAATACTAAGCACCACCCAAGAAAAAACAGATGGTGGAATGGAAGAACAGAAAAAGAGGGGAGAAGTGTTTGATGGAGAAAACAGGGAAAGCATAGAATACGTGAAGCAGGTTCAAAGGGACTACCAAGAAACTAAGAAGTCTATCGAAGACTGGCATAACAGCTTGAAAGAAACTAAGGACAGACTATCTGAACTGGAGGGCAGAATTGTAATATGGGAGAATGAAATGAAAAACTTCTTAAAAATAACAAAGAAACAAACAGCAATAATACAAAGACAAGAAGATGATAAGAGGAGCCATAACTTAAGGATTAAGAACATAAAAGAAGAAGTAGGGACACAAACAAATGAACTACAAAAGCTACTCACAGAAATAATCCAGGAGAATTTTCCTAATTTAGCAAAAGGTAAAGATACTCAGATGTATGAGGCATACAGGACCCCAGCTACCTACAACCCTAACAGAGAAACACCCAGGCATATAATAATAAAAATTCCAGAAATTCAATACAAGAACAGAATATTAAAAGCTGTCAGAGACAAGAAGCAGACCACTTACAAGGGAGCACCCATCAGAATTACAGCAGATTTCTCTGCACAAACCATCAAATCACGAAGAGCTTGGGGGGAAATAATTCAAGCTTTGAAAGATAATAATCTCCAGCCAAGATTGAGATATCCTGCACAACTGTCCCTCGAAATTGATGGAAAAACAAGGTGCTTCCAGGATAAAGAGGAACTGGGGGAATTTGCAACCACCAATTCAACTCTACAGAGAGTATTGCAGGATATTCTAAAAAAAGAAAAATACAAAGAATCCAGAAATAATGGAGGCCACAACGAATGGAGCAGAGAACAAAGTGAAGAAGACAAACTGACAGCTACTGACAGAATAAGAGCTCAACAGAAATGAGGCAGAGAAGATTGGATGATAGGAACAGCTATTTTGGAGAAAATGACATCTTAATAGGTAATACTGATTTAGTATCATCTTGTTTTGAAGTCTCATCTAGCTTTTGTCCTTCTGTCTCCAATGGTCCAAATAGGTTGTATCTTACTAGATTTTATTATGTATGATAGTATAAGCAAAAACCTTTTAAAGACAAGGAGATTATACAGAAACCATTGTTCATTTTCTGTTAGTCGATTCTAAATACTCTGTAATGCTGTCATTCTCTTGAATGGTTTTACATTGTTTTGATATACTTAATGCTACAGTATACGAAGTTGTACTCAAGGATTTCAAGGAAAGAGATAATATGGTAACTACTTTTAGGTCAGGATTATCTGGTGGTGAAACACTATTCTGCTTAAATGGTTATGTTTTGATCTGTGCTGTTTTGTTGTTATGCCCTCTTTTATCTCAATCTCCACTCCATTATTTACTTTTTTATTTTTATCCTTTTAATTAAAGGAAAAAAATAGCAGGATATATTATAGTAACCCACTTTGACTTTCCATTACCTCGATTTAAAGCCCTGTATTACTCTCACCATCTGGTTTTTAACTGATGTTCCCCCATTCTGTTTTGCTAGATAGTATCAGGTTCGAAAATTTAGGCATCAGCTGAGAAGATAATGAGATTCATTATGACGCCCATTCTCATTGACTTTTATCTATTTTTGAAGACCTACAATGTCTCCAATGTTTTGGTTTTGTCGGTTTTATTCTTTACAGTTTTGTTCAATTGTATTGTAACTAACAATATAGGCAATTCTATTAGAGATAGCGGGAGGCATTATGGTAACCATTGTTGATCACCTTGTATTATGTTTTCACATTATCTATTATGTCCACCCTTTTGACTTGACCGATTCTGTTCTGTTATGTCACATTTGGTTTTACTCTCTTCCAAAAAAGTATTAAGAACCATGGGAGCAATGAAACCCAAAATGTGTAATAGTCATTGTACAAAAGAGAGGAAAAGAAAGTGCTCTGTACTATATAACTGCATGTATATTTAAGTGTATAAGATAGAAAATGATATCACAGAGTTTTATTGGATCATTGAACAGAACTGTTTGCAGTATCATTGATGGAATGTCCACTTTACAAGCTTTAATTTTGTGACTTGAACAATTATTTCTAAGATGACAATATGTAATCCATTAACTAGTAATTTCCTACTGTTCATTTTTTTTTCTGCAAATCTGTATAACTTGTACCCTTTCTCTGCTTTTTTTCTTTTCTCCTTAAATAAAATTTAAAAAAAAAAAAAAAAAAAAAAAAAAAAAAGAAAGTTAGCCTCTGCCCCCTCAGGCCCTCTGAGTGTCTTTCAGAACTCCAGCACTCTTACTTTCAAAAACAGGACTCAGGAATAAAAAAGAAAAAACAAACAAACAAAAAAAAGCAATAAAGTACTTATACATGCTACAAAACATGAACCCATTATGTTTAAGCAATGGAAAGCAGACACAAAAGGTCTCATATTGTACTACTTGAATTATGTGAAATATTCAAAATAGATAAATTCATAGATCCAGAAAGTGATTACCAGGAGTCATGCACAGGAGGAAAATAGGCAGTGACTTCTTTTAGGTGGACGAAAATACTCTAAAATTGACGGTAATGTTTGTATAATCACAAGCTTACCTAAAAGCATTGGAATGTACACTTTAAGTGGGTGGACACATGAATAATACCTTAATAAAGCAAATAAATGGAAAAGCTAACTAAAGGACCTCCATTTCGTTATTTACATTTTCTATTTTAAGTTGTCACCATCAAAATATCTTTCTAATGATCTTTCTGCCACTGAATTATCCATTTTACAACAATGAGCTATATCTTATTAAATAAAGCTGTATTTAGAAGAAGAGGAGGGGGGAGAGGAGGAAGAAGAAGAAAACAAAGAAAAAGAACGACAGATTGTAACTTGGTCCAACTAGAGGATTATGAGCTGAAAAGTTATTTTTCTGGGGACACATTCCCGGGGGACTAGGTAAGACCACAGCTTGGTATCGCTCTCCAAAACCACTCCACAGTACCATCACCCACCAGGCTCTTCCATGTGGACAATGATCCAGTTGAAAGCCACCTCAGCGCCCATATTCCCAGTGAAGTACACAGCCTTCCGACACGCTTCTAGAGGGAAGCCCATCTCGGCCAGCTGCATCACCGATGACTCGTCAATGTCTGAGGCTGCAGGCACAAGAAGATACTAGGATGGGAGAAAGTAAACTCCGTTTCTTCTTGTCTTAGTAGCACATCACTCCCTTCTCCATCTGTTACCCAAAGAAGGTGCTATTTTGGGGTTATTAGATAATGATTTTACTTTTTTGAAGCCACTTAACTACTAAACTATTTGAGGGGAGAAACAGCATCACCGGGTCAACATTAATAGCAAAGTCAAGATTCCAGCTCAGGCCTGGTTAGCTTTCATACTAGTGGTCCCTCTCCTTATATGCCATTCACTCACACTTGCTTCTTACTCAATCTGCAGACAAAGAATTATCCTCACCCAGGAAAGGTTTCACACATACACAAACATAACTGTGATTTTGTACTGAACTACCACAGAACACTGTGTCAGACTGAAAACAATTACATGACACCCAAAAGCACTTTAAAAGATACATACGGTCTATCAGTTGGTTCATCAGACGATCTGAAAATTAAGGAAAAGAGAAAATGACACCAACCCAATCTGTGTCCATGAGTTTAACAAAAAGTAAAACCATAGATCTAAAGCATTTCATCACTGGGGACTCCACACAGACCATCTCAGCCCGCACTACACAAAGTCCTTGCAGTAGTGAGGAAAATAACATGTTTGAAACATTTAGAATGGACATAACGTGATGTTTTGACTGACATCTCAACAAACTAAATAATTTCTCTGGGTATGTTTCTAATAACTCTGTATAATCACAAGCAAAGGATTCTGTTTTGAACAATAGAAAAAGGGAGAACAGTACTAATAAACCAGCTTCTGTGTCTCTGATGCTCACGTATCTTTTTTCTCTAACCCGCATAAAGAGGTTGCTCATGTCCCTAACTCTTGTTTGCATGATCCAGAGGGTCTCACATGCAGTTGCCTTCTCTGGTCTGTCTCTGTAGTTTAGCTTCTGATTTCCTGTTGAAGAACAGGACTATCATTCTAGAATCCTAATATCGCCAATAACATTCACAGCTCAACTGGTGATAGGAAGCTTTTGGCAGAGAGGCCCAGAGTACCCCCTCATTATTAGCTAATTTACCTAATGAACTCATTAGGAAGACAAAGAGTAAACAGTTGAGCAATTAAGCCTGAATGAAGCTGATTTCATCAGAATGACTGAGCTAATAATTAAACCAAGGATTTTCTGACACTATTTTTAAGCCCACAATGATGAAGCAACTATTTTTGCATGAACTTTCCCCTCTTTAAAGTTACCTATTCTTCACAATGACCAACTCAGCAATCACACAGTGAACAAGAAATTCAACCCACTCCCTTGCTATGAATCCCTGACAAAACTGGGGTGGCACAGAGTGAAATATGATCAACACCTCTAAAAATCAACATGCCCTGTTGAATTTCCTCTGTTTCCGCTTGTCCAAGAATAACACAGCCTACTGTTACTTGGTAGGCCTAAACTAAAAACCTACTAAAAAAAATATTCTTCTTTTCCATATGGATGAAGCAGAAACAAGGAAGAAGTCAAAGCCAGAGACCACATAATCTAAAAACTGTCCATTTCAACTACTCGTTCGGGTCTGTGCCTCCTGTGATGTGAATTCTAAGTTTACAGCTGTAGCCACAGCTCAGAGCTGAGCATCTGTGCTGGGTTACACCACAGGAATACAGCCAGGGAACCCCGGGTAGAAGATGGAAGAAAGGGGCTATTTCTATGGAGGAGGGTGAGCGCAGAGACCATCCTCAGGGGGCGACATGGTACCTTTTGAGTCATCGGGAATGACTATGGGGGGGCTGATGTCTGGAAGCTCCTCTTCTCCTGGCTGTAACCCTCTGGCACGGAGATGGTTGATATCAAGAAGATCTGGCATATCAATGGACACGTCTGCAAAATGAGAGTGATTATGTGGACTGGACTCTCCATAAACTTATAATCATTTTAAAACCAGTACTACACACTCACTCTACATGGATGTATCCAAGCGGAGTTAAAGGAGGCTTTTCAGCATATACCTCCCAGGACTGGGAGCGTCATGGAGACTAAGGAGAGGTTAATGGAGAGTCTGGGGAAATACAGAGGGAGGCGGGACTTTACACTGAACAAGAACAGATGGGCTCAGCCCCAGGCCACAGGCTGCAGGGCATGGATCATTTGTGGCCCAGACACATGCTGCCTGGTCTTTTTAAAAAATGTTAGCAATGTGTTCCAACTTTTAAATAGGTAGGTTTAATTTATAAATTCAGTTTCCAGCTTATTTTGAAAAATTTAAAGCTGGAACACATTCTTCTCGGGTAACAGTGCTGTCCAGGGCTGATCTTTACCTGGTAATCTGTAAGTCTGCAGCAGTCTGAGACAGACAGCCCTGCCCCTGTCACCTGACAGCCCTGCACATCACACTTGTGCTAATCTGATTCTTAGAGTAGAAAAGTGTTTTTCTAATTTATGTATTTAACCAAAGTGAGAATCTCCAAGCAAGACCAAGATGGCTATGCATTTCTCATAGGATTTTCTTCTTTCATTTCGATTATTACTCAGTCCTTGTTAGGCATTTGAGTTTGCAAACTCTATAGCTTTTCTCAGATCACAATGTGTACTACGATCATTCTAACTAAGGTGATAAATGAAGAATTAAGTTTTTAAAAAAAAACTGAATTTTGGGTGTATTAGTCCTTCGAGCACATTTTTTAAAATCTATTGATTAGGTTATTCTTATGTTGACTTTCTCAAGTTCAAATTTATCAGCCTAATAGCATGTCAAGATTTAGTACCATACATATTCAAACAAGACAATAACTAAAAATAGGTTTGCATGCTGGTACAGGATATGTGTTTTGGGTTAGCAAAGAAAACATAAAAGATATTGTCTTCCAAATCATTTATGATGCCAGGTATATAAAATCATATTTTAAAACATTAAGCCAAGGAATAAAGCTAAGCTTTAAAAAATTTCAGTTTCAGGAGGCGCAGCAGAACCCAACATAAAGTCTGACCAACAAAACTGATTATAAATATTCCTCAAGAGAAAGATTTAGGTTCAATAAAAAATTGAGGTTGAGCTTTGAGACTCTTCTAAAATTCAATAAAATCTGATTCAAATTTTTGTTCCTTTACAGAAATTCTAAGGACAAAGAAAAATAAGAAAACTCTTTTTCAAGGCTGTTCAAAGCCATCAGAACAAGTCAGGTACTTCAAGACTCTCGGAGTCCCGCAAAGTAGCTGTCAGCATCCTGCCCTCGTCCCCTCTGGCCCCGGAGCCTATCACTGCAGGAAAAGCAAGGGCCTCCTGCAGTCCGGACAGCCCAGGACAACTTCTCATGGCAAAGCCCTATGCATCAAGAGCACCAGAAGCTCCCGGCAGGTCTCTCCAGGGCATTCTATGTTCTTCTTACCTATCCCCCTTCAACGAGTGCTCCGTTAAGCATAAGATTTGCTTTGTCTGCCTTTGTTTGGGGGGTGGGTGTTGTTTTTTTTAACTTTTTATCGGTACCGGGGATCGAACTCACGACCACCTGCTTGCAAGGTGGTCTAAATCCCCAGCCCTGTCTGCCTTTGTTTTGTTTTCTTAGGTGTTCAAAAACAAAAGCTGTAAGAAGTTGACAGTCTGATGTATTTTCTGGAAAAATGGCAGAGGGTAAAACTGTACCCCTTCCATTGCACTAAAGACAGCCCAGGAGCTTGATACTGAATCACACTGGTGGAAAACACTGTTGTGTACTGTCTGAAAAGAGAACCTTTAAAATTAGCAGGAAGCAAGTCCAATAAAGTCAAAATCACATTCCTTGACTGCTTGATTCAACTGTTCTCATCTTAGTATTAATAAAATTTGTAAGATTTAGGTGAATCTCATTAGCTGCACCTGCCTGCCTCCGAGGCAGAGAGTTTATCTTCAAGTACTTGCCACTCAAAGCGTGATCTCTGGGCTGACATTTCCTCAGAGCCTCTTGGAAACAGGATCTCAGGCCCAGCCAAGACTGACAAATCAACATCTGCTTTTTACCAAGACCCCAGGCCACTGGCATGCACAGCACTGAATGGCAGGAGCTATGTGATAATGTGTGGGTCCTGCTTTCAGTCTTAGAAGTCAGTCATCCTTGGAGAGCTGGCTCAGCAAGTGGCAATTTTTACTGTCCGTGCTTACCATATATTCTGATTTGAAAGAGAAAAGTGAGAATAATGGAAAACAAGAATGACATGGAACTGCTGGGGCTCTCTCATACGTCAGATGTTTGAAATGGTTAGCTTGATGTTTGAAGCAAAAACATGCAAAAGATACCTACCAAATTTCTTGGGAACCCAGTCAAGACCAAAAGTGAACTTCTTTATCTGCACTACCAAGTATTCAGGGAATGAGGCAAAGCGAGATGTTCTGAGAAACACAAGGGGATTACATCAATCAAACAAGGCAAAGAATGGTGAAAACAGTTCCAGAAGTAAAACACGCTCTGTCTGAAGCCCGCCTCATAGTTCTGACGATCAGCCTGAGAGGAAGACCCCCACGGTCCCCTCAGTGTGCGTGCACCCATTCACTCCTGCTCCCCTGTCCTGGCTGGCCTCTCCACACCCCAAAAGTGTTTTTAATGCAGGAATTTGAATGCCTGAAAGTGATGTGGGGCCCAGTTCAAAACTACTACTGGTATTTTGCTGACATTTTATACTTCCATTTGTGTTTTTAAAATTCTTGTTGGAGTTTAGTGTATGTTTACGGATATTTACAGGCAGTATCTGTACTATGCACCTGTAAAGCTCTACCAAGCGGACCAGAACCATCCCACCTCCACCAACGAAAAGCACTCCCCTACCAAGAATCACTGTTACAGCATAGAGCTACAGGAAATACAGTTTAACTTTGGTTGAGGTTGACTACTGCAAATGCCAGAACCTTATTTAACACTAAATTCACAGTCACATGGATCTTCAGAGTAGCTATGTTGTGGCAATCTACAGGAACTATCTAAACGTGATTCTTAAACTTTAAAATTATTATGTATGCACAATATCTCAAGTTCATGTCAAAACTCTAGGGAGTTCAAATGCCTGGAGTTGGGACTGATAATTTTCCACAACAATTTTTAGATTGTCAATGAAATTTATACTTGTTCTGACCTGATTCCTTCCGTATTTATCATTTCTATTTGACTATTAATGAGTGGTAGGTATACATAAAGAAGAAAATGAGCTGTAGACAGGTATTATACACATCTTTTAGATAAAAGATTCTGGAATGTCCCCCTCTTCGCCCGGCCCCATTTCACTTTTCAAATCTGAGCTACTGCCTGCTATTCCGAATGCAGTGTACCAGAATTCACAAAGCATGTGCAAATGCACTGCTGCCCCCTAGTGCAGAGCAGAAGCAATAGCAGGGCAAAGAATGGGCAAAAAAAGAGTAGAAAGACACAGATTAAACTCTTAATTCACTCAAATCTGGGAAAATCACTGATCTCTTGAAACTGTTTCCACACCTAAAAATAGGATTTACTAATGATATCCATTTCCATATCTGTGCAATGTTCATGAAATAATGTAAAACCTCTTGGCACACTAGAAAGAACTGTGTATATCTAAGGAATCAGAATGAATTTTATCAATCCATGAGATTTTGGACACTGAACTGGTAACTTGCATTACATCCCTGAAAATTTACATAACTTCTTTACATTTGAAATTCTCCACCCACAAGGATGGCAGAAAGGTATGGACAGTAATATAAGGGAGCTGCACGGAAACAGAGGCTTCCTCATCTTAAGAAAGTAATCATCATCCTGGCTCTCTCTCCAGAAATTTGTGTTATCTCTAATTAGGTTTTCCAACCTTTTGGGAAGCAGCAATTATCATCAATCCCATTTAAATGTAGCCAAGTCCTCAATTGCGCCATCTGGTATTATGATATTTTCACTAATGTCAACGTTACCCTTCTGACCTTCTTATATTAACTTAAAATCTGGAAAAGTACCTAACAGTGAATCAGCCAAGTCATCCATAAATCATTGACTTCTAAAATGTGATGCAGGAATCCTGCTGTTGGTCTGTGGTCAGTGTCTGGGTGAAGCTTCAGCTGACAGTATCAGGTAGGAAGAATGGACAAGCGTGAGCTTGGAGCACAGGGTGAATAATTTAATTCATCTTTTTGTTACAAGTAACCACCAACCAAAGAGTCCAAGAAAGCAGACTAGATGGTTCCCGTAGGGTACTTCCCCAATTAGGCAAACATTCTTTATTTATCTTTGTAACCTCCCCAGGGTCTTAAATTGACTCATACACGTAGTAACTGCTTCATACATATATGTTCAACTTAATCTAGAAAGTGGTATTTTGCACTTATTAATAACAGTTTAGAGGGGCTGGTGATTTAGCTCAGTGGCATAAGCACCTGCCTTGCAAGTGCACAGTAGTGAGTTCCATCCCTGATACCAAAAAAAAAAAAAACAGTTTGGAGATAGCAAGTTCATTCATCAAATCCAGCAAAATCATAAATTATGCTCTGTATAGTCTTTTATTCTTAAAATTCTGGGAGTTATAATTTTTCTTGGAAAGCTATGTATTTTTAGTAAAGGCTATCAGAATGAAAATCACTCAAAAAGGAATTCAAGCACATCCAACGGGCCCCAGGATGCCCACCTCTGTGCTGAATTTATAACAAAAAATATTTCTTGAAAAAAGGCAATTTTGTTATTTACATACATTAACTATGTCACATATTTTATGTGTAGCCTAACTCAATTCTCCCTTACTCAGTGTGGACCAGGAAGTCCAAAGCTTGGTTACCCCCCGATGGATACCCAATGTATTTCAAAGAGTTGTTATGGTAATTAAATGAATTAAGACATATGAAGTGCCTAGAATAAGTCCTGACAACACCACTGTGTTTTCTGTTGACTATCTATTAATATTATTTAAAATATAAAAATTGCTAACTAATTACAGTTAAGGCAAAAATACCACGAAGACTTTATTAAGAAAAAAATATAATCCATCCCTTTTCCTAAAATTATTAAGAGTGTCTCTGTATTGACAATCTGGCTGCTATAAACTAACACAAACAAAAAACAAATAAAACCACAGTTCTATACTTTCTACTAAATATGTTCAAAATACAATAATCAACCATACTCAAAGATAACAGTCGTAACAGTTGCTGCCTGCAGTTACGCTGAGCCAGGTACTGTGGCAGGCACTTAACATGGCTTAGTTCCTTTAATCCTCACCTCATTTCTATAAAGAAAGCCCTCTCTTTGTGTCCTAACACCTTACAGATAAGGAAGGTGAGGTCACTTAGGTAAGGTCATGTGCCAGTAACTTCTAGATTGGAAATTCAAGGGCCACTCACCTCACCCACAGAGTCTCTGCTAGGGAACCCACACCATGCTTTTCTCTCCATGAATACTAAAATGAACTGTGAGCTTCTCAGGGCAGGCAGTATCAGGTCCTGTTTAGTTCACTGCCTGGACTATACAAGGTAGTAACATTTGCTGAGTGAAAAAATGTTCTCAACACTAATGTCCTTCTCAGATGCAATCTGTTCAGGATCATTTTAGGAAAGGGTCATTATGTCTGGTCTATACAGACCTACAAGATCCAAGATTTTTAAGACATGGCTTGCACTGTCCTGGACTTCCAGGCTTTGGACTTAACAAGATCTCAAACTATCAAAATGTAGGCTAACGGGCTGGAGATATAGCTCAGGGGCAAAGTGCTTGCCTGGCAAGCATGAGGTTGTGAGTTTGACTCCCGACACCAAAAAAGAAAGAAAGACAGAAAAAGGTTGAGCTATAGCCTACAATGCTGGAAATAAAGTTTTTAGGACTCCACTAGTTGTTCTTCCCAAAAGTAGTATATGGAAAGTGATAAAGCAAAATAAGAAATAAGTAAGGCTAAAACAGAATATATGATAAGCAAGCATGGTAAGAAATGTAAGCATTCTATATACTACAAGATTAAGAGCTTAATCCCCAAACTCAACCAGATCTGAATGAAGCCCAGATTTGCCACTTAGTGGCCAATTGCTTCTCCTTTGATTTCTTCATCTGTAAAATGGGAGAATAACGGTACCCACCTCACACTTCCAAGAAAATGTGGTACATGGTGGGAAGTGCTTAATTCGTGACTTAGCAATAAGTCTAATAAATGATAATTGTTTTATTTCACAATGACTATTTTTTTAATCATTAACGATCATAGTACACTTCATACTAATTTTTTCCATGTATATATAAGATGTATATGGAGCTGGGCATGGTGGTGCATACCTGTAACCCCAGCACTTTGGGAGGCTGGGAGGAGGAGTTCCAGTTCAAGCTCGGCCTGCACAATTTAGTCAAACCCTGTCTCAAAATTTTAAAAAGGGGCAGGGTATGGGGTGTAATTCAGTGCTAATGCCCTGGGTTCATGTTGAAGTGCATCCCCAGAAACAAACAGGAAAAGGAGAATGAGAAAGAGAAGGAAAAAGAGGAGGAACAGGAAGCACATGGAAGAATATGTACATATGCACAGAAAAGGGGAAAAACATGCTTACTATCTCCCTTAAAAAGCAGAAGCTCCTCCTGCTCAAGAATTTCGCTTACCTTACAACTAAATTCAGGGTAGTGCTGCATGAAATTCAGAGCAGCAAATGCGTTCCCCTGTGATAGACAGGAGGACACTGGGCAGTGAATTTGTCCAGGACAGCAGATAAGAAAGGAAGTAGACACAAGAGAAGCATTTGATTCCCCTGACCATTAGCCCAGTGCTCAGAGAATCTGTCCGTGAAAAGCTAACTCCTCCTAGCTTCGTTCTATAAGGGTCTTTTTCACATGTTGAGCAGGCTCTTTCCTGGCAGGGCACGTGCAGAGCTAGCCAGGCAGACCTGGAGAAGAGGGCGCCACGCCCTGCGCTGTGACACAAGCCACTGCTCTGCAGAGCAAAGAAAGGCAGAACATTCTACTTCTCCGGAGGCTTTCTGGGCTCCCGGCTCTTATGACAGCTTCCCACCATCCCACACGGCATCGGAATAAACAACAAAGAGAAAATGATGAATGTGGGAAGCAATATTCAACCCATTCTTAATGACTGAATAAATTACTTCCACCACTAACAAGTTGTGTGGATTTCTAATTGCCCAAAGGTGTCTCCGAATTGCAATGACGTGTATCTCTCCCACACCAACTCACCAACTGTGACCTGCAAGGATACACACACACACACACACACACACACACACACACACACGTGCACAACACACATGACACACACAGACACCCACACACCACAGCAGAGCAGTCTGCAGTAAAAGCTTATCCCAGGATAAACAGCCAATAGCTGAATGAATTCCATCAATTCTCACTTAAATATGGTTTTTAAATTACTTGTTAAAATATGGCTTTTATAATGTTTAAAATAAGCTGCTTCCCCCCCCCCCGCCCCATTTATATTATGTGAACTCTATTCTGAAACCAGAGGGATGAGCTCTGCAGAAAATAATTCGCTCTCGGGTTGAGTGCTGCCTGAGGTTATGGGAACGCCAGCCGGCAGCAGCCCTCCTCCCTTCCTTCCCCTTCCCATCAACCGAGAACTCAAGCTCAGCCTCAAAGGACATCTCAAAGCTGCAAAATCACTAGAGCCCAACTCAGACCTCTGCTCATTTTACACCACTTTTTGGACTCTTTTTTCCAGTAAGGTGCAGCAATACGAAATGTGCTAGCACAGACTGTCAAATCGAAGTACTAAGTAGAGAAGAAAAAAAAAAAAAAAAAAAACCCAGCTTCACAATGTGAATACAAGCTAGCTCCTGAGTAGTTAATGGGAACAATGCTTACAAGTTTTCCTTCCACTTTGAGATGCCCCAAGACTCCTAGTCTTCAAGCACAAACACAATCAACTATGTTCTATACCACATCTCAATCACACAGTTAAAGGATACCGCAGCAGAATTTGAATACTAAAGCCTGCCATAAGTAGTTTTACTGCATCATCATGAACATGCATTCTTATTGATTGGGGAATAGGAACGTTGGCTGCACTCTCCAAAATAAAATAAAATGCAATTTCTTAATAGAGGACAAAACACAATTTGGCATTCTTAAAAATAAGGGAGGGAGGACAGATATCTCTCTAGCACCTCCTCTCCTACTGGACAGGTCTCTTGAAGGTGAAGTCTACAGCAGATAGGGTGTATGAATCATAATCGCACACTGCCACATGTAAACAACCAACGTAGTACACCCCACCCCTCTCCACACCCCGCAAGGCCCCGCACCCCACTACCACCATACACTCACTTCACACCCGCAGACTTGGCTTGTAGGGCGCTGCTCCAGAAATCGTCGACATTTTCTGGTTCTGAAAAGGCCTGAAGGCAGGCACTGAATGGTATCTTGGCACGCACCAGTTCGGGGAGGGGTCTTCTGTTTGCCTCTGCTTCCCTTCTTGTTAGTTCATAGGCAATCAGTTCATCTGGGGAAAAAAGTACCTGAATGAGCTGGCACCTGCCAATCACTCTTATCTACTTGAAATAAAAAACACTCACTTTGGGCAATCTTCCCTGAAGGTTTCTGATTGGGACAGGGTGGCTGTCTCCTTGCCTTTCCCCTGTCCGAATGTGCCTGCTAAAATGCTGTTCTTGGGTTATCTTTGGAGATGCATGCACAGCCTGCATCAGGTCATTCTTTTTCCCCCCTTCGGGACTGATGGGAGCGAAGTGTGAACTCAGTTCAGACCATGTGTGATGTAAATGGCATGTGAAGCTGGTGTTTCATTCGTCCAGAGGGTGAGCCTGGTATGACCCAAACACCACCCTCCTTCACCCCACAGAACTCTGTAGCTGAAAAAGAGCCACAATCTCACAGCTTCCCAGATCCCTCACTTGCTAAGAAACTGAGTCTTAAGATCAAAGCCAGTCAATGACCAACAAATTCAGATGTAAAGCCATGACCAGCAGTCTTCCCTACCTCCACTGTGTGATGCAGAAAGGGATGTTAAATTGTGTCAGGGGAGCAAATCTTGCCGATGATCACACATACATAAACACCAAAAAAAACTAATAAAAGCAATTCTGTTAACTTTAAACTGTCCTAAAATAAAACAGTAAATAAAAGAGAAAAAAACAACCAATAATATGAAGAACTACCGCTAAGCTCTTGGCAATGATCAAACCCAGTGTTACACATTTTCTAATTTAGGTCCACTAGCTACTTTGATCACTGGTCACGGATTCCAAGTATTATAGGACTAAGAAGTATAAACATGAGGACTGCAGTTATCCATCAGCTCACATCCCATAATATATCAACACTGTGCAAGACAGCTTCTTGCAGAAGCTACCAGCACCTAACATATCAAGGGAACCACGCTGGCAAGACTCTCTGTACAGTTCCCATTTAAATGATGAAATGTTTAGGAAAAAAGAAGTGAGTATGCCATGAACCTCCCAAAAGAAAGGAAACTAACTGTAGTTAAATTTTTACATATATTTTGAACCATTCTCCAGTCAATTCTCTTATATTACCAAACAACAAATGAACAAACAAAAATCACTCCTGATGTATCAGCTTTTAAGCACATCTATGCACTTGTGTATTTTTCTACAATGCCTCTGAATAGCTTTTAAAATTCATTCTCTAACCCATAGTTTATGATTTACTTATCTGAAGATGCTAATATTAGCTGTTTCTACCAAATTCCAGAGACTAAATTATAAATATCTTTTCTAACCAAAAAAGTTGCTATCCGTAATCAAAACAGTAAGTTAAAGGGCACAGAACTGTAAAAATGGTTAGAAAACAAAGCAATTCACTTTTGTCAAGGTCTAATAACAAAGGTAAATAAATAAAGCTGAGAAGCTGTGAAGAAGAGGATATTATGCTTATGTCTAACAGTAAGACATGACAAAGGACCTTCAGAACTACAGTCTTCAAGGTCGCTGCAATCTGGTGAAGAAAACATTTCTGTACGGAGGACTCTGCAGCAACCATCTGTTCATCTTTGAATTAGAGCCACCCCTGTTACTGACCCTTGACACCTTCATGCCATCTAATCTTGAACGTTAACTTGACTGGGTTAAAGAGACTCATGGAGAGATAAATGGATGAATGAGGTGCTGTATTCATGAGCAGATTAACCTTTTCATTTGAGAAGAAAGTTCCATTTTGAGAAGAAAGTTCCACTTCTCTAGAAAGACTTGATTTCTCAGGATTCATTTCACCATGCTCAGTCACCGAAGCACTCAGAAGCCACTGCAGTTGTGGTCCAAGGGGCCTGATTACAGCTAACCTTGGCAATGTCCACATGATTCTGGTTCTACAGGCATGCAGAATGCAAGAACTAAGGGGTCATGGAGGTTTCTACCCAGATTTCAAATGCAGGCCTGACAATCCTAAATTTATGGCAGGGTCATCACAGTCCCTGCCACGAGTCCCTGAGATGGCAATGCATAAAGCTATGGGAGCCACATGGAAGCTACATTAGAGACCTTAGGAAGTTGGAAGTGCCGGGGACATGGAACCTCCATCAAGAAAAGCTGCAGGCAGTGAGCAAAGTCAGCCCGAGACAGAGACTCTACGGTTGCAATGGGAAGGCATCGGACGAGGCTGCCCGTGTCTTCTGTGACTTAAAGATTACAGCTATGTGCCTCCGATGCTGGACTTGGAAATACTGCTTACCCTGCGGGGTTTCATTTTTGCTTTTTCTTTTTCCTTTCTATTCTTCCCTTTGGGGACAAGAATGCTTATCCTGTACCATTCACTGCATATTGGGAAAACATAATTTCCTTTTTTTTGTTTTTTTTTAAATTTTACAGGGGTTTATTGCCTTGAGTTTGCCTTCAGTCTCAGAGGCTTTAGATTTGGACTTTCGAGTAGTGCTGGGACTGTGGAAACTTTAGAGAAAGGATAGTTGCATTTTCAGTTGTACCCTGGATAGTTAACAGCATGATAGTCAGGATAAGGACCTTATTACTGTCCGGTTTTTTTTTTTTTAAATTGAATATGGTTTAAGAAGACGTAATTAGGTGTCAACTTGATAAGGTGTGGAATTTTCACCAGTCAAGATCAATTGGCAACTGGACTAGATTAATAGACTCCAGAGAGGTGACTGAGTCATGCACGGTTGGGCTATATTTATCACTGGGTCAATCCACCAATACTCATCACTGAATGTGCTGTGGGGGGCACTTCCAAGTGGGTCACTGAGGGCTTGCCTTCTCTCCTGTGCTCTCCCCAGCTCCTATGAAGTTAGCAGCTTCGCTCGGCCTTACCCTGCCACCATGATGCTTCTGCCTTGGAGCCAGTTGAAGAACATGTACTGGATCCCCTGAAACCATCAGCCAAATTAAACTTCTCTTCCTTTCAGTCATGGGTGTTGGGTATTTTGTTCCAGCATGGGAAAGCTGACCAGTGAACACTTGTTATTCATCCTTCTGGCTAACAATTATTTAACGAAACAATTATTTATCAAAAAATTCTCATTTGCCTTTAAAAACTTCTTCCTTTAACATCTTTGAATGCTGTTATGGTTTATTTCTAGATGCTCCTGCCCCAAAGCCTCATGTGGTCACAGGTGGGGCTTTTGAGGGTGATTAGATTATGGAGGTCATAGCTCACTTGCTATTGAGAGGCAGGGTCTGGCTGGAAGTGGTGGGTTACTGGGGATGCTGCCTTCACAGCTCATCCCTTGACTGCTTCCCCACCCTCCATGCCGTAAACAGTTTCTCCTCTGCAATAGCTCTGGGCCATCCTACCTTGCAGGCTGCAAATTATGGGCTGAAATATAAGCCAAGATAACTCTCCTCCCTTAAATTGTGGGTGTAAGGTATTTTGTTCCACCAAAAAAAGTGACAAATACAATATGCAGTTTACTATAGAATGTCCTCTGCAAAGCTACTCTCAAATAAATGTATCAATCATCAGAGAATCTCTCTCTGTGATTTAGAGTAGACATGTAAATCAGTAACCCTGAGGCAATTAACCTTGTTCTAAAAATGAAACAAACCACATACTCAACCCCCCTAATTCTACCTTTTATAAAGGGTAAGAATTTGACAAGTGGTCAAAAGCAGTATGAGCTTATTATAGAAGTTGGGAATAATATTATCTTAAAATCATCATAACCACTGCTTTCCAATTAGCCTCATAAATTGAGTTCCCACCATCAGAGGAAAAAAAAATAACCAAAGAAGCATTGAGCTTTACAAAAATGACCAATTTACAAGAGATGATCAATCCAACATCCACTTTTTCCAAGACAATATATTAATTCTGATAAATACCCATTTGTTGTTCTGCCTGGGAAGGACTAGATCAAACAACAGACTGAGAAGGAACCCATTCCCTGAGAACTCAACGTAGCTGCCTCATCCCTCTCTGGCTTCTTCTCCCTTCCAAGGTCCAGAGACCCTGCTAATGGGCTTCGTTCCTCCAGAGTGCCTTGCCACCTATCTCCCACAACAGGCACCTTAAACACCTGGATGCAAAAGCTGAATCATTTCAAAAGACATCTCCTTGAATGTCTAACAACAAAATTGTAGTTCTGATCATTTCTCATCAACTTTACAGCACAACTTACAGGTGATGCTAAAGAATCTTCTACCTATATCATTACCAATAATTTCCACTCAAATTACACTGACTCCAGTCCAACTAGCTGACCAAATTTATAAGCGTTAAAGTAAAACTGGCAATGCATTTATTCTTCTCAGAACTCACATGGGAACTAAGGAAAAGATGAAAAGAGATGTACAAATCAGCTAGGCCCACTCCTGATTCCACCCTTCAAGGACCACGCCCTACGATCTGTCGAAGCGTTTCCCATAGGAAGATATGCATGATGACTTTTCTGCTTTAGAATGTTACCTTTGTTGGTCGCTGCCTCCATGGCCACGGGTAACTGCATCAGGTAATCCACCCTCTCGGTGTAGCGGACCTTTCGGGTCTGGCAGCACTGAATACGTTCTTCCACCAAAAACCGGAAAACATCACTTGGGTTTTCTGAGCCGATGCGATTTCTCTGATGGGTGGATAATATTTAGTTAATACATGAATATTCTGCCACAAATAAAAGTGAGCATAATGTCAGGTAGAGATGTAGTTAAAGATCTGGCTTTACTAAACATTTCCTATGGATATGACAGTTCACCAGGGCACTTTAATAGCAAAACACTGCTATTTGTCTAACGTCCAAACCAGGGGTTTGGTTAAATAAATTTTGCTTCATCTGTGAAGCAATATTATGCAGCCATTAAAAATCATGGGGAGCTCTCTGGTAAGCGGCAGTAGTGTGGCCCACTGCAGCCCTTCCAGGGGGAGAACTAGCAGTGTCTCCTGAGATCCACACCATGTTGGAACTGAGGATGCTGTGAAAACAAATGACCATTCTGCCTCCCTGCTTAGCAATAGTGAACCTACTGCTACATGGCCTAGTGTCAATTATCCCACTTCCCATATCCTCCTTCTCCTCCTCCTCCCCGCCCATTAGCAAGTGGGAACCAGAAATCTGAGCATCTCCTGGGAGATTGACCATAGCAAATAAGGGGGACTTCCTTCTACCATTTCTTTGAAGGCAAATATTTTTATTACTGTTTTGCTCTTTTCTGATTAATGGTACTGCTCTATTCAATATTCTGTTTTGATAAGTTCTATAGTGTTCTATATTTCATCTCATTTTGATATACGGGATTAAAAGAACAACTATTATAAAGATAACAAAATATACTGTGATTCCTATTACTGTTATTCCGGTAACCTGCTGTGAAGTTCTGTACCAATTTCACTGTACGATCTTAGTTGGCTTTATTCTGACTTGTTCTGTTGTATACTTTCAAAATAAAAATTAAAAAAAAAAATCACGAGGAGAAGGACTGACATTTATGGAGTTAGAAGAAAGAAGAAAAAGGAGCCAAATGAAAGAGAGAGGGAAAAAAAATAAAGCATTGTCCTGGGAAAATTAAGGCATGGATGATATAATTGTATAAAAAATTATAGTCAAGTAAAAAAGAAATGATGCTGTATTAGAAGATGGAATGATGTGGCAATGTGCTCACAACAGATTAGAAGAAATCATTGCTTAAAAAACAACATACAGAAAACTCACATATAACCTGGGAAACAACTGGGAAGGTCAGACACCAAAATATTAACCAGCAAAAGATTTTTAAGAGCTGCTATTATGAGGGGAAAGATTATTTTCTCCTTTATTTTTCCACAAAGCGTACTCTTATGATGGTGGAGGGGGTGGTTAAAGAAGTAAAACAAGTTTTGCTCAGAAATTCTCATGCATTTTTTTAAAAAAAACACACTGTGATTCAACTTCACTGTGAGCAAAGTGTGATCCCCTCCAAGGGGCAGCAGGATGATATCACGTACCCCATGGTGCTCTCAAAGGGCTTTCTCTAGAGACCCACAAAATTAGCCAGTGAATTAACTAACAAGCAATCCCACCGTGTGCACAGATTAAAAAAAATACAAACTGATCCACCACACTTGGAGCCAGGGTGTGAGAAGCCATCACATCAAGTGGACTGAGCAGACAGAGCTGCTAGGAGCCCAAAGAGAGACCATGGACAGAGGTGGAGACGTGATTAGATCTGCTCAAACCAGAGAGGACGTCAGTGCTGAGCACTTCTCACAGCCCCGCCAAGCTCTCCCAAAGACTCACCTCTACAAGATTCACCAAGTGCAAGAAAAACTCCTGGGCATCTTGTTGTCTGTTAGAGGAGAATTCTGGGTGACTCTTGCTGACAAAGGCCTTAAACATACGTGGAGAGATCCCATTCTGTTGAGGCTAAAGTGTAAAAATAAAACAGATGTACAATAAACACCTCATCACATTAACAGCCTCAAGCAGCAAGCAGAATACGGCTTACCATAAACCCCATTTCTCAGAGGAAGCCATCTGAAGCAAGAAAAAAAAGTAGCTACTGACCAGGAAGGGCCAACATTCCCTAAAGGTTTACCATATCCCAACCACTGCACCACAACCAGGGTGGACTCTTCCTGTGCACTCAAAACCAAGCATATTTGGGGAGAAATACTCCACTTTTTAAAAACAGGTGCAGACTCATCCTCTCAGGACCTGCTACTCAGTAGCCAAACTGGCCTGTCCCCATCCATATCAGGGCTCACTGGAGACAGGTTATGAAGGAGGAGCCATGGACAGAAGTTCAAGGAGCATCTCCTCTGGCTTTCCTGAAGTGTAGGATAAACCTCTCCAAAAGGTGAGGATGTTCACAAGAGAAAGAGCATGGCATGGCCTAGGGAGCCGCGGCAGAGCTGTGCAAGCTCCCCAGCTTGCCCTGCGCTGTCTGTGGATAATGCGTAAGGGACTGCGGCCACCGTGCAGGACTTCTGTGTCTCATCTGGAGAAGCAGAAAATGGGCTGTAGCTGCAAGGATGGCAGCATGAGAAGAGCAGGCAGCAGGGCCAAGCAGGCAAAGCAGGCTGCTAAATTTCCCTTGGGGCCAAAGAGTCGCTCAGAACACAGCTAAGTTCCCCTAAAAAGGAGTCCACGCAAGCTGGTAGGCTGTTGGCCAGACAAGGAAGCCGAGGACAAGACCCAGAGGTCAGTAGGAAGGGCGTCAGGGGAAGAACGTTGTAAGGTCTCTGAGGTGGGAGCAACTCTAAAGGACCACAAAGGTGTCCCCTCAAGAAGGTCAGCCACGACATGAGCCAAACAACACTACGTATGCAAAGCAGCTCTGCCTACTTCTCCAATCTCCCTTCCTGACCTCAACTCTGGGGAGTCAGGAGAGAGAAGGGGCAAAGGCGTGAAGCAGGGACAAAATAAGAAATAAAAATAAATATATACAGGGGACAAAAAACATGTATTATCTCTCTATATAAATATACGTATAGAGAGAGGTAATATATATAGATAGATAGATAGATAGATAGATAGATAGATAGAGAGAGAAAATAGATCCTAGCTCTTCTGCACTGCTGTTCTGACTCCAGAAAGGTAGAAGGGAGACACTTTAAATGTGTTTTGAGTGAGGCAGACTTTTTAATACTGGAAATAGCTGGAAATTCAGAGAGTTTTCCTGAGATGCACTGAAGTCGCAGGATGGGACAGCATTGTTGGTGGTAAGAGTATACAGGAGAGCACCTGATGCCGCCGTTTTCTGGGTGTCCTTCCCCACCCATGTGAAGCCCACCTGATAATGGTGCTATCTGTTACCTCATTTATACAATAGCTTCTAGGAAAGAGGCACCTTGTTTTCTGCATTTAGAGAAGTCAAGACTGGCAGAGAAGTGGCAGATGGGTCTTTCAACTCTAAGTGGTCTTAATGGCCAGATTATAAGTAGCTAGCAAAGCAGAAACAAAGCGGACTTCAGGTCCAGCTCAGCCTCCAATTCCAGGCTGTTTGTAGTAAAAAGAGGGAGCTGGGCCTTACAGCCCATATTAGACCTCGGTGAAATAGTCACACTAAAAAAGCAATTCCCGTCTTTTCTGTATATGCTGTGGCTGCTGCTTGTGTACTTTCAAGAAAACCTCCACTTGCTCAACTCACAGGCTATGTTTCCCCTTCTGACATGCATGTGAGCCATCATTTGCCTCATAGCACCAAGTGCCTTCTACCTTCTTAGGTTTTCAGCTTGCTCCTGACTCAGCTCCACAATCTGACTGTGGTGCTTTGCAGGCAGAGACTTATCTCATGCCTCTTTGAGTCATCATGGGTCTGGAGTCCACCACAGGCTTGCAGAACTGGACTCCTTTATCTGCCTCCCTGTGGCCAAGAGGTAGGTCAACATGAAACATCTCTCCAACACACACACTCTAAGCAAGTACTTCTTATTTTGATCCTAGGGTTTTTCCTGATTTGTTGAAAGCATATCTGGCTTCGTCATCTAAAATTTACTAACCATGTACTTTATGCAAGGCCCTACTGCCTTCTGAGAGTTTACACATGAATATAAGTAACATATACACGTCTATAATAAATGTTAAAAACACTACAGAAGATCAAAACGGTGCTAGAAACCCTTAGCGAATTCTCCAAAGTGGTATCATTTAGACACATGAGGTTGTGGAATCGATCCACAACAGACCATGACACACACATACACAGCTTTCTGTGTAATTCCAATGCTACATGAAGCCCAGTGGATACCTAACCTAGCTAATTTTACCACCTGTATACACACCACCAAAAATCTAAATGATGCAACTTTCTTTACTAGCAATGCTGGTGTGTATTTACATGGTACTAGCTGGCATAGCCTTGTTTTTGCACAATAGCTGACATGTATACACTCACTCAACAGATTTTTTCTGAGTTCTACAAAATGTCAGGCACTGTTCTAGATGCTTAGACAAATAGTAGGTGCCTGGCCCCAGTTTTTAACACTTTATATGTGTATTTGACTTAAAGCGTCCAACTCCATTAGGAAATGATGACAATTAGAAGCTCTACTTGACAAAAGGAGCAAGTTAGGCACAGGCATAGTAAGTAACAAGTCCAGGATCACACAGAGAGAAAAGTCTCTCTACTGCCTCCCTGTAGTGTCCTGCTGTTGCTTGTGACACACGTCATCCTAGCTCTCATCATCAAGTCTATCCTACTAGCTGCTAAAAAGAGAAGACAGCATGGCTCAGACTCTGCATAAGCCTTCTTCAAACCCTGGAGCCAACCTTCCAGGTCACCCCAGCCATTATTTCTCCCTGCCTAACAGTATGGAAGCACCACTGGACATGAATCTTTTCACCTATTTGCACTGTCTGTTCAGGCATTCACTTCTGCTGATGCTGGCATTATTTCTTGTAAACCACGATTCAGGTTTGGTGTGGCTGCCAGTCCCTAACACATTCGAAAGTTCAACAAGTCAGTAAATTCTGCTGCTCTGATCCACTGTGTGGCTGTACAATTGGGAGATGTTTCAATAGAGACCATGGTGACAAACACCGCAAACAGCACCATTTTGGACTGTGGTGCAGACTCACTCGTTCCCTCTCACAACTCTTCCCTTTCAGGGCCCACTTCATTTGTTTTCCCTTAACTGACCTCTCTTAAGCCTTTGTTCAATTATCAAGCTATCGCTTGCGTAATGTCGATCACCTGGCAGTTATCTGCAAGTGCTGCCTACCTAGAGAGATGCCACCCCTGCCTGTATGATGCTGCAGACCAGCATGAGCTAAGCATTTCAGCTCAAACTCAGTTACTCAGTGCTTAATGTCCTGACCATCAGCTGGCCCCATCTGTCCATACCACTGTATCGCTGATTTCAGAGGAGGAGCTCTTTCTAATTTCCATGCTCAGCTATTGTTATGTTCAATACATGTCTAGATGTTAGAAAGTCAGTTTCTAAAAAAGTACAGCCTGAATCTAATAAAGCCTTCAGATCTAACTACCGGCTTATAGTAACAAACACAACTGAGCAATACCTCCACGAAGCAATCTTTAGAGCAATCTTAAGGCCAATGATTCAGCTCCTTCAACAAATCAGAGCTTGCAAAAAGAAAAGAAGAGGGACTTTAGAAAAGGACCTTTCTGCAGTACCTTGATACTGCAGAAAAAAATCTAAATATGGACTGGGCATTAAGTGATACTAAAGAATGGCTGTTGATATTGTTGGTGTGCTTTTAACACTTCAAATCATTTTCACTGTGGCATTTATGTTAAATGAAAAAAGATAGAGTTACAAAGAGATACTAAATATTTTCAGATAAAAGGAAGATCTTTGCATTTTTGTTAAAATACTGCAAGAAAGGGAAGGGAAAGAGGGAAAGGAAGAAAAGGGAAGAGAAGAGAAAGGAAGAGAAGGGAAGAACTAAAAGTGAAAAGGGAAGAGGAGATTTTAGGGAGACTGATAAACCAGACTGGCAGAATGGTGATTACAGAAATTGCACAGCAGGTACACAGGAGTTCATTACACTTCTCTCTACTTTTATGTATGTATGCAAATTTCAATCATTTTTTTAAAAGTCAGGCTCTAAATAACACATTTCCTTAATAGCCAAAATAAAAACTAAACAGTTGACTTAAACAGAGCACATTTCCTTCTTGACAGTGACTCAGGGACATCACCTTAGTGTCCCCTATGGGTCTCACCCACAAGATGAAAGAGAGGCCAAAAGGGACCGGGAGTCAGAGCTGCCTGCAGGAAGCACATGCTCTCAGGGGTGAGCAGGCTCACGGGTACCTGAAACAATAGTTCTAACCACTCACTTTAGCATAGGGAGGCCCAAAGAATGTCAAAACAGCAACCACCTAGGGAACCTGTCATAGGATACTGTACTTACCTCTCCATCAGCACTTGCAAAACAGATTAGCTAAAATTACAGAGAGGGCTACAGATCAGAATCTCTCCCCAATGCTTACACAGCACTTTCTGTTCCACCCAGCACCCAGGCAGACAGCCAGACACAAGGATGCACTCATGTCCCCCTGAACCTAGTACCTCAATTAAAAGGCAAGCTTTCAGCACGTTACATCCACACTCACAGAGACACCTGGAAGATTACAGAAAGAGAGAAAGAATATACACATCTCAGCCTGTTCCTAAAAACAGATTATGCAGTCCATGGATTTAAACTTTAAATGTTAAACCTTGGACCTTGGACCACTAGTTCCTACCCCAAGTTCAAACCCCAAACCTCTCAAACTACTATTCATATCCCAACCTACGGTAACAGGTTAATGAAGCCAAAGTTCTTATATTTAGAGCTGAAGTTATATCACCCCACAAAGAACACTGGTTATCTTATGTTAGTAAACTGAGACCAGCAATTAGGCATCAATGATTATTTAGATGGAAAAGCAAATAAACTGTCAATAAACACAATTATTTAAAATATTTTGTCTTCAGAAGGAGAAACAACTGACAGAATATCCAATTTCAAAATGTTTGAAAGCACTGCCTTAATATAGTTACAAAAATCAGGAACTTTTTTTCTTCTTTGATATGGTATCTCATCACCCTACTCATGTTGACCTTGAATTTCTGTGCTTAAGCAAACCTTTAACCACAGAATAAAAATGTGCTTTTAGAATATGAAAATTTTACCTACTATAAATGCAATTTAATCTTGTAGATTAATTCATCAGGGCAGGGTGTGCAGTTCAGTGGAACAGTAACTGCTTAGCCACAACCAAGCCCTGAGTTTGAACTCCAGAACAAAATAAATTCAACCAATAAGATACATCCCTAAACAAATACTGCAAGTCTTTTTTTACAGATGAAAGTGTTTATTGAGCAAGCCCATATTTTAGAAACCAGATTTCATCTTAGTCTGTAGTAGATAATTCCAAAAGAGTATATTCTAGAGGTGACTCAAGATATGACAGAAGAAAAAGCAAGCAAGAAAAGAAACACACTACTGAGCCATCTGCAAAATGAAAACACCCCCCTTTGTCCCTCACCCCCTACCGTCCACAAGCCCAAGAACTGTGACCCTGAAGCAAGCCAAAGAAGAGCTCAGCCCCAGGAAAACACAGAGGTCAAAAGCACAGACGCTGCAGTCCAGACGACCTGGTGTGGTTCCAAGCTTTGGCACTCAACAGCTCTGTAACCTTAGGCAAATTTTTGTACCATTTTCTGCCTCAGTTCAAATGGAGGAAGAGCTTGCCCCTTTTTACAGTCACAGTATGAAGCTAGGCATAGCGTTGCTGTTGTTGGCATCCTTGTGTAAAGGTCTCTCTGCCAGATGGCTCTGGCCCAGCTCTCATGTTCTCTCCTCCAGCAAACATTTCTCTCATCATCTACCTCTTCTCTGCCTCAATGCATCTTTTTTTCTCTGGGGCATTTAAGGTTCAAGAGCAAGTCACAAATACCAGAGGCCTCGGACAGGAGCTCCTGACCGAAGAGTTCCTGATAACTGAGAGAAGAAAGATTCTCACAAATTGGTTCCTTTGAAACCAACTGCTGGGGAAAAGTCTGATGCCCCAGAAGGTAAGTGCTCCCACTGTCCAAGGGAGTAGAGGTTTCTGCTATGAATTATCTTTTCTGCTATGAATTATCTGTCTGTTTGAGCAACAGCTTAAAACACACACACTTAGCACTGCAAAGGAATACGGTCTGTTCAAGATCTGTTTTGAATGTTAAAGAAACTTGACTGATGCTTGGGGCCAAAGATGGTCCATTTCACCCTCACTGAATGGACCTCCCTAAAACCTGGAAGATGCACACCATATACTGATTGTGTTCAGGTCTCTTTGTTTTCAGTGGGGATTGAATTCAGGGTTTTCACACTGAGCTATACCTCCAATCCTTTTTTATTTATTTTTGAGACTACATCTCACTAAGTCACTAAGTTGCCCAGGTTGGCTTCAAACTTGCAACCTTCCTGCCTTAACCTCACAAAGACAGGACTCTTTCTTTATCACACAAGGCCTCAAAGGTGGGAGAGATTTTGTAAGTCATCTAGATCAAAGGTCAGGATAAACACAATCAAAGCAAAAATTTGCACCAGCTTTTCCACCCTCATCTTACTCAACTTTCACAGAATCTCAGGGATAGAAGAAGCCTAGAAACCTCACACCAAACCCTCTCAGCACTATGCCCCAGATGAGGGGCTCCAAACTCTGGTGCATAAGACTCCTTTGTTTTGCAAGGTGATTTGAGACTGTAAGTTCTTTCGGTCCTGTATGCCGATTACTCTCTCTTTCCTCTCTCTTCCTTCTTTACAACCTGCTTTCTTCTCAAAACACTGCCTCTATAGTTCCCCTCAAAACCTTCCTTCTCTCGTTCACTTCCATGTCCACCCACAACCAGCTAAATTTATATGAACAAGAACATACTTGCTTTTGACTCTTGCTCCTGGTTTATAGGTACTGGTTAAGGATAAACTACCTCAGAATGGACGGAAGAATACTTCAGAGCAGCACTGAATTAGCTTACACATAAGTTAAGAACTATTTGGTGCATTCTGAGGAAAATGTGCTCCTACAGTGGACAATGGTGAGGGAGGATATTGTTATGATTTAGATATAAAATGTCTCCCAGAAGTCTCCAATGTTCAGAGGCGGAGCTTTCAGGAGGTGATTAGGTCTTTGTGGCACTTTACTCACCAGTGGATTAACTCATTGATGAGTTCACTGCTAAATGTGCTACTGGGAAGTGAGGGCAATTAGAGGAGGTGGGACACTGGGCACTCCTTTGGAGTGCATATCTCTCCCTCTGGCTTTTCCCTCTCTCTTTGCTTCGTGGCCACTGTGGGCTGAATAGCTTTCCTCTGCCATGCCCTTCTAGCTTGAATGCCCTGAATAGCTTTCAGCTGCCATGCCGTTCCACCTTGGAGTCAGCGTATCAAGGACTGAACCTTCTTAAATCATTAGTCAAAATGAACTTCTCCTTTAAATTGTGGGTATTGGGCCTTTTGTCCTGGCAATAGGAATGTAAGGGTGTTCCACTCAAGACATTGCAGCAACAGGAACCGACGGTACCAAATACAGCCATATGAAAATGCACTGCCGAACTCCAAGAGCACCATTCAAAAAGACCAGACTACAAGCATCATCCTTTGTAGTTGCGCAACAGAGCACAACTGTGGGAGGAGCCTGCATGCAGGGACTTGGAAATCTGACCAGACAGACAATCAGACTATCTTTCAATCACTGGATCCATTCATGATGATTGGCCAACTGAGTTTCTCCTTCATCAATGCATTTAAAAATCATAAGGCAACTTATCAAAGTCAGGATTGCCTAGCTCTCCCCGGAAATTGTGAATCCTAAGTTCCAGAGAGGGGCTGAGAAAAATGAGTGTTGTTTAATAACCAGCCTTTTGAAAAACCACAGCAAACAAACCTGAAATTTAAGGGAAAAGGATCAAGATTAAATTACCAAGGAGGAAATGTTTATATTTTTGTAAGATTCTTTCCTTCTGCCTCATTCCTCCTGCCTTATAATTGCTTGTGAAGATCAGTTATAACCATGGCACACAGCTATCATCCTCATGGGGCAACTGTCCCTAGAAACTCTAGCCTGGTATTCCTTATCACAGTTTTTAGCAGTACAAAGAAAGGCACCATCTCTTGAAATTAAATAGCTATTCTGACAGCCTGCTAAATTTATAGGCACCCTTTATCAGGCATAGAATCCCCACCTGCATGTCAACATGGCAACCCTGGGACACATACCTTGTGCTCCTCCTTCATCACCTGCTCAATGATCTCAGATTTCACCGGAGGCTTTGAATACTGGCCTGAGAGAAGGCCATGTCCTAACTTAGTCCTGGGCAGGAGGGAAACACAAAAAGCAAAGAGGTCATTATTTGTCTTCCCGTAGAGATATTAACATTATCTATGAATTCATTATCAATGAATTCCACTTCGAGGTGGACCGTTTTATCTTATTTACAAATTATTTACTTGACTGTTTATCCTGATTCCATTTTCAAATTTTCCTCAATACTTTATACTTAACTTTGTTTTTAGAGCACTTAAAAACACAGAAAATAAAGATCAAAAAAATAATTGCCTTTAATTCTGCAGCCAATCAAAAATCACTATGAACACTCATTGGATAATGCTATTTTACACAATACAACCCGGCACTTACATCTGTGTGTTGAAATCTTGTGTTGGATCTAAAGGCGAATAGTCAAATATTCTTGGAAGATTTCCAACATACCTAAGAGAAGTGACAGTCAAAAAGAGTGATGTTAAGTAACTGTCAACTTGATTGTCTTGGGGTCCACCCAGAAGATTACTAAAGCACAATTCTGGGTGGGTCATGGTGTGACCTTGAGGTCTATATTTGGCCCTTTTCTCTCTGGCACTGTTCACTCACTCTGTTTCCCAACTTCAATGAGCTGAATAGCTTTGCTCCAGCTTGCCCTTCCACCATGATGTTTCTGCTTAGGAGCTCGAAATTATGGCATGAACCCTCTGAAACCATGAGGCAAATAAACATCTCCTCCTTTAAATTATGGGTGTCAGGAATTTTTCCCTATCAATGGTGAAGATAATAATAGAGGAACTGGAGAAAAACAGAGCTGAAATAATCATTCTCAGGAAGATGGTCTTGCCTGTCAAAATCAGGCTATCCACTGAGGAAAAGCTTTTCCTCAACAGCCAAACTCAACAGCCAACAGCCATCCTGAAATGTTACTCCTTCTATCATCGGGTCTCACCATAGGTTTGCAAGTCAAAATCACTAGAGTTTCCTTAAAAATTAACACAGCCAGGGCCACTTGCAGATATTCTAGTTTCCTAATTTACTATGTTTTGGGACATACTATGTTTTCCCACATGAGTCTAATATGTCACAAGGGTCAAGATACAGCAATTATCACCACTTCAAATGCAATAGGTTAGGTGAATACAGCTCTCCTCTGACCAAAACTGTAGGCAGGCTCCTCCAAGTACTCTATCTGGTCCATCTCAGCATGGCATTCCCTTTCTATTCTTGTAGAATCTATTTTGAATGAGAACCCTGCCAATGTCAATCCCCATCTTTGCATCTGACTTGCCTTTAGCAATATTCCTATCAAGACAATTTAGCCCCTCATTCTTGATGTTTCCTCTTTAGTACTGCTCCATCCAATGACTTTCAACCTGCTCCTCAGTTATAAATGTCTACTCGTCTTCCCCTGAGTTATTAGAGTTGAATTCATTCTGTCTAATGCACTACAAGACGTTGGTACTGTGGTCCCTACACTATCATGGCCTCCACTGTATATCTCCATCTTACCAGCTTAGCAAGTGTTTGGATAATTTTTTTTTAAATTATGAATTGTTCCAGTAATCTCAAAATAAATAACAATGACAGTGTAGTACCATTTCTTGAGGGTTTTCTATAGTAGCAAGTAGCCTTCATTACAATCATAACAGGAAGGGATTGTTAGTACCAACCTGAGAGGTGAGAAATTGGAGTGCATATTCATTACATAGCTTCCAAACCCAGCTATGGAGCCCAGAAAGGCCTTGAACCTCTGGCTGTAACTGCATCCTCACTCCCTTGAGCAGTACACAGTCCCTCCTTCTGCTGAGTTCATTCTGAAAGAACAGTGTTACCCTAATATCTTCATGAGCTATCATTCATTTCACTGCCTGTCATTGACGATTCCACACCCTTTACTGATTGCTCCTCTTTCCTCCTTCAAATTCTGATTCTCTGAGCCTGAGAGCTCTGGAAAAAATGATTCAGAAATAGATCCCTTTCTCTGGTCCTTCATGTACCCTCACCTGCTTGTTTCTCTCATCTCCTCTGCCACTCTTTCCCTGCCCACAATGTTCTGGCAATTGTCCCTCCTGCTGCCACAGGGCATGCCAAGCTCACTCCCTCTTCAAGGCCATGCCATCTGCTATCTCCTCACAGATACTTGCTTGGCAATTCCTTCTCAGGTCTGCTGGAAGTCACCTCACTGGACTCAGCCAAAACAACAGTAGTCACCCCTGCCCTTCCTAACTCTCCTGCCCCTGGCTGACCTTAGTTTTTTTCATATGCATCACTATTTGCAAGTAAGCAACTCATTTGCCTTCTTGGTTATTATCTATATATTTAGATATTTCATATTAGAATGAAATCTCCATGAAGTCAAAGATTTTGTGTATTTAAATCACTGCATCTCTAGCACTAGAATAGCACCCGACATGTAAAACATTCAATACATAGTTATTAAATGAATGCATTCATATCATGTAAGCACAGAACAAATCTCTGTAATTGACTACCAATAACCAAATGGAAAAAGCATTATAATGCTTTGGATAGGTGTTTTCTAAAACCCGTGTATTTTAGTTCCCCGTCTACAGCATTTTTAGGAAGTAGTAAGACCTAGTGGGAGGAAACTGGACGTTAGGTCACTGGCAAATTCTCATTCTCTGTCTCTGTCTCTGTTTCTATTCCACCTGTGAGGTGCATGGTCCTTCTCTTCCACAAGTTACCTCTGGGGTGAACTGTGTAACCACAAGTCCAAAACAACACAGCCAAATGGATATGGACTAAAACAAAACTGTGAACCCAACTAACCATTTCCTGTTTCTTAACCTGTCTTTGGGCAATTCTGTTACAGTGACAGAAAGCTGACTAACACAGGCATTATCGTAAGAGAGCCCTAGCAGAGAACCAGGACATACTAGTAGTTAATAATGACCTCCAACTGGATTCCTAAACTACTAAAATTTTCTAGGTACCTCTGTCCACAAACTCAGAATTTGTATCCCAAACTGTGTTTCAACAGCAATGTTAACGCCCACAAGTCTCTAAGCCAGTCCCATTCAAATGATTTTTGAATGTGTCGCTTGGGCAACAAGACCATCTACAATTTTTCAAAAGACAGAAAGCCAAGCAATAGATAAACCAAACTATGGAGCTAAACTACTCAGAAGCAGCAGTTGTACAGGTGAATATTTTTTATAATATACAGCATGATGAACTACTTCATTAGCTCTCCAATGACCCAATTTTCACTGTATTTCAAACTCTGACAAAACAAAACAAAACAAAACACTCACTGGGAAGATGCATAACAGTGAAAAGGCTTGTGCTTAAGGCAAGACTAGTAGAAAAAGGTAGTTACAGGGGTAAATCTTTGACGTCAGAAAAGTCCATTTGACCAACAATCTACATTCCTTTTCCTACTGATAAGAAATATCCATTACAACAAAATTAGGTTAAAATGCAGAAGCATTCCTAAATATGTTAAAATATATATTACACCATCAGTTTGTAACCTTAGTGGCCCTCAAAAAAATGCTTGGCTACCTGACAATCTAGTGTAATTCTCACTCAGTTTGCTCACAAGCCTATCCAGATTTGATCCTCACTGAGAATCAACACTGTGCTGTGCATACGTCGAACTTCAGTGAGTCAATCTTCCTATTTGCACAACAGAGGCACTGTTCCTGGACCTAACTCTTCTGAGCTGGCCTGGGGGAAAAAGTCCAAAAAGTCAATCTAGGGATATCTGCTCAAAAAACGAAAAGAATGAGTACAAATATAAATAGTAACCAGCTCACAGTCTAACTTACATGGTGCATATTTACAAAATAGACTAGAAAAAAAATTCAATAATATAATAGAAAATTCTAAAACTCTTCTAACCAGGCTAGGGAGCGATTCAAATGTTAAATTTAAACCACAGGCAGATTATATACATTTTTTCACTGAAGAAAATATTCAGAAAGTTAATTCTTGGTCTAAGTCTAGAGTAGAGGAAGAAAAAACTTATTTCAGCCTTGCAGAGCACTAAAAATATTGTTGGACTTTGCAGGCAAAGATCATAACTTTCTCTACCTTAGTTTAAAAGAAATAATAATTATACAACACCTACCGAGGCATTTTTCAACATCTTCAAGAAAGATCTTGGCACATGAGTCATATGAGATAAAGTTACATTATTCCCCAGTCAAATGATGATAATACAAGTATGAGATGTGGGTAAGAAACTAAAAATAATATGGCACACCGTGCACAGCTTTAAAAAGGGTTTCCCATCTCAAGTTTGAAACTCACTCTTCCAACACTGCCCAACACACCTTCTGTCCCTACTCCTCCCGCACATCGGACAGGGGCTGTGTCCTTCCAAATGTCCTCTCTGACCACCTTCCTTCCTTTTCTTTCATGGAACACCCATGTTTACACGTGTGTAGCTGCTCTCATGGATTATTTATTCAGATCCGTTTCTTTGTGTGTTCCCAGAGGGTGGGTACCGTGTCCTGTGCTTACCACTAACCTGCTCACATACCCAGCACGGTGTTCAGCAAAACCCAACACGCTCTTCCTTGGTGGATGAGAAAATGAAAATTGGACATGGAACATGGACCACATAGTCTCAAAGCCAGAAAACAGCAAAAAGTGGTTAAGTCTTCAAATATGAAGAAAGAGGAGGGCAAAAAGGTTACTTGACATACTTTTGATTATGAACTAGTTAAGATACTAGGATTTCGATTCCATGGGAGTGTAACATAGGCCTGTGCTATTCCTAGCATGTTCTCTGCCTGTCAGTCGGTCTCACACACTTGAATCACGGTGGAAACATACCCACTAGGAAACATTAGATGGTCTTCTAAATGTGGGCAGTGGCTGCCCATGAGTGCACCTACCACAGCTCCTGGGCTCGGCAGCTCTCTCTCCTATGCACAGTTCAAGGAGGAAAATGACCACAGACATAGCAGTTGAGCTCGATATGGAAGGAGTAAGGCAGCCTTGTGCACCATTAGGAAGCACCCTAAATCCGTGCCTCCAAAATATCTGTAATACAGGACAAGCTTTGTGCAGCTCAGGTGGATGACATCTTTTTAAGTGCCATAAAAATAAAGTTATTAGAAAAATAAGGTGCCAATTGTAAAAAAAAGGCAATGTCAAAATTTCTAAAGTGCTCACTTTCAATTTCCATGTAGTTCCCAAACTATTCACAGACCAGCTCCCATCTGTGAACCACAACTGTGATGTGTGGTGTGGGTGTGTAGGGGTGTGTGTGTGTGTGTGTGTGTGTGTTTGTGTTTGCTTTGCTTTGCTTTGGTTGTACTGCAGCTGGGCCTTGAGGGTATCAGGTGAGCACTCTGCTACAGAGCTATATTTTTAGGCCTTTTTTACTTTTATTTTGAGACACGGCCTTGCTAAGTCACCAACTGCCTAGGCTGGGTTCAAACTTGCAGTCCTCCACCCTAGGCCTTCTGGAGCACCGGCATTACTGGCATGGCACACCCAGCTACCAAACGTTAAGGTCCCTGTAAGTTGTCCAGAAGGTGATCTTCTGGCCTCAGCCTCCCCACTAGCAGAGACTACAGGCATGTGCCATCATGCCTGGCTGTGAATCACACTTTGAGTAGCAAAAATATGAAAACCTTACATCCCCTAAAACCACTTTCCTTTCCCTGAGGAGAGACATTAGCTGAAGAATTACTGAAGCACACAGAAGATGGTCTAAAAGTCACAATTAACATAACAAACGCTCATACAGTGTTTTTCCAGGTTCGGAAACTTTTCCCATAACACTGGTACCCAGCCTCAGGAAGGTCACACCAGAGACCAAGGGCGAAACCCCAGGAGGAATGAAGGAACTTGCTCCCTGGGCACACAGAACACAAGGGACAGAGGGACAGGAGCAACCTGGGGGGCCACCGGCCGCGGGAGGCACTCACGCTCTCTGGAACTCTGGGATGCTGAAGATGGCCTGCATGACAGAGCTGAGGTAGCAGCTGTTGCCCAGGTTCTTCAGGCCCGTGTACCCGGGGCCGTACATGGGCTTCAGCTTTGTGCCCGACTCCTGGATCACTTCCCACTCACTGACCCTCGGCTTGATGTCGTTGTCCCGGAGCCCATTCTCTGTCTGGGGCAAAGTCATGAATGAAAAACAACTTTAAATGTGATTTCTACTCAAATATCATGTCTCATGAATCATTTCTAGTATCAGTGGGTGTTTCTAGTATCTGCTCGTCCCCAACTACATGGAGAAATATATGGTCTAATTAATAGATTCTGAGAGATGATGATAATTGCACATAAATGCTAATGTGCTTAATGTGACAGAATTATACACTTAAAATTGGGTAGGTGGCAGGTTTTATATGGAGCTTACCACATTAAAAAATGAAAAAAAAATTAATGAGAAAAGAGAGAAAGACTGAGAAGAAAGAAGATGAAAAGATGATAAAAACAGGAAGCAAAAAAAAAAAAAAGTGCCTGACTGCCAAACATGAGGTCGTGAATTCGATTCCCGGTACCCAAAAAAAAATAAAAAATAAAAATAAAAATAAATAAAAAACACAAAGGAGGAAACAAAGAACTAATTGGGCAAGGTGGCGCACACCTGTAATCTCAGCCCTCACAGGGCTGAGGCAAGAGAATCAATTCAAGTTTGAGGCCAGCCTGGGATATAAAGTGAGTTCAAGGCCAACCTGAACTGCACAATGGAACCCTGTCTCAAAAAGACAAAAAAAGAAAGAAAGGAAGGAAGGAAGGAAAAGGGAAAGGGAAAGAGAGAGAGAGAGAGAAAGAGAGAGAGAGAGAAAGAGAGAAAGAGAGACAGCGAGAGCGAGAGAGAGAGACAGAGAGAGAGAGAGAGAGAGAGATAGAGAGAGAGAGAGACCGGAGAAAGATGAAATACAACAAAAAGACAGAGTGTAAAACAAAACCCTAAGGACCACCTTCCAAAAGGAAAGTTTTAAAGAAACATAGAGAATAATAAATGAAAAGCTAGGCATAGATGAGAAAGAGGAGCCAGCAGAACCCAGGAGAGAGGCGTAGCCTGGGAGGAAAGTGCTAAAACAAAACATGCTCACTTAAGTCGCACCTCACCTCAGAGAGAACAGTGTTACACAGTCATGAAAGCCACCTGAAAACAATCCTAGAACCAGAGCTTTTCCACCAACAACAAGGTGCCGGCTATTCCTTTCCATCACCCCAGGAACTCTGCTTCTCTTCCCGGAATTAATTAACAATGATATTGAACACAGATCATTTTAAAGGTCATTTTGCTATACCTTCTCCCTCTAGTGAACAAAGAATGTTTCTCACAATGGACCATCAAAAGAGACAGAAATTTTGCGAGTAAATGTCAACACAACAAAGCTGTACCCACCGAGGCACCAATTTTGCTACAACATTAAAAAAAATCTGAGCTGATAACCAAGAGAAAATGCTAATTCATTAAATGAAGTACATGCAAAATTAAAACAAAGTCTAAGAAGTAAAGATCCATGTTAGAAGAATTATATATTAATAAACTACACTACCCTCACCCACATCCAAGCTTCTCCCCCACCCCAAGTGGGATTAGAGAAAAAAGACCTTCTCACCCCATGCATGTGAAGCATATCGATTCCAAAATGTGCCAAGTGCTTGGCCAAGTGAGGATCCAGGACAGGTTCCTCTTCTTGAAAAGAATAAACATCTAGAGAAAGAAACAACAGAAAAAGAAATAAGCACTGAATTTTATAAGCAAATCATTCACTATTTCAACTGTCGTTACTGAGTTCTAACTGTGCACCAAGTTTGGAATATAATCAATGAACAAAACAAAAAATTCCTAACATTCAACTTGGAAAAAGACAGGAAATAATAAACACAATAAAAATAGGTATATTTTGTAAACATACACACATATCCATTCTTTTGACATTTTAAAAAGTTATCTGAAACAAGGAGACCAAAAAAAAAAGAACCCAGTACTTGAAATTAAAATAATTGAGATGAACATATGTGCCTAAAACTTGATTTTTCTAACCAAAGCCACAGTGATGTAAGTCTAGGTCAGAAGAGGAAAGGTGAAGGAGGAGGATGTGATGCCAGCTGCTGGGGTGGGAGCTGGGGCGGGGTGGACACGGTGAACGCAGTGCCGTGAGGCTGACTGCACCAAAGGAACTCTGCCTGTGGAACCCTCCATTCTTAACCCTCCTCCCCATTCACACTCCTTTCCCACTCCCCTTCTTTTCTATTTCAGTGTCCATAACTCATCAGTAAGAGACTTACACAAGCTACAAGACAAGCTACAAGGTTACCTCATGACACACAGGAGCAGCAGAGGTGTCTGAAGCTGCAGGGCAGCTCAGGAGACGCCGGGCAGCCCAGGCCCTGCTCTGTGGCACACTGGTGTTGGCCAGCGCTGTCCCGGGGTGGGCAGCCTCGCAGCTTGGGATAACAATTTCCCACTAACACGATGCTTGACACTGAACCTGCTGCATGGGCCTGGGTCTGCAGCGGCACCTGGCCTTCTTGGAAATGCAGACTCCAGGGCCCCATCCCAGACCACCAAATCAAAGTCCATGCTTTACCAAGACCCCCAAAGGCATAGTGTAAGTTCAGACCCTTCACAGTTTTCAAAGCTAGGAGATTCCCTGCCTCATCTGTCCTCACACGCCAATGCCATGAGGAAGAGAAGACACTCATAAAGGCTAAATGATATCACCTCAAATCCCACCAGTGGCCAAGGACCCTACCTGACTCCCTCAATATCAGAACAGTCCTTACGCTGTCTGGGGATACCAGGGATGGCGTGCACCATGACCTAGCCTATGCGTAGGAATAGAGACTCCAAAATCCCAATTTCTTCACTCTAAATTTCAAAAACAAATCTACTACAAGAAAAATAGATATAAAGGTATCATTATTTAGCACCATAAAAGGCTGCCCACAGGGTTTCTTACTGGCAGAATATCACTAGAAAGGTGTATCATAACACAGGGATGCTATGGTGACCGTGTGCCCTTCACCAGATATACAGAGATTCACTATCCCCAAAAGAAGTCAGTTCTTTCTGCTTTTTTTTTTTAATAGAGTAAACATTGTATAGCTTCCTTTTCTACTTCTTCCCCTAGGTGCCCATTTTAACTTGTGAATAATAGCCTTCGCCTATATTTGTTTTACTATAATTCAGCATTCTCAAAAGACAAATTCCTAAGTCCAATTAAGAAAAATATTTCCAAAAAATTTAAATAAAAAAAACACCTCTCTGAACTAGCCATTTAAAGCACATACACATTCAAGGCCAGCCCAGGCTACAAAATAAATTCAAGGCCAGCCTAAACTACATAGTGAAACCCTGCCTCAAAAAGAAAAAAAGAAAGAAAGAGAAAAAGAAAAATGCATACATCAACAATATTTTAATCCATGAAAATGAACAGAAAAATATCACTCAAATTCCAGCTGTAAGCTGCAAATATGCTCTCTAAGCACTTTGAATTTGGTTATTATCAACTAGTGAGAGTTTCAAAGACTTAAGACTAAGCTGCTAATTATCAAAGATTTATTAGAAAATAATAAAATTGCTAGAACTACACCATTGGTATTGGCAAAGGATTCTGAAATAAGTGAAAACTCAAACAACCTTACATGTTTCTTAACCCACGAGGATCCTGTGACACTGAAAAAATAACATTTCCTATCTTGAGTTGTTAAATGTCCAAAGACACCACTGATTTGGTGAGATACTCTAGCTATTTCTCACCTCAATGAAAAAAAAAGAAACAGTTCAGAGGATAACATACAAGAACCTAAAAATAAACTGTGATCCTTAGTCTTGGACACCATGAAGAATTTATAAATGATATGTAGTCACAGAAAAAACTGTAATAGCTGAAAATACTGCCTTGTATTGTTTTCCACTGGGAAATCTGTCTTAATTCCAACTTCGGTTTTGCAGAGTTAGGCCTTAGTTCAGAAACTATCATAGCAACAAGCATTGCTTGACAAGTGTTGCCCTCCACGCTCTCCAAAACTTGGAGCCAAGAATGACAGCTATGACGTCCATGGGGGGCTCTTCCCAGGAACAGCCCAAGTACCATTCTATGAGTAAGTACGCTCATTTTAGAAACAAACCCTGTCACTATTTCAATTCAAGTTAAGTAACAAGCTAAACCACAGAGAGCATGTGCCAGCACTCCCAGCAGGAAAGATAAAGGGAAATTTTTAAAACAGGAATGCCCTACTCATGTGGTCAGCATGTTAGAGAAGAGTATGTGTGGTTAAGCTCAAAAACCAATGAAGGGAAAGTTAGGAGCAGAGGTGGAAACTGAAACTGGGATTGGAAACAACACCAGACTGCATGAAATAGAACCAAGTGGTAATAATCTATTACCTCTGAATGGGAAGATTCCTTTTTTTTATTTTTTCTTTTCTATTTCTCCCAAACTTATGATAATACTAATTGAAAAAAAAATGTTTTACAAGTAATTTCCAAAGATTACAATGATTCTCTTGGATGTTATGCTATTAAGATAAATGTGCCACTGGTCAAACTTGCTCAAGCCACATAGATTAATCACTCATTCATTCATTCGTTCAGTCATTTATTTATTCAGAACGCAAAATACGCATGGTTACTGAGGATCTAATGTTACATAAAAAGAGCAGAGTCCCTTCCTTTGTAAACTGAAACATTACTACTCAAATAGTCTTAGAAGGAATGCTGCTTTAATGTGAAGGACCTCAACCAAGGTATCCTTCACTAAGGCTCAGCCATGTGACTCACAGCTCTTTTCCTAAGCCCCAGAAAATAGTAGAGGTAAAGATGTATCTCACCAAGCTTGTGTTTATAAAGAGCTCAAGTATAGAGAAGACCAGAGCCCTTGATCAAACACCCAGTAGAAACTCAAAGGACAGAGGCTGAGGGAAAGTTCTCTTCAGAGTAAGTGTTGACCTGTCCACCCAAACCGTATCTCTCCATCATGAGTTTATATTTGTGTACCCACAGGCCATCTGCCGCCAGCAGGAAAAGAAGAGAAAGGAGACATTCCTCCAGCAAGTACGCTAGAAAAATAATGCCAAAATGAACAGGAATAGAGGTAAATCAAAGGAGCAGGTTACACTGGCACGCCTTCCTCTACTTGTTTATTCCACAAACATTTACCAAACATCTTCTCTGTTTGAGAAGCTATGCTACATGCTAGAGATATGACACCAAACAACAAACATGGCACGCAGGGTCTAATGTCCCACACGACCACCACTAAGGAGACAACTGCAGGATCCAGTGAAAAGTGCCATGATAAACCAGCACCAGGAGAGGCGCGAGCCAGGTCAAAACTACATTGAAGTAGTCAATGTCTTGATTCCAAACCCTCAGGCTGTGAGATGCTCAAGGGAGCTTATGCCCAGGTCAAGGGGTACTATGACCAAAGTAGAAAAACCAGCTGGAGATGTTGGAAAGTTGTTACAGACAGCTGACTTGGGCATCTGTGCACAACTCTCCTACCATCACGCATGGCAGGGAAGCACCTTCTCGAATAAATAAGGAGTTTCCAGGAGGGAATAAAATATATCCTGTCCTGCTTCCATCTCCCTTTATTTCCTGTCCATAGAGGACCTTCTCCTTGTTAGGCCAAAACAATGTCTTCTTCCACCCGCACTACAAAGCTTTTGTTTGTCTGTGTGGTGAGCTATTTCCTGTTTTGTTTGTTGTTGTACCCATGGGGACCAGAGTGGAACTGGATATGTGGCCCATTTTTATGATGTGTGCTGCCACCCTGGCCGGGGAATCGGGGCTTCCTGGACCAACTAAAATCTCCATGAAGACCTCATGGGGAGCCCTCAAGAAGTTTCTCACTACTCAGATACAGCCTCCTTTGGGGATAGGAAACCAGGATGAGCAGATTGCTTGCCATTAAATATCTGAATCTACAACCTTCTTGGATTCCATACTCACTAAGCAATCTTCTAAATATAATTCAGCTTCCCACAGGGAAGGAATGTACCGGTTGAGCTGACATAAACATCCCACTTACTGGCAGTTGTGGTTCTCATTATGACCTAAAAAACAAATGCTATGACTTTGAGATTTTGCCTCTGGTGAGTTGCATTAGTCTGAGGGGCCACTGAGTGTGGAAGACCAAGCCCTGGGCAGAGGTCTGTCACCAGGGTGTGACCCCCGCCTCCACCAGACAGAGGGATCCAAGAGCTTCCAAGTTCACAGGTTTATCGATAGAGACTTAAGATTTACACATGCTTTTAATAACTTGTTTGGCTTTTAAATAAGCAGTTAAGGTATAGCAAACAATCCATTAAATGAATTTAAAGGAAATAAAATAAAATTATGCAAACTATGAACTTACATGAAATGATAATCAGACTGAAGTGATTTACCAACACTACACAACACACATAGAAATCAAACTTTATCTTTTTTCAAATTACCATTATTTCAGAGAGATGAACTGAAGAACCCCCATCACAGGATGTATGATTACATTGCTGTTATGCAGTGTCTTCTATGGATGAAGGAGTGTACACTCAAAGATTGTCAATTACGTAAGATAAACTTAACGTTTTCATTTAAAAACTTATTAGAATAAAAGGCATATTGTCAGTAACCCTCAAAATACTGCCATTTGCTTCAAACACGTTTATCCCATCATCCTTGCCATTTTCGAAGGAGTTCTGGAAAGTTCTCTTAATGCCAGTGTCTTTAATTGTGTTGTTGTGGCTCTCATGCTATACTGGATTGATTCAAAACATTTACCTCCCATAGTAGTTTCAACTTAGGGAAAAAGAACAAGATCACAAGGCACCAGGTACAGAGAGCAAGGTGGATGAGGACACCCTGTAACGTTTTTATTTGACACAAACTGCAGTCAATGGTTAATCTATGAGAGATGGTCAAATGATATGCTAAATATTTAAGTAAAAAAAATCTGTTACAGTAAAAGACAAATTGTCATTAATTCCTCTCGAAATACTCCTCCTCACTTCAAAACCTCATCCCACCATTCGTGGCAATGTCTTTTACTGTAAAGATAAAACAAACTTTAAAAACTCTCCCTCCTAAACTATCACCACGCAAATACATAAACATGCACGCACACAGACATAAGCACGCACACACATACAGATACACACTTCACAACTACGGCAGATAATAGGTTAATATTTTTAATAATTAAAGAGTTCTTAAAAACATCTACACATATACACCTACTCAAGTATCACCCCACAAAAGGGCCTTCGGTCATGAGTGGCACATGTAGGGCCACTTGTTTGCTCTGCGTGCAGAATCAACATCAAATATCACCCAACAAATTTACAAAAAAGAACTATAAATAGCCAAGAATATAATAAAAACTGTTTGGATCACTAGAGAAGCAAAATGAAACAAACTATAACATTAGCAAAGGTGGGGCTGGGATATAGCTCAGCGGCACAGCACCTGCCTGGCAAATGTGAGGTCCTCGGCTTCTTACAAAAAAAAAATCAAGAAAGTGTCAAATTTGAGTAACAAGTTTCTCAGCCTTCTTTCAGATCAGCAAAGATCTTTTTAAAAGCATTAATACCTAAAGTGGTCAAAGATTTGCTGAAATGGGTACACTCATATGCTGCTGGTGAGAATGTAAAATAACAACTGTTTAGAAGACAAACATGGCAATTAAAAATTTTAAAGATTCAACCCATTTTACTAGAAATCTACCCTAAAAAAATAATTAGAAGTCAGGTGTGGTGATGTAAACCTGCAGTCTCAGCACTCTGGAGGCTGAGGCAGGAGGACTGCCATGAGTTCAAGGTCAGCCTGGGCTACATAAGCAAGTTCAAAGCAGCCTGTACTAAAAAGAAAAAAGAAATAATTAGACACATATCCAAAGATTTGCATAAATACAAAGTGTTCATCAGAATAGCAAAACGAAACTGTGACAACTCCAAAAGGAGGAGTATATAGAGCCATAATGAAATATTGAAGAATATTTAATAACATGGAAAATATGACGGGAAATAGAGAAAAATAATAAATTTAGGGCCAGGTATTTAATTCAGTGACATAGTGCCTGCCTTCCAAGCGTGAGGTCATGAGTTCCATCCCTGCTACCCCCCCAAAAAAGAATAAATTTATAAAGTAAACCAATTTTTGTGAAAATGTGGGGGTGGGGTAAGAATTAAGTCCTTAGAAACAGAAGAAAAAAACAAAATTGATAGCAATCTGGAGATTGCCAGTGCCTTTTATTTATTTGTATAAACATCCTTCTCCGTTTTTTTGCATATGTGACCCTGAACACAAGCTTCTCATAAAATCAAAAGAAAAACATAAAATGTTCCTTCCCCAAAGTTGAAGAAAGGAAGCTTTAGATTTACCTAACAGGAAGTTTGAAAAGAAGCTTTAAAAAAGCTCTGGAAAATTAAAAATGCACAGACAACAGAATGAACCTTTGCTTTCATTATAGTTGCATTTAAACCACATCTAATTCTTTAAATGCTTATATGTTGATTGGTTTGTTTAAATAAAAATATTTGGTACAAAAGATTTTTGCACAGAATCCAAAAATTAGAAAGACCTCTCCTAATTTCAAACAACTGAAAATGTCAAAGAACTGGGCCATAGGCACCAGTGGTTACACTCTTGGCCCAGTTGTTCAGAGAATTTGATTATAAACCACAGCCAATACATTCACTACACAGGACAGCCCAGAAAGCAGGCAAATCTGGACTACCACATTCTCCTCTTGCACTTTTACCTAAACCTTTCTCTCTGTAACCCCACAGGAGAAAGAGGTTTATACAACAGTCATCCGATGCCCACTACTGAAGAATAAGGATCTACAGCATGTGCTACAAACCTCAGAATTTCCTTTCTGAGCCCTGCAAGATTTGAGATGAAACCTGATTTACTTAGGAAGAAAATATTTGATAATCAGCACCTGGGACCCTTACAATAAATCACTTTTCTCTAATGAATAAAAATAATTCCACAAAATTGGGAAGCAGGAAAATTCTCCAAATGTGCAAAAAAAGAAAAAAAATTCCCTGACAGAACTGAACTTCCAGGTTTCAATTACAGAATGAGTGAGAAACTAAAGCAGCTCCTGGAAAAGCAATGGTTGGTGAGAACTGTTCCACATCTGAGTGAAGGGCATGGCCAAGGCCACGTACAAGCAAGCCAATTCAGACACAAAGATAACCGAAAAGGAGGGAAAAGATGGCAAACACGTCTGCTTCTCCTAGAAGCACGTCTCACTTTAAAGCGAGGAAAAAACAGCCTACATAAAGCTGGGAAGATGGCAAAGAGTGGGCTGGGCATTGGCCAGATGATCTTGATTTAATAAATGTTGTCAAGGATGATTAGGTGATGGGATCTAATAGCCACTGCTTAATATTTAAGTTTCTCATACTTGACCTGTTATTTTTATTTTTCATCACGAAATGGCAGAGGGAATTAACTGTATAAACATGGCCAAACGCTCATGCTTTAGAACACAGACTGTATAAGAGCAAAAGAAACAGAACAGATTCTGAAGCTAACAGCCCAAGTAAGAAATCAGTCTCATTCTGCAAACCACGTGAATACTATCACTGCCAGGCTGTTTGGGGCCTGAGATGAATGGGAGGGCTTCTGCCTCCTGTGGTGGATTCAATTATGCACAGTGATTTCAAAAATTCTATTGCCTATTTCTTCCCTCTTAGCCAAGAGTGAAACACAAGGATAATAACAGCAGCAGCTAGCTAGCTTTTATAAAGCTTTGCTGTGTGCACCGCCTAAATGCTTTCTGCTCATATCTATGAAGACAGGACCACTGCTATCCTCAAACTAAAACTACAGTCTTGGAGACCTACAAAACTTGTCCAAAACCTCACAGCTAATCAAAGGCAAAAGTAGGATTCAAACTGGAGCTGGGTTCAGAGCCTATATACCCTCTATCCGTAAGGTCTGAGGTTAAATTTAAAAAGCCACTGCAAAGTCCCAAACTGAGTAATGGCACACTCACCTGCCCCATCAGGAGTGATGGTTCCCAACTTCACGGCCAAAGGATAGCCCATGTCTCTGTAATGCTCCAGCGCATGTCCGTTGCCCCCAGCACTGTCAAAGAACCACTTCCCACACAGGATGGAGCCATCAGTCAAATTCAACCAGAGGTTCTCCCGCAGGTCACACCTGGCACACTTCCAACCACTGGAAAGGCATTGGACAGCAGTCAGAACACCTCAAATAATTCACAGCTGAGAAAAGAGAGTGCCTCAAATTGGTCAGTCGTAGGAAATACTCAGTGGAATAACAGAGCCTACATTTTCCCTCAAGACAGTACTTGGGGGACCGGGGTATAGCCCAGTGAGTGATAGAATGTACGCTTAGAATGCACAAGACTTTGGGTTTGATTCCAGCACCTGCACAGAAATATTCATTATCATGACCCCTTCCAGAGCAACTGGACCACCCAGCACCTTTCCGGTGGTCCCTCACCCAGCTGTGGACTGGCTCCCCCAAGCATCTCCATGAGGATAACAGGGGAGCTCATTTCCTCAAGTCACAAACGATGGACAGTGAAGCTTGAACAAGTTTAAAATATGAAAGATCCAGCTGGGCATGGTGATGCATCCCAGCACTCAGGAGGCTGAGGCAGGAGGATTGTTGCAAGTTCGAGACCAGCCTGCGCTACAAAGTAAGCCCAAGGCCACCCTGTACAATAAGACCCTGTCTCAAACAGCCAAAAACATAAATTATGAAAGATCCTATGTATATAAATACCTAAGAAAATATGCAACTGATAATTCAGAGTAAAGGTAAGAAAGCGAAGCTATTTGCTCTCACCTTGGAGGAATCCTGACTCCATTGTCCAGCTGGGTGAGGTTACTGGCATATTTAGATACTGGCAATTCGTTTTCCCATGTGTCTGGGTCCTGCTTCCTGTATGGAGATTTTGAGCTGAGAACTGCATCACAAGCAATGGTTACCTATAAGACAAACCAAGATGGGACGTATTAAAACAGTTTGAGAGGCTGGCGAGTTGTAAAAGATGAATTTAAAAGCCTGTTAATAAATATAGCTTAAATGAAGAAAATTCAAATATCACAGTTAGCATAAGCGTGATACTCTGGTTTCCTGCACAGTCCCTTAGATCTAGCTAGTTTTCTCCCTGTCCTGGAGTGTGAAGTATTGACAATGGCACCTAATAGCCTGGAACCAAAATCAGTTTGTGGGCTCAAGCTTAGGCACAAGACCGAATCATTCCTACCACTTAGCAAGCAAGGTGCGAAGTATGAGGTGAACAATTAACTAGGGTAAAATTAGGTTTAGGAATGTCCAGGATTTACTCCAGTGGTGTATTTTTCTCCTAACAAATGTGCACCCAGATATCTAAGATCCTCAACTCATCACACAATGGCACATGGTCAAGGGCACTTAAATGGAATGTAGGTGGCATGGCTCCGTTTCCTAATCTGCTGCAAATGTGACCTTGGATGGGGACATAGCTAGGTGTCTCCGTGCCAGATCAGTCCTCATAATGAGCAAATATGTGATGTCCTGCTTAGCACCAACTGACCAGGAAAGGGGGAAGACAGATTCCCTGTCTTCTTCTAAACCTAATGGATCCTGGCCATATGCTACTAACAAATGTGCCCCTTGCTGAAAGCTATCAGCTGTTTCTAGCTGTTTTTAGTAGCACATTCTCATGGAAAGGTAAAATGTACAGCTACTTGGGAAAACAGTTTGGCAGTTCCCTAAATGATTAAAAAGAATTACCATAAAACCCAGCAGCTTTACAAGTGGGGATACACCCAAGAGATATGAAAATATGTGGCCACAAAAACTTGTAAACAAATATTCCCAGTAGTATTTTACAAGAAAATGGAAATAACACAAATGCCTACCAGTGATAACTAGAATGTCTAATAAAATATAGTACGTTTATACAATGAAACATGATTCAGCAATAAGAGAGAATGAAATACTGATATGTGCCAACTGGGTAAATCTTGAAAATGTAGGCTAAGTGGAAAACAAAAAGCCAATCACAAAGAAACATATTTTATGTTTCCATTTATATGAAATGTCTAAAACAAATAAATCTACAGACAGAGATTCGATTAGTATTACCAGGCTAATGGCAAGGAGAAAGGGTTCACAGAATGATGGCTTAGGTATATGGGGTCATTTGCTGGGATAATAAAAATATTCTAAAATTAGATAGTGGTGATGGATGCCCAACTCTGAATATAATAAAACCCACTGAATTGTTTTAAAAAATGCTTAAGACAAAAAATTTTATTTTTTATCACTCACAATCTCCACAATTAACTGACCATTTTTCCCTGAAAATTAACCCTAACCCAAGTAACACACAATGGGAAAAGCTGCAGTGTATCAATCCCACCCATCTCCCACCACGCCCAGGGGCAATTTTAACAAATCCTCCATCAAAAACAGATTTGGAACCTGCCTCTTCTCTTTTTCAGCCATAATCCCGCCACCATCCCACAACCAGGTGACACACAACAGCCTTAATCTCCTACTCTTGGCTTCCTTCTCTGCCCAACAGTCAGAATAATTTGCTGTAAAAATGAAGTTGTATCCTTCTGCATCATAGACTCTCCATTACACTTAATGCTGACAATTGATGAGACTTGACCAGACACAATGGGGAATAGGAAAGAGGTCCATGCCCTTAGAAGTTTAGAACCCATTACACAGCATCTCTCACAAGGAGTAAGTGTATAGCTAGCCTTTCCTTTCAATTATCAAAATTCATCTCCCACCAGCTTTCAGAGATGCTTGTAAAACAGAACTGACTGCTCCACAAGTCCCTTCCACGTTTTATGGGTTTGGGCCATGCCATGGTGGCACTTCGCACACAACATTGTAATCCAGCCAATTACAACCTCTTTGTTAGTTTCACCAACTACTAGGAACACTTCTCTGCCCTCCTCTGGATTTTCTCCAACCCCTTTAGATCAGTTTTAGATGTTCTTGGGTACAGTGCACAATGACTCTAAATGAGATTTAGATGCAATCTTCTGTCTTTTCTTTGAATTTCCTTCCTGGTGACATCCAACAAAATTTCCCCACACTTTTGGACCTCTACAAAACATTGAATATCATTGAGACTCACTTAAAGGCCTTTCTCATGGGCCCCAGCTTAAGGTCAGGATCAACCTCCGATAATTATGCTGGGCTTTATTCTCTCTTGCATTTGTCATCTGGAATGATCTAAGGAAAGCTTAGTTCCATGCAAAGGAACTATAGGCCTCAAGTTTAGTGATGCTCTGGTGTTGGATCAAATCAGCTTACAAGAGTTGAATGTGAAATTGTAATAAATTTTGCACTTTGGGGTGTGGCATGGTTGCCTACGGATGCTCACAGTAGCCAAAGATTAAGAACACCTGAAGTGTCTGTCAACATATGAATGAACAGAGAAAATGTAACATAGGTATGATGGAATACTATTCTGCCATAAAAAAGAACTAAACCCTGTCATTTTCAGACAGGATGGTGGTGGAGACCATTATGTTAAATGAAATCAGTCAAGCGTAGAAAGACAAGTACAGTACAGCATGAGCTCACTCAGGTAAAAATGTTGAACTCCTAGAAGCTGAAAGTCGAATGGTCCTTTCCAGAGACTAGGGACAATATGGGAGTAGGAGGGAGGGGAGAAAAGTTATTTACTCTTTTCACATAAAAATTCTGTCAAGCCAGGGCCAGGGATTTAGCTCAGCAGCATAAGTGTCTGCCTGGCAAGCACAAAGTGAGTTCAATCCCGATACCAAAAAAAAAAAAAAAATCCATCAAGCCTGAATGAGAGAAAAATAACTTCTCATGATATTTACACATAATATGTTTCTTCTTATCTGACAGTAAAAATCAGAGTTATGTCAAACAAAGACAGTAAAGACTCTAAGGCAGAGGCATAAGCTTCAGTATGTAATTTCTGGAAACAAGATGAGGCAAGACCATTTTGTTCACTGATATATTTTATCCTTGGTAACAGCCACATGAGTCAACACAGGGAATCTGAGAAAGCAAAGGTAATTTAATTCTGCATGCTTTACTGAACCCTGAGCACTGAGTATGGGAAAGGATTGCCACTTTTACTAAGTGAAGGTCAACAATAGACAAATACATAAAAGTTCCCATTTCTGTGCTTTAATACGTAGATATAAAGTACAAGAGAAGAAAAGAACTTAAATGGTAGAAAGCTTGTTCCTAGTAACATGGAAACCTTAGGCACAAATGTCCCATCTTGGCAGCAGCAAGTCAGCAGATGGCTATGGAAAGTCATATAACGTCCAGAAGACCTGGGGACCTCAGACCTGGCTTTGGGACTGGCAGAGTCTGAGGAAAGGAAAAATGAACTGGCACCTCTAACCTCAGCCCACCTGACCCCATTTCCCTGTGACCAGGCTCCAGGAAGTCGAGACAGACACAGAGTAGAAAAGAAGAGAAGGAAGAGGGGACAGCAAAGAAGATGAAATGTTCAAAGTGATTCAAGAAATGAGGAAAGAGCAGGAAATACACTGAGGAGCCTCGTGGGAATTCTGGTCCCACTTAGAGGATTTGAGCATCCGAGAAAAACAACCCTCCCTCCCTTGTCATCACCACCCTGAGCTCCAAGTAGTTCAGCAAAAGTAAGATTGCTCCATAAAACTTGGATTGGAAAGAAAGAAAAGAAAAGGGAAGGGAAGGGAAAGGAGAGGAAAGCTCACTCCTAAAAACACAGAGTTCTCACAGGGAACAAAACTGAAAAGAATGGGTTTACATTTCCCACAGCTCCCACAGACCTGTGATCTGTAGAGTCTTTTTATAACCATGTTGCTGTTGTTTTAGCAATAGAACATTTTTAGTTTTTCCAAACAAAATCTTAACGTGGAAGGACAATATGAGAAAACTGATAAAAATATTGTCATTCCTCTGATCGGAAGTCTGTCTCTCTCCAGCAGTTCCTCCATATGTTGGCTTCATGCTCTGAAAATCTAAGCCACAAACTGTAACACGGGGATGAGAGACCAGCCTACTCTGGAAGAGAAGAGCCTCAGGGGCAATGACCTTCAAACACCAGAAGGAGTGGGCGGCGAGGTGGGTATGTGGCCTACGTGCTGAAATGTAACCCTCGGAGGCCCCTGTCACAGAAGAGAAGCAGTGTGCTTGTATTCACACTCATTCTTACCCTCTTCTCTCATTCACCCACCTCCCCTCCCCATGCACACACATCACACACACACACACCTGACACAGAGTCACGTGCATCTAGCTAGCAGCCGTGCACACTCACTGACCAGGGCTGGTAACTCCTCAATATTTGGTAGCGCTATTTCATAGTGGTCTGGGAATATAACAAGTTTGGCTTCGTCTTCATATTCATAATCGTCGCTATTTAAATCATCATCAGTATCTAGATCTGAGGAGAAAACAAAAACAAAGGATAAGAAGTGAGGAAAAAAAATCCCACGCCAAAGCAGCACTCATGGGAAAAGCCAGAAACCCACAAAGATGAGACCAAGGGTGTGACATTTACAATTCCCAACTGACATGACGGCCCATCTGCCCCAAACAGGAATAACAGTCTCTGCCATCTTTCCTACGTCATGAATATTTATTTATCTGCCACAGATGTATGAAGACTGAGTCATATCATACAGCCCTAGAGTTCGAACAGGCAAATATGGAAGACCCTGAATTCTTAAAGATTTTGGCTCCTGATTTCAAAAGAACTGGGAAAAGGTACACGAATTTCAGAGTACATAAGTCAGGTTGAATGCTGGCTCCAGAATTTAATGTTACTTTGGACAAATCACAAACTCTCTAAGACCTATAATTTCCTCACTGGCAACATACAGATAATAATAATTATCTCACATAGTTTGTATGGAAGATAAATGAGAAATTACACACAAGACAAGGTACATAATAGTTAATAAATTATAAATTACTATTTTAAAATGAAATTTCCCTGCCTTCTTTCTGCCTCTTGCCTATCTCTGTCTCTCCTTGTCTGCCCGTCATTGAGAGCTTGCACAATAAACCAGATAAACCACAATAAGCCCTGTCAGGGGAGCAGTCTTGCGACCCTCCGGCTGTGGAGAATTCTCAGTAAGATGAGCTTCTCTAGCCTGCTGTCTATCAAGTCACCATTTCTTTGCTGGGTTAATCTCTGGTAAAGGTTACACGAAGGCTTAAGGAAGCCTCTTGTCACAACATTTACATGGACATTTCAGCCTCATGATCACAGCGATGCCAGCATCACAGATTGTGTTTGTATATTTATGTGTCTGGAACTATGGTGACCAATGACAGCAGTTGAGCTATGTTCCAATCACATGCAAAAACCACACACAAGTAGATACATGAACACATGTGAAACACAGCGTCCGTAGACAGGAAAGAAAGTTATTTTACTATAATCTGAAGCAGTCATGTGAGAACCAAAAGATCTGGCTTCTATCACCCAGTATGCCTTAACGAAAACCAAGCTTTTTTGTTTTTTGTTTCGGTACCAGGGATTGAACTCACGAAGTCGTGCTTGCCAGGCAAGGGCTTATGCCACTGAGCTAAATCACTGGCCCAAAAAACAAGCATTTTTTTTTTGTGTACGGCTCTGTTCTTGAATTGTCAAAGGGATGACTGGTTGAAGTAAAAGACAGTACATAGCACAAACACAGACCAAACATTTTAATAAAGGATTCTAAATAATAAGCCTGGCAAGTGCAAGGCCCTGAGTTTGATTCCTGGTACCAAAAAGAAAACAATAACAAATTGGTTTTCTCCATTCTTAAATTTTCATTATTGTTACAATACTGTAAACATAACAATTTCAAGTAACTAAAGTACAAATCTTTCACTTCTGCATACAGCTTCAGCTCATAAAATAATACTTTGCCTTTCCCACAGAAAATACTCATTTAATGCTAATTCAGTGAATTCAGACTGACCTAACAAGGTTAAAAAAAAAAAAAAAACTCTGCTTTAACATTTACTAGCTATATAACTTGGGTAAGTTCTTCCCAAGTTCAGTTCCCTCATGAACTAGTATTAATATTGACAATATTACTTGGGCACAAGAGTGGTACGGGGAATAAATAAGATGAGGTTTTGAGGCACCTGGAAAATAAGCTGGTACGTACTAGGTTCTTCATACATAACAGCAACATCACTTTCCGCTCCTCACCATCTCTACATTCCTAGCAACTAACATAATCAAAGGTGCCTCCCATTTCTCTGGATGCCCCGTCTCCAAGCCATCCTGAAACATCTTTCAGGAAGACTATAGAATCATGCGGGCATGCCTCATGGGATCTGAGCATAAAAGAAGATAAGCCTTTCAAATGCTTCTAGACTTCAAGAAGGGGCAACTGGTCTCATTCACTTCTCATGTCCCTAGTTCCTGCAGGACACTCACCACATGCCTCCCAACTCCAAAGGAGATGTGTATTCTATTTTCCCTGGGCAACTGATAGATGCTTTCAAAGAAGACTGTTATCACGCAAAAAAGGAGAACATTTCCAGATTTCTTTAAATTTAACGAACCTAAAAACCTCTAGCTGAGGGACATACACAGGGTTAGCTATACCACAGGACATGGAGGCCCCTAGCTCTCCTGCAAGGCTTCCCACTGTGGCTATGCACTGGCCCCACCCAAAGAAGCACCTTCTCTGAGTTAGAAACACAAAAAGTCTCCTCCCCAACTCTACTTCAGAAACCCTCCCAGATCCGAGGGGGAAAAGAGCTGAGATGAGACCCATTTCCCCAAGAAGCTCTGGCTCCCCAGGAGGAAAGGGGGCCCTAAAGGACGCCCGGGCTCTGGTTCCCAGCTCAGGGTTCCCCCAGCCTTGTCAGAGCCGCATGCTCTGTCCGTGTCCCAGGGCTGCAAAATCCAACCAACTGTTCACCTTCGTGGCAAGGGACCGGGAAAGTCCTGGGGGGCAGAATGCATTCTCTGACCCATTTCAGGAGGAAATGGAAAATGGAGCTTATAAATCTCTGATCATCTGAGGTGCAGACAGGTTTTCTGAACAGGCCACTGCCAGGGTTTTTCAAAATTTTCTGTCTTCAACCTGTGTCTCATCAAGTCTTGGCTAACCCCAAGAAGTAGAACTGAAGCTTTCTAAGGTTCCACGGCAGCTCTTGACACTGTACTCTCCAGGCACAAAGAAGCTTAATTCACTCACTCCAGTTTGTGACAACTGGGAGAGGAGACTTGATTTTAAAAGGTGAATATTTAAGAGTAATTCTGGTCTGATCATATTTTTAAGTTTTTATTTATTTATCTTTATTAGCCCATGTTTGAAATTATACTTATCATGGGGAGTTTGTATGTGTACATAGCACATTTTAATTCTTTAATATGCCTTTCCCTTCCGACCCCTCCCTTTCCCTCTGACTCCCATTCTCCTTCCTGATTTTATTTTTCACAATAAAGATAAAAATATACATAAGTGTAATAACTGCATTTAATTTAAAACACACCATATTTGGTATATTATTAAGGCAAAACTGTTAAATGGTCACACGAAAGGTAACTGAGGATCCTAAAACCTTTAACTTCTCCTTCTCTCCATTCTCATAAAACACTAAGTTTTACATTTGCTTTTTTCTCTAGTTCACAGTCTCGTAGTGTTGCAAGTTAACTTTCTGAAGTGTAATAGTGTCTCTGTCCATCCTAGAAACATTGAGAAAGACTCACCCGAGGCTCCAGATTCATAGCCCCACTAAGAATTCCCACAGCTTTTTCTCCCAGAGCCAAAAGAAATGTCCAAACACTCTGTTTATTTAGTGTTTAGGCCCAAATAACCGGGTATTTGTGTTTTAACAGCTTGGTAACCACTTGAAAAATTAACACATATGCATTAATGTCATTTTATAACTACAGTTTACAGGACATACTGTACAAATTTTCTCAATCAAACTAAATAATGCCACTTTTATTTCTTCCTTCACACTGATTTCTACATGGTTCTTGTCTTTTACCATGGAAACCAAAAATTAAAAAGAAGAAGAAGAAGCTTTACAAAGAGATGCCATCATTTGAAGGAATATAGGAAAACCTCATAGTAAAACTACACCAAGTTTGGTTCACACAGTGTTTGACCATCACTCTGCCCTTGAAGATTTGAAATATCTCTCAGTGTTCCTGTGAGTTCACTGCAGTACTCGAGGTGGCTCAGAACACATTTTGAGAGCCAAACTCCCCACTGTCCTTATGAAGTCAACAGTGAAGGCTGAATCAGTGTTTTCCACGTCACTATTAAACCACTGGAAAGGAGTTATTCACAAAAACATCAGGTGACTGAAAGGGAAAAAAAGAATCCAACATCAAGCAATGGCCATCTATTCTGAAAGATGTTTTATGGAAGGGTAGGGGAAGAAAGGGAATCGTAACAACCATACTTCAGGACTAGTGAAATAGTACTTTCTAATCAAAGAAACACAGAGAAGCTGCCAGAGCATTCTGAGTTCTCCACTCTCTGTGAAGAGACAGCTCCATCCCTTTAAGAAAAGGAGATGTCAACTGCAGAGGCTACTCACAGCTTCCCAAATGGTCCTTTTCCTCTTCTGTCAGGAACTTCCAACTTTATTCATTGTTAACAGAGACTATTCTTCAGCCACTGGTCACTGTGGCCATATGTCCAAGTTCTGACCAGAAATGGGAAAACTGCACAAAGATCTATGAGAAGTTGACAAAGGAAGGTACCTTACTGGGGAATGGGTGTGTGTGTGTGTGTGTGTGTGTGTGTGTGTGTGTGTGTGTGTGAGATTCCCCTTTCCTCTTTAGTGCTTTCCAGAGGGGATGTGATGGCTGGAGCCCCATCAGTCATTTTGGACCAAAAAATGACCATGAGTTTGGAAGTCACAGGCCAGCATGGGGAATAAAGCAGATATGGGAAGAGTCTAGATCCCAGAAGCTCACAAGGCTATGATACCAGCCTGGACTTACCGCTGCCCAACATCCTCCACATGAGACAAGTAAGTCTCTGGGTCACTTAACGCTAGCAATATCTTAAATATATCTTAAAATTAGAGAATATGTTTGGTTTATTTCATTTACTTCAACACGGAGCTTGAAAACCAAGTTTTCATGGGGGTAAAGAAGCATATTTAGGTATGAAGTAACTGGTATAAATGGGGCCTGGAGGAAGCCCCAGAATGTTAATGGACTTCCAGTTTAACTTTTTTAGGAATAAGCACTTTTGCTGGGCTGAGAGTTTTAGATGAAGCCTGGGGGTTACTAAGACATGGCATGTGAGTGAACTCAAAAGGTGACTGGTAAGGAAAAAGGAGGCCCCGTACTGAAAGAGTGGGTGGTAACAGAGGGATTCAGGGAGCACTCAGGACAAAACCTCAGTGCTTTCCCTTAATTTTTTAAACTGTGACTTGACAAAATCCTTTACCTTCAAAATAACCTCTAGAAGAGCTGGGAATGTAGCTCACTGGTAGAGCACTTGCCTAGCACATACAAGGCCTTGTATTCAATTCCCAGCACTTCAAATAACAATAACAATAATAATAATCACCAGTGAGGTACAATCAAGGTACAATCAAAATCTTTTCGGTAAGATACTCTGGTGAAAAATTAAGAGGTCAGCAAATTTCGTCAACCAAAAAAAGATGAAAAATAACTACATTAGTCAAAATATTTAATTATTTCTACTTTGCAAAGGCCATGCCTATGTGATTTAATTAAGAATTCACATTATGTATACACTGTGAAAGAGAAGCAGAGGCTCATGACCAAGCATCATCATGTCTTCAACCATTCCAGCTTTGGGGCTCATTCTAGAGTGGCTTTGGGTCTGCTTGGTTGACTGGGGACATGTCACAAAGTCATGGTAAGTGGGAAAGACCAGTCAACGGTAGACACGTTACATGAAGAAAACCAGGAGGCAAAAAGCAGGAGGAAAGGTCAACACAATCAATCATGTCCGGCATGGAGTAAATAAGAATCAGAGCAGGAAGGAGACTCAGTTCCATGACTGTTTCACCTTCCACCTTCCCCGCCTTCTGGTACCGGGGATCGAACTCACGACCTCACGCTTGCCAGGCAGGCACTTATGCTGCTGAGCTAAATCCCCAGCCCTCCATGACTTGTTTCTATGGATTCACTTTTCAGATAATTCTATGTGTCTCTTCATTGCAATAACAATATATTTGTTATTTTTAAAAGCTTAAATACAAACAAGCAAAAAGAGAAATATTAACATCATTTCCATCCTGTTATCAGGAAAGAGCTACTATTAACAATATAGACAACAGCATATTCTTCCAGATCCTTCTAGTGTCCCAGCTATATCTGTATATGTGGGTGCATAGATATACCTGTGTGGATACACAAATATATATGCATACATGTATATATTCAGATATGCACACATATGTATGTGTGTATATGCATATGTATATGTATATGTATGTGTATATGTATATAAACCCGCATACATACAGGTACATACCTATATGTATATAACATGTATATAATTTTTTACCAAAACAAAATCATACTATGCAACCTATTTTGAGATTTCTTTCAAATAATAATCCAAGGCATTATGGTAATACAAAATTATTTGGTCAAAAATTATCAAATAAAACTGGGAAGACAGAGACCTAGCGCCTGCCTGGCAAGTACAAGGTTGTAGGTTCGATTCCCAGTTAAAAACAAAAAATTATGAAACAGTGCTCACTTTGGCAGCACATAAAGTAAAAATTATCAAATAATTTTTTTACAAGGAGAATTATGTCAGAATTTTAACGTGATAATGGTCATAGTTACATGACATAGAAATCAACTGTCACTTCCATAAGTAAAACTGACTTTTTTGAAGGAGGAAAATTAAAACATTGCCATTAGGCAGATACCATAGTTACAAATTGTTAAAAAGCAATATCCACTGTTGGATACTAAAATCAACAGGCGAATCTCTGAGAACAAATAAGACATTGGTAGAATCTCAAAGCAGCATGCCAGGGATTTAGCTCAGCGGCATAAGTGCCTACCTGGCAAGCGTGAGGTCGTGAGTTTGATCCTAGGTACCAAAAAAATAAATACATAAATAGATAAAAGCAGCACCCCAGGCTGTTCATTAATTGCAGTTATAATTTTACAAGGAGAAACCCAGCAGACACTACCTTAAGATGTGATCCAGTTCAACACCACCGACAGGAAGATATAGCAATATCAGGTACCTCCTGATATCGTGCACTGAGAGGGACACATGACCTCTGTAGGAGTCTGACTAGAAACTTCTAACTTCAGAAATTCATGAGAAAACATCAGACCAACCCAAAATGAGGAGCATTCTGAAAAATACCTGAGCAGCACTCATCAAAGAGTCACAACTGCCGAGGACAAAAGAACCCCAGGGAACTACACACTGGACAGGATGAGGGGACCGTGACAACTGAATGCAGTGTGGGAACCTTGCCTGGATCCTGAAACTAGATATTTGTGGAAAAACTGGTGAAATCATAATAATGTCCTAAGTTTGGCTAACTAAAAAAAAAAAAAAAAGAAAAGAAAAAGTGACTCTTCTTTAAAATAAATGAAAAAAAGGATCAAAAACAGGATTGCAATTACTTTCTATTCACTATAATTGCTTTAAAGCATTAGTCCCAACTAAACATACTAAAACCACCCTTCACTACCAAGTAAATGCAAAGTAGAGTCAGAGAGGCTCAATTAAAATTGAGATACAGTGATGCACACCTGTAACCCAGCACTCAGGAGGTTGAAGCAGGAGGACTGCTGTGAGTTCAAGGCCTGCCTGGGCTCCACAACGAGTTCAGGACCAGCCTGAACTACATAATGAGACCCTGTCTCAAAAAAAAAAATAAAACAAAAATTTAAAAATAAAAATTGAGCCTCTCATCCTTAAATTGTAGGGCAATTAAAAAAAACCTAGTGTTACTTCAAATCAGACGAGTAAATACATGTATACAAACACACACAGGTGTGCATGCACACACATAGATGTGCACACATGCGTGCACACACACACATACACACACACACAAACTGAGGACACAATTGATAGCTATTTACATTACCTAAAAAAATCTTGGAATTCCTCCTTTTTGGTAAAGCTCCACCAGATGCCCCTCTTACTTTCTGAAAAAAAAAAAAAAAAGAGATCATTAAAATGCTGCCTATGAAATAAAGTTTGAAAAGGAAAAATCACTCAATTTTTATTAAAAGTTGTATGAAAAGTTCCCATTTTTGATCACAAGACAACAAAAAATGTTCAAGCTGGACTGGAGACTGCAGGATAAACAGAAATGTCAGCGGAGTCAACACGGCTGGAGCACCTGATACTCTATAGAAAACACTTTCAGAAAGGGAAGTGGGAATCAAAAGCCAGGCAAAGTAGATGCTTAGACTTTAATCAGCATGGGCTCCCAGTCGGGGCTGGAGTCCACACGAGTTAAGAGAGGGGGTAAAATGACTGTGGTTCCAGGAGATAAAAGTCCTGTCCCCCTGTTCCCCAGGGGACTTCCCAGCTTGATCATGTGCAAAATCAACAACTAAAGTTAAAGGATTTAATAAACATTACTATATAGTAACTAACACTTGATTATACTAAACCTCCCTAAACATTTCTGGAGCACATTAGACGGCCATGTTTACCATCCTAACCTTGATGCAGCTCTGCCTAGTGTAAAAGTCTCCCCAGCAATAAATGCCCAGCAAGTGACTGACAAAAGGGGCCATTTACCTGATGTTCACAAAAGTAATTTTACACTCAGACAGGATTAGAATAATTACAATAATTTCAAGTGGCCAAGACCATTTCCACACTGTATTTTTTCAGTTATTAGAAAGAACGAGCTTCCAAACACCACAGCATGCGTGGCTCCAACCTCAGCATCTCCATGCAGCCACAAGCCTCAAGGCTTTGCTGTGTGTTTGCTACTTCTTTGTCTTAGGAGTCCTGTCTCCTTTCCCACATTTGATTATCTGAAAACAAAAGCCAACTAATCCTCTGTGTTACTCAAAGTACGTTTTTATAGCTTCTAATATAGGTTAACCTTTAAGCATTTAAGCCATGACTTCCAGGTTAATTCCTCTCCAGAGCCAAAGATCTGACCACTCAACTCTGACCTGGATTTTTTTTTTCTTCATCTCACAGGTACCTTCAAGTTCAGTGTGTCCCACTGCACTCTCCCCACTTTCTCAAAATGGTTTTTCCTCTGGAACTCCAGAGACATAGACATCCTTTGGGTTCTACCTTTCTTCTGTGTCGTGTTGACACAGAACTAAGTCTTGTTAGCTAGGCTTCCCAAATAATTCTAGAGCTCTTTTCATTCCTACTGTTCTTGTCTGACTATTCAATATCAGACTACTGCTGCAGCTTCCAAATGAATAAACTAGTTAAAGAAAGACGTGGATGACGCTGATGTGAAGATGAGCATCTTTTAAAGAAAGAGGACAGGCCGGTCAAGTGGCATCTTAGGAAAAGCTAAGGAATAAACAAAGGAAGGCATGCTCCTTTTTTAAAATGCAAAGAGCAGTCAGAAAGAAGGAGGAAAGCTGAGAAAGGATGATGCCAAGAAAGTAGGAGAGGAACAGTTCCAATGGAAAATAAGCTCAAGTGTTCAAATACTCAAAAGGTTAGGTAACATCCAAGATAAACATGTCCATCTAGCAAGGAAGAGCTCGTATACTCTCTTGGCAATTTTGTGGATTAATAAAATCAATCAGACGTCAATGCTGAGTCCTAATGGAAGATGCAAGAGTGACTCTGAAAAGAGAAAAGGTTTTAAAAAGGCTTCAATCAGCGGGTATTATGACCTTACATGAATGTAGATAGAGGGATAGTTTTGTTGAGGATTCTAAGGTAGGAAACAACAAGCCAGGAGAAACAAAAGCTGGAGCTGTAACACGTAGTACAATTAACAAAAGAGCAAGATTGTGAGTTAGGAGGAATCAGTACCATGAGAACAGATACGTCACAGCTCTCTGCTGAGATGCGAGTGAAACAAACATAGAAACAGACGCAGAGCACGCTTCCAGGATGCAAGAGGGAAGTTACATGAGTGCCTGCCCCAGGTCCCAGTTTTCTCTGTCATGTACAAGTCAAAATAGTTTTCTGGACTTCTGGGAGAACATGGCGGATACATAACAGCAACTACCGGAGGCTCTCTGAAAGGCTCGGCTCAGAAATCAGGAATGATGCGGACTAAAGAGACATGAGCCGGTAGAGATATGCTCTGGTGACTCAGGAATGAACTGGGCTGAGAGAAACCAACTTGGAATGCAGTCCTGGCACTAAAATAAGAACAGAAAAGACTCAGTGTGGAGGCTGACCCCGCGCCATTGGAAACCGTGGTTTGGATTTCCCGTCGCTCGGTGGCTGGCTGCCTCCACAGCAGCTCGGCAAGGAGAGAGACGTGCAGAAGCTCTGGGAACGGGAGTCTGCGAACGGGTCGAAAACAGGACGGACAGGACAAGGAGGCGTACGCTGACTGGTGGCAAGGTGAGTGAGAAACTGACACTCTACCACAGTTTGACTCCAGCGGAGGACTTTCTGGGCACGGGCAGTCCTGCGGGAGCAGGGCGCGGTGGCGACTCCAGCCACACATTCCCCTCTCGAACGGGATTGGTGAAAAGTGCCTGGCCTGCGTGACGCTGCGGGCGGACTTGGTAGGCTGGCCTAACCCAGATCCCAGAGCCTGACGGTGGCCCGGAGGGGTGACTCCCGCGTAGGCTGCCTAGTCCGTAACTCCCTGGTGTGCAGCGGTGGGCGGGAACACCTAGCCAGCGCAATTTGATCAGGCTGTGGCTGACAGGCAGGGAAGCTGGGCCTCCTATGTAAGCTTGCATTTTATAAGGAACAGAGAATATGGGGAAGGGAAGCAACAAGAAAGGCTCCTCGGCCCCCAATTCTGAGAAACAGGCAATAGCGGACACCGCACCAATAGACATTAAGCGCCATATAGAGAGCCTCATAGACCAATTCAGGAATGAAGTTATCAACGACCTGAAGCTAGAAGTATGCAGAATAGTTAGAGAAATGCTAAGCACCACCCAGGAAAAAACAGATGGTGGAATGGAAGAATAGAAAAAGAGGGGAGAATTGTTTGGTGGAGAAAACAGAGAAAGCATAGAGTACATGAAGCAGGTTCAAAGGGACTATCAAGAAATTAAGAAGTCTATCCAAGACTGGCATAACAGCTTGAAAGAAACTAAGGACAGACTATCTGAGCTGGAGGGCAGACTTGTAATATGGGAGAATGAAATGAAAAACTTCTTAAAAATAACAAAGAAACAAACAGCAATAATACAAAGACAAGAAGATGATAAGAGGATCCATAACTTAAGGATTAAGAACATAAAAGAAGAAGTAGGGACACAAACAAGTGAACTACAAAAGCTACTCACAGAAATAATCCAGGAGAATTTTCCTAATTTAGCAAAAGGTAAAGATACTCAGATGTACGAGGTATACAGGACCCCAGCTACCTACAACCTTAACAGAGAAACACCCAGGCATATAATAATAAAAATTCCAGAAATTCAATACAAGAACAGAATATTAAAAGCTGTAAGAGACAAGAAACAGACCACTTACAAGGGAACACCCATCAGAATTACAGCAGATTTCTCTACACAAACCATCAAATCACGAAGAGCATGGGGGGAAATAATTCAAGCTTTGAAAGATAATAATCTCCAGCCAAGATTGAGATATCCTGCACAACTGTCCCTGGAAATTGATGGAAAAACAAGGTGCTTTCAGGATAAAGAGGAACTGGGGGAATTTGCAACCACCAATTCAACCCTACAGAAAGTATTGCAGGATATTCTAAAAAAAGAAAAATACAAAAAACCCAGAAATAGTGGCGGGGAGGCCACAACGAATGGAGCAGAGAACAAAATGAAGAAGACAAACTGACAGCTACTGACAGAAAAAGAGCTCAACAGAAATGAGACAGAGAAGATTGGATGATAGGAACAGCTATTTTAGAGAAAATGACATCTTAATAGGTAATACTGATTTAGTATCGTCTTGTTTTGAAGTCTCATCTAGCTTTTGTTCTTCTGTCTCCAATGGTCTAAACAGGTTGTATCTTATTGGATTTTATTATGTACGATAGTATAAGCAAAAACCTTTTAAAGACAAGGAGATTATACAAAAACCATTGTTCATTTTCTGTTAGTCGATTCTAAATACTCTGTAATGCTGTCATTCTCTTAAATGGTTTTACATTGTTTTGATATACTTAATGCTACAGTATACGAAGTTGTACTCAAGGACTTCAAGGAAAGAGTCAATATGGTAACTACTTTTAGGTCGAAATTATCTGGTGGTGAAACACTATTCTGCTTCAATGGTTATGCTTTGATCTGCGCTGTTTTGCTGTTATGCCCTCTTTTTTCTCAATCTCCACTCCATTATTTACTTTTTTATTTTTATCCGTTTAATTAAAGGGAAAAAAATAGCAGGATATAATATAGTAACTATTATCTCTATTTGAAGCCCTGTATTACTCTCACCATCTTGTTTTTGACTGATGTTCCCCTATTCTGTTTTGATGGATAGTATCAGGTTCGAAAGTTTAGGCATCAGCTGAGAAGATAATGAGATTCATTATAACGCCCATTCTCGTTGACTTTTATCTACTTTTGAAGACCTACAATGTCTCCAATGTTTTGGTTTTGTCGGTTTTGTTCTTTACTATTTTGTTCAATTGTATTATAACTAATGATATAGGCAATTCTATTAGAGATAGCGGGAGGCATTATGGTAACCATTGTTGATCACCTTGTAATATGTTTTTATATTATCTATTATGTCCACCCTTTTGACTAGACCGATTCTGTTCTGTTATGTCTCATTTGGTTTTACTCTCTTCCAAAAAAGCAATAAGAACCGTGGGAGCAATGAAACCCAAAATGTGTAATAGTCATTGTACAAAAGAGAGGAAAAGAAAGTGCTCTAAACTATATAACTGCATGTATATTTAAGTGTATAAGATAGAAAATGATATCACAGAGTTTTATTGGATCATTGAACAGAACTGTTTGCAGTATCATTGTTGGAATGTCCACTCTACAAGCTTTAATTTTGTGACTTGAACAATTATTTCTAAGATGGCAATATGTAATCCATTAACTAGTGATTTCCTACTGTTCATTTTTTTCTTCTGTAAATCTGTATAACTTGTACCCTTTCACTTTTTTTTTCTTTTCTCCTTAAATTAAAAAAAAAATAGTTTTCTGAGAATGACAAATACTGATAAAGGCTTGAGGAAAACATCCCAAGTTCAGAGTGGTCTCTCAGGAGAGTTGAGAAAGACACAGGCAGTGAGAGGACCCAACAGAAGTGGAAAGCCAGAAATCTGGCAAAGTACCGATTATCAACTGGATGCTGTTTATCACCCTCTCCTGAAGGTTCATGTGATGGAGGCGTGATCCTCAGCGTGGTACAGGAAGGTGACAGGAGGTTGCATAGGAGCTTCCTAGGCCAAGAGGGTGCCCTCAGAAGGAAGTAAGTGACTCCAGTCTCACTGGCTTCCTGTTGCATGTGATTCCTTTCTCCACACATATTCTGCCATCAGCTATTTTTCATGGGGTTCTTACCAGAGCCTTTTTGGAATTCCATCTTCCAATGGTTGAGATAAACAAATCTCTTTTCATGACCAAATGAGCCTTCCTGAGGTATTTCACTACAGTAATGCAAAACAAACTAACGTGGTTCCAGATGCCATGGTGCTATGGGGTTTCCAGGCAATCTATGCATGGAAATAGATCCCACTAATGGATCAAATGGCTGGCATTCTGAAGAACAAGAAGACAAAGGTCCATTACAGGAATTGATGATGGCAGAATGTTTAGAATTATGGATCATCAGATCCACGGTAAATCAGCCACAGGCTACAAAGACCTAAGCATGTACAGTAATGGTTATCCTTGACAGAGTTAAAGAGCAAAAATGAGCGGGGACTGCAGGCAAAGAGTGAAATGTTTCACTCCAGATCTCAGAGACAGAGCTGGCCATTTGAGATTATCAGCATTCCACAATGTTGCCACTGGATTTGCAACCCTGAGCAAGTTATTAAGGCTCTGAGCTTCAGTTTCATGTTTCTTGCTTGAGTTGCCTAAAATTTTATCACTTTACAAGAAGATATATGGGCCAAAGTGAATTCCCTAAGAATTTCTATGCAGCACCCAAGAGGACTACTGAATATAAATCTTATAACATCAGACCAAAATTAAACTATTCTAAAGCTAACCTTTGCATTTATGGTTTATATGACTTCAGGCTTTTTTCACTTAAAACAGAGTACATGTAGGTAAACTAAAGGGAGAGATTAAATAAAATTCAAGTCAGAATTGACTAGAAGGTTCAGAATAATCTACAAGTATTTAGGACTATACAAAATAGACATTTGAAAATTAATAATATCCCCAACTAACATCAATGAATAATTAAACATGTAAACAATAAAACAGTAACATGAGTAGCAAAAAGTATAGCAAAATCTTAAAGCCTTAAAAATCTAGCAAAATATAAATTCCTTTACAGAAAATTTCATAGTATTACTGCACTTCAAAAAAGAGACTTCAGTAAATAAAGAACTATTCCAGGTTAAATAGCCATTCAATAAATATTTGTGAAGCACCTACTATAAGCTAGGCATTGCTAGATGCTTAAGAATACAGGAGTGAATACAGCAGACAAAAGTGCATGCCCTTAAGGAACTTCCACGATGGTATACATTATACATTAATCTATAAATTCGATGTGACTGCAAACAAAATCTCAAGAGTATATTTTTCAACTAGATGAACTGATTCCAAAATCCATTAAAAAAAACAAATTTCTAACAATACCCAAGAAGGTCCTAAAGGGGAAAAAAATGAACAAAGAGTATTTGCACTATTGCGCTAGATGTTAAGGTTGGCCACAGGCTTCCTCCACAGACAGAAACAAGTAACAGCAATAGAACACAAGTAAGATTCCCAAACAAACCCGAGTGTGAATACCAAGGAAAAATATTAAATGGTGCTACAAATCATTGTGAAAGCTGTTAGTTATCATATGAAAAAAATAAGTTTCCTATCCTTCAAATACAAAAATAAATTATAGATGGATTAAAAACTTAAAATGTTGAAATATAAACACTTTTTTAAAACAAGTTGCTAAAAAATATTTTATGATCTTGATTTGAGAAATAATCTTTTAGACAAGATATAAATAGTGTAAGTTATAAAAGTTTACTAACCTAACAATAATAGAATTTAAAACTTCATTTCTATAAAAATTTTTCATAGAAAAGTAAAAAGACTAGTCACAGACTATAAGAAAATTCTGTACATGATAGACAAATATTTGGTGACCAGAATATAAAAAGAATGTATCAAATATATAAAGAAAAAGTCACAAAGAGGCCAAAAATAAAAATAGCAAGTCTAGAGAAAAGAAAACCAAAATGGACAATAAATATATGAAAAAATGTTTAGTCTTCACAGAAAGAAATATTAAGTTTTTCTATGTCACTTTATAACAAAAGTCAAGGGTATGGCCAAGGGTTAGTGACACCGAGGGGAAACAGGAATTCACATCATGGCAGTTATTTATTCTATAAATTGCTACAAGTACTCTGGAGAGAAACTGAGTTTCATCTAATAAAAATGAAGATAAACACACCTACAAACGAGCGGTACCACTTCCAGACATATTTCCTAAAGAAATTTGCACATGTATCCCAGAGACATGTATATCGATATTAGTTTCTGCATTATTTTCAGTAAGGGAAAAAAATTCTACTCATCAATAGAAGAGTAGAATAAATTACAAAGTACTCATAGGCTAGAATACCAAATAAGTATTCAAATTAGTTAAGTACACTCGGATGCATCCCAGCATGTAGAGTCGAAACACAGCGCTGTGTGGGGAAGCTCTACACAGAACTGTAAGCAAGAGGATGACTGTGTCTACCTGCATGTTAAAACACACAGTCCAATTTGCTCACGAGCACACAGCATAAATCAAATACAATGACACGCATGGGGATGGAAAGCAACAATTCACAGCAGTGGTTACTTTGACAGGAAGGGAACCAAAGGGAACTAAATTTTCAAAACATTCTATTCTCTCATTAAAAATGATAAGTAAACTAACATATAACAAAAACAATCAATGGGGTTTTTTGCTGCTGACTTTTGGAACCATGAGCATATCCAGCATTATTTTCTATACTTTTACTGTGTTTTTAAACTTATATTATCTTTTTTCCCATCAGTCAACCCATATACTTTTAACAACTCCAATAAGAGTCCAGAGAAAAAATAAAAATGGTTAAGATAAGGTTAGGGGAGAATGTATGGCTTTCGACACACGGTGCTATTTTTGTTTTCCAATATCAAAGAGAATGAGAAGTTATCTGGACACAGTCAAACCTCCATGGTCAAGCAAACTAAAACAATGTTTAAGGGAAAGAAGCCAGGTCAGTTCGCCACCGGCGTGTGTCTCACCTCTCGCACGTGTCTTTTCAGGTGCATGTATACACTCTGTCCAGTTTTTCGAAAATGTCTTTCAACATGTTCCCTTCCAAAGGCCAAAAACGTATTCATGCATACATAGAGTCCACCTTCAGAGTTCTAGAAGAAAGAGACAGGATAAAACATTAACCAAGGACACCAGGCCAAGCACGTAGTCTAATTTTAGGAAAGCAAATGGAAAAAAAAGGTAGACCATGAAGACAAAGCCTAGCTAAAGCCCGCCATTACTCGTGTATGCATCAGTGATGACCCCTTCATGGCCTCAAGAGTCGCCTACAGTGACAGTTCCCCCCACAACTCTCAGCTGCAGGAGCTTCCAGGGAACTGAGCCCTCCGTTTACCAGATACAGGCTACATTCACAGGCAGATGGAATCTCAGAGTCCCTGCAAAATAAACAGGCTTGCTTGACTTTTAGAAAGGGATAAAGGAAGTTAAGAGACGGAAAAAGTTGGCAAAGGATCCAGCACTATAATTACTGTCAGATTTGATCATTTCTTCCTCACTCACCATGCAAATCTTCAGGAACATTAAGTTTTCGATCCTTGTAGGTTTCTTCAAAGATATTAGTTCCAACATTTGGTGACACATGAGTAAAATATGACAATTTAATAAGTACGTAACTTAAAAGAGTAAATAATAAAGGGTGTGTTCCTCTGATAATCATAGCTCCATACTACTGCATGCCAGATATATATCAGGTGCTTCTCACAGTATATCATTTCTAATAGGAATGTCTGCAAGCTGCTTATTAGTATTTTTATTTTACAGTTTTGAAAAGCCAAGTTCGCTAGCTTGGAAGTATCAGAGTTAGATTTTATCTACTTCTCTTTTTCTCTTCCTACACTGTATTTCAAAGCACATGACATTATCTCATTATAGAGATAACACTAAAATAAAGAGTCAAAGATATTGCTCACACTTTACATACTCGGTGTTCCCATCTTCCTTTTTCTCTTGCTTTGCATAATCTGCTGCTCTATAGACTATAACAGTAGCCACCTTTCCTCTAGGGAAGTGGGTTTTATCAAATCTCACCCCTCCAAATAATGAGAAATAGACTTCAGAAACACTTTGTAAAATTGCCAACCAACGCCTATCACAGCTCCTTCAGTGAAGTACAAATTACAGTATCAAAACCAACAGTGATACTCCAAATATGCAAAAAATAATCTTTTAAGTTCCAATAACTCATGAGTAATTTAAAAGTGAAAATTTCTAACAATGTATCTATGATTCATAAGCCAGGATACAAAGGAGTCCTGCCACATAATATTATAATAGCACTAGCTCAAATATGTTCCCCTTACTATATCATGTATATTATTATGAGAAAAAAATGAAAATGGAGAGAGGAAGGAGGAAGGAAGGAACGTGTTGATGACTATATAGTTTATATGGAAAAATCCTACAAAATCTACAAACTAGTACATTTAGCAAGATCACAGGGTACAGATTAACAGACAAAAATAAGTTGCAATTTTATGTTAGCAACAAACACTTGCAAACGCAATTCTCAAAACTCAACGATAAAATAGCATCCAGAAACATAATAATAAGATAAGGCAGTTCATCTGGGCCCCAGTTATTTCCTCTAGAAAAATAGCTGTAGCAACAATTCCATCTCACAGGAGAATCCAAAGAGATGAAGTGTAAAGAAGATGAAACATATTCAAGTGTTGTCTGTTCTTAAAGCCATACATAAACATTGATTATTAATTTTTATGGCTAGTTACAATTATCCTATTACCCTAAGCATTTTTAAATTGGAAAACATTAGCAAAAATGAAGACTAAGTGATTCTGACAGCCACACAGGCCAGAGAAAACAAATACAAATTCAGACAACTACTGGAAGAACCAAGAAATCAGCAAGTAAAAGGAAAAAAATGCTCAAGCATAATATCTTCTGAAGAAAAGCAGACACTTGCTTTACAGTGCAAGAGTTCATAAAGTAGTATGTGAGATAATCATAAAGTCTTTGAGAATTGCATTGTCAAGGTTTGTTGACTTGTTAGGGAATTTGACAGAGATTTAATATAGCAGTATTCATTCGTAGTTCCGGCAGCTGCCCGATAAAGTCACAAAGTGCATAATCAAATAGGAAAATTCCTTAACACCCAGAGAGGAATGGCCACAGCAGGAGGGTTCTATTATAAAGGCCCATGGGCCTCTTCCTGAAGCAGGCCAGGCTATGCAGGCATGCCCAAGGGCCTGACAGGAGGCCTAAAACTTCAGGAAACACTGAGACAGAGACCCTTCCAGTGCTGCTCCATATGAAACAAACCTCAGCCCAGTGTTGTAGGCTTTCTTCCCTCTTGCCTTACCAATATTTAAATATGAGTCCTGTAATACCCATTCTTTCAGATTGAATATCAGCACTCCATGGCACATACTCTGAATAGCTTCTTTCATTAGGACAAGACGAACTGGTAAATCTCTCCCAAACCCCTCATGAACAAAGCACAGAGGATGGTGGGCAACCCAGGCTCAGATCCTTAGAGTGTCAAACCCTCAACTTGGTCTTCTCAGCCACTTTCCCATTTAGATTATCCCCCCACCCACCTACCAAGAAAGAGCAGTTCAGCATTCACCTCCATACAATCAAAAATGCACCCAAGAAGTCGGGCAGGTTATAGAACTACACCAACTGACAGCAAAACAGAAATGGAAGAATAAGAAAATATAATATAAAACAGTATTTGTTTAAAGTAACAGTAGTAGAGATGCTCTGTTAAATCAGAACAGTTTACAAATGAAATCCACAAAATAGTTAATTTTCAAAACAAATGGTTGCATAAGAATGGAGATTCCAGAAATATGTTCATTATATGATAATTAATTAATATATCTCAAACCATAAGAAGCAAAAACAGAGAAAAGAATTCTCTAACAAAAGCTAGTTTTAATTCATGACAGAGCTCCTGCCTGGCATGTATGAGGCTCTGGTTTGGACCCAGTTACTGAAGGGCTCAGGGTGTAACTCAGTAGCAGAGCACATGTTTAGCACACATCAGGCTCTGAATTTAATTCCCAGCACAAAAAAATGACAGAAAAGAAATGTTACTGAGGCAGTTGTACATCAATATAGAAGAAAATTAAATTGGACTGACATCTTAAATTCTGTGATATGGTCCAATACACAAGCAATTAAAAAACTAGAAAAAGGAGCTGAGGCATACCTCAGTGATAATGGGTATACAAGGCCAGGAATCCAATCCCCAGCACCAATTCCACCATAAGGTAAGACTAGAACAACACCTTCACATCTAACCCACTTACAAAGTGGAAAATAAACTCTGGCCAAGAAAATAAAGAGTATCATCAGAGATGAGATAACTGAGCATAGAAATGTAAATGCAAATGAGTTTTGTAACAGAAATTGTGATGAAACAGAAAAGCAACAACAGAAAGAGAAAAGATGTAAAATAAACAAAAGATTACAGTCAACCTAATGTAAGAAACTGATGCAATTACAGGATGTCAATATTCCAACTTGGAAAAGTTTTTTAAGACCATTTGGTTTCCTTAAAGTCAAATCACCACATCTGTACAATCTCCTAAAGTACGAACATTAAAATAATCTCAAGGCGTAAGTACAGGCCCACTAAACCAGCAAAAATTATTAAAATGGTAGAACCTAAAGCCACATGGAAAACCCATACAGTTATCCCTACAATATAAAATAGTTCAAACTTTCCAGAAAGCAGTAAAACTGACCCTTTGACACAGTATTTCCTCTTTGGGGCCAGACTTTAGGAACACAAAACAAAAGAGAACATGAACCCTAATTTGTAAAGAAATATTCACAAAGGCACTATTTTTTTTTGTCTTTTTCATTTTTATCAGTATCAGGGATCGAACTCAACGACCACTTGTTTGCAAGGCAGGTGCTTATGCTGCTGAGCTAAATCCCCAGCCCCAAAGGCACTATTTATAATAAGAAACAGTAGCAATGGTCATGAATAAACTAGGAAACCACATAAACACTACAAAAAATATTACTTAAAATGACAAAGTTTATGAAGTATGTGTAATATGTATAGGAAATGTGCACAAGGATTATGTATAAAATGTATAGAAAATAATTTTAATGAATAAAGAATATATCATGCTGATGGCAGGCGACTGGAGCTGAGGGAAGGCTGCATGTTGGCCAGGGCCTGAAGTGGATGTGGAATGCAATGACCAGTTTTACCTTCTCTTAAACTCTCTCAACTTTTGGGTCCAGAGCCTCAAGTCTATGAGATTCTTGCTGGTCTAGAGTAGGGCTTCTTAAACTACTGCCATGAAGGACAAGGCTGTATTTTATTTGTACTATCTCACTTCTTTTCATTAAGAAAAGCTACAAGATCAATTCATTCACAGCTTGCATCACATATGCACATTTTTGCACATGTGGGTTTCATAAAACCCAAGCAAACCTCTCTCCTGTTCAAACAAATCTATAGAGCTGGCAGTGGAGGCAATGCCAAGTTGCTGTAGAAATCCCTGACACTCACTCTCAGTGCTGTCAGGCACCTGTTGGCAAAGATCAGTCCACATGCTTTGAGTAGCACTGGTCTAGAGTTAAGCCAACCCTGCCCCGTTCTAAGATAGTCTCGATCTGAATAAAGCATCATCTAACTCCCTTTGGACATGAGGGCAGGCTGCCAGCAGCCCCTCATCAATACCGGTCACACATGTCAACATCTGCTGGGTCGCCCATGGTACCCAGATACCACACACTACCAGTCTCTGCCCTTGACCTGGAGTAAGCCCCACTCTGACTGTCCTTAACCCCAAATCCACCTTCCCTTCCCCGCCCACTGAACTCCATAGCTGTGAGAAGCTTCTTTCATGTGCAGACACCACATTCAGAAGCTGAACTACACATTTGCTCCTTTTAGGCTGGAAAACCACATCATATTCATAACTGAGTTCCCCAAAGCATCTCGCGCAAAGCAGGATCAAACAAGCATTTGTGGAATGAGTGACAAACTTCTGTGTCGTTATCTGGCACTCAATTACATGGTTTAGTCTCTCTCAAACTGTTCCTCACTACCCATCTGACCTGAACTTTAAATGTTCCATAGTATAGGTTTGAAGTCTTTGGTGTAGTG